TTGTCAAGCAAATTTGTGCACCAGGAGAAAATAATCACTAAAATGATTGTCTTTCAAAAATTTTTTTTTTTTAGGACAATGCGCGAAGATTGGCACTTTTGACATCAAACGATTCCCTTATCCATTAAAACGAATTTACATGAGCTCAGGTCAAAATAAAAATAGAAAAACAGAAATTATCGAAACCGGAATGTTTAGAGCAGCTGAAATAGAAATCATTAAAAATGGGAATGAGATAATCCGCAATACAATTCACCTTCCATATGGCAACATTTAAGATCAAAGACCCCATTCGGTGCATAATCGTTCTTGAATTTTCCGGACAAATGAGAGTCGATTAATTTCTTCATTGGAAAACTCCGAATGTCAGCGAATAGACGAACGTTTTCTAATTCAGGTGTGAGAGTTGTCGGCGACGGAATCTCGCTGTGGCGAGGGCCTTTTGATGTTTTACCCCCCCCAGTCACTACTTCCGGCCGAAGATGCCGACTAATAGATCGGAAAACTCCGACTGTCGGATGAATAGACGAACACGTTACGGATCATTTTGAGAGGTGTCCATGAAGATGTTTAGGAGGCAGTTACGTAATTGGGCCGAGGTAGAACGAGGTAAAACGAATCAGTAAACGCTAGAAAATTGACTGCCGATTAACTACCAATAAGGTGGGGGGGGGGGAATCATTAGAATCTTGAAAATTTCTTACTGAAACAACCAAAATGCTCTGACCCTTGCAAGTGAAAAAAAAATTACCGGTCCCTTCAAGGCATTTCAAAGAGCGCACTTTCGTCAAAGATTTTCGTAAATCCAAGATTGTATCACTTTTGAGCAATGGACTTAAATTTAAAACCGTGGTCACCATGAGATGCCGACCGCAAACTTGTCTTGAATGCTAATTTACACGCGGTTTTATTTTGTATCTAAATGCAATTACTAAATCAAATGCGACTTGTTGCAATTCCCTCTCCTATAAATTTTCACTCGTCATTTAAATTGGAATATTAAAGACAGATTTTGGCAGATTTTTGTTTTGTCTAACATTAAAATGCATTCGATCTTAAAAAAAAACTTATTCAGTATTGCATCAAATACAACAATCATATTATTTACCCAAAATATCGCAATTAACTCCTTCAACTTAAAGAATGAAAGAAGTGTTTTCTTTTCCACTACAGATAACTTAAATTTGTTTACAATTCAAATTGTATCTCCTCAGAAAAAGTCTGGCAAATATTAGGTTGAACACGGCAGAATTTTTTTCAAGGAAGATTAAAAAAGTCCGATCGAGACAGCACATCGAGGATCTCATTTTTGCCTTCTGTTTTAAAATACGAGCAAGCCGATAGAAAAGAAAAGGACTTGTTTCTTATAACTCGACATATTTTAGTTTAGCAAAAACTTGGGATACAAAAAGAATTAGTCCAAGAATCATGAAAGCAGAGTTTTCTGGATCGATCGCAGATTGTGGAATGTCTTTGTAGATAAAGTCATCCGCAAATAGCCGACAGCTATTGCAAATCAATTATTGTCTTATTGCTTAAAGCTGTCGGCTTTGGGCTAAATTGATTAAGTATTAGAAAAAGCTTGAACATTTCATTTAAAAACGGTTTTCAATAAAATTTTTTTTTTTGCTTTAAAGCGCTGGGTTTGGAGGTTTCTTTCGAAATTTAGGCCACATATTTAAGGAGGAAAAAACTAAATATATTTGTCAAAATTCACTTGACATTTTCAAGCAGGTGAATTGGAATTACTTTGTATTCTGTATGGATGTTTAAATGAATCAACGTGCGCCGCAAAAAAAAAAAAAATACTTAGCAAAATTGAGGTTTAAAATTGGCTCAATTCTTTCGTTTCATTGCTTGCGATCAACTCCATGGGGCAATTATCAAAACAATGATTAAACAACTGTTTGTTATGCAACGCCGTCGCAGACCTCGACAGTTGCAAAATGCCCTGAAAAAACTTTGCATTGTATCCTCCTACGATCTATTCATCGACTGTTTGTCGCGAACTTTGAGCTCAAGACAACACCCACCTTTGAGATGTGACTTAAAGATGTTTTTATGTTCTCCTCGTGAAAATACCCTATAACCTTGGAAAATTAAACTCCTCAATTTACTTCAAAATAACTTCTCGGGGAATACTACTATACAACTAATAAATTATTTTTGCAATAAGCGTGGAAACTATCCCTTAAGATAGGATAATATTATTTGTCAAAAACCATGGGAGTTTCTAAGCGCTCCTTGGAGGTAGTTCATTAATATTTTTTTGTGAAGGAGACTTCCCGCGGACACTCGTTCAAAACATACAATAAATCCTTTTTTTCAATTTTTGTCGGTCGTAATCGCCGTTTTAGGTAACATTTGAAAATGAAGCTTCTTAGTCTAAACCTTTCCGTACACTTAACTTGAATTTACAACGAAAGGTATTGAAACATTCTACTCCTGCGACCAAAATAGAAATCTTGCTGTGTTATTGTATTCTTTAAACGGTTGCTTTCACTCACTGTGATGCTTGAAGTCGGATAATTCATTATCATTACACCTTGAACAATCTATCTTTCACAAACTCGAATTTCATCAACTTTTACAGCCAGTTATACACACTAGCCAGGTAATTTCTGGCGTCAGTGACATAATAAGCTTTTACAGGACCGTAATATATTAAAAAATAACACGAATAGAGAAAAATTTAATATATGTCTCAGTACTCGCTTCCTCCTGACGGCTTTGACAAACTTTCCATCATGAGCCATTTCAGAAATTTTCTCCAAAGTCCACGGTCTTCATTTCAAGATTTTTTACGGAAACGATGAAATATCATCCGAAGCAATATCGGTTCGAGAACAAATGATCGAAAAAATTCTGAAGCTATAGCGAACCTTTGGCTGTTCCCTCGGATGGAGAATCCTTGTTCGCTTCCACAGTTTTTGGATCCCTCAATTTTTCTTGCTTTTCATGCAACCTTGTCCTCCTTGTTTGCAAAGGATTTTTTGCTCCAGCTTCTGGCAAAGAATGCTGCTTCTTTACACTGGAATAGAAATGAAAACCTTCGCTTTTTGGCCCGTTTTCAGACGACGACGGTGAACTTGGAGACTCCGGTTCGCCGGCGCACGATCCATGGTCTGTAGAATTTGCTCGTTCATACATCCTCCTCCGCTGAGCTCGGCGAATGTAAGACAACATCACTGCTTGATTCTTCAGCGATGGAAAGACGGGATGGTCTTGCTTTTGTATCTCCGTCAAAATTGATATAATATCGTATTGCGAATAATCACAAATTATGTTTTGGGTAAAAGGTTGACTTTTTTGAATAATAATGAGGTAAAAAAAGAATAAATCCCTTATATGGTCATTGCTAAGTTCATTAGTATTCAAGACACATTTGCTTGCAAGTGAAATTAGTTTGCACGGATGTCCTTAAATTCTTCTTTTTCCCAAAGGGGAAGAAACTAATCGAACAGTCACGAGAAACTTTGAATTTGTACTCTGTAAAAGCGACAGAAACATGACAACCACAGCGCAGAGAGAATTAAGAAAAGCAATTAAATCAAATTGAAAAATTTTAAAATTTTCGTTGTGGCAAATGCTTGCGTACCAAAAAACATGTTTGTGTTCAAATGCGATATCGAGCTCTTTTTTTTTTCTTTACGTTTTTTTCCCCCCTGATTAGGATGGCTCTTCGTTAGCGGCGGAAATTAGTTTGAAAGCGTATACCCCATCCCTCTAAAAAGCAAATGAGCTGGAAAATAACTTCCACCTGTTTCATCATATCAAATACGCACTAAACTTCATTCTACAGATCCATCCACAGAGCTAGCTTTCAGGAAAAAAAAAGGGATTGTCTTAGAAAATTTCCTGTCGTAATAATTCAAATATCTTTATTTTATTTCGTATGCTCTTTGCCTTCCCTTTCTTTCTCGTGTTACTTCAACTGATCAAAATGCAGCACGTTTTCTGGAGTGCCAACTCATCAACTCAACAAACCTTTCAAGTACTCAAGGAAAAATTGATTTTAAAGAGCTGTTTGGGTTGCAAGGTGTTGAGTTTCCTTAAAACTCCATTTAGCATGAAGAATTTTCCTCTTTTATTATCTAAAAGAAGCTGATTGCTTCATCCGTGCCTTTTAATCAATGTTTTTACTTTTTGTTTTTATCAAATGAAATTTTGATATTAAAACTGCAACTTACGAGTTGCCAATACGAAGGGAATGACACAAAAAATTGGAGATAAAAACAGATTAAAACTTCTAAAAATGTCGTTTTGTCACGAGCTTGCGTAAGGACATGTCTGTGAAAATACTGAAAGCTTCTAGAAGTACGTGATAGGAAACAAGATTGAAACAATTGCTCTCTCGTCGAATTAGTCGTAAATTTTTTAATGTTATGGAAGATGAGACAGAATCTTAAACCCAGACAGCATCATGCGTCATGTCTACGACAAAGAAAATAGCTTCTATCAGACAGAAGGAAATATCAGTTTTAATGTGATATAATTAATAGAAAATAACGGCAGATACAAACGAGAATCGATACCTAGATATTAATTGAAAATCAAAGGGTGAGATAAGGAACATTTGAACTGGAATTGAATATGTACGCCGAGGATATGAAAGCTTTATAGGAAGGGAATCGAGTGCACTCTTTTTATTAACATATTACTACCAGGATGAAGTTCAGCTGTCAAAAGAAAACACCACACATCACGCTTTTGTCTATACATTCTCTAAATACACGTTTTGTTTCTAGGCTGTTTTCATTAAATATTGGAGGTCTGGCTTTAAATAAACCGTGAAGAACCTCATTACACAGGCCAAAAGGATGATGACTCTCTGTTTTGAATCTACAAGTACTGGACACCTGGACTTAGTGGAGAAAGCAAATTACCATCAGTCGCATGTTATGTTTCCATGTCACGAGTTTGTCCTTGAGAATTTACATAACTACTCTACATTTTGAATTCATCGGGGTGGGACACTTAAAGAGCGCATACATCACGTCTTGAATTTGTTCTCTGCATATCTAGTCTCGAATCCAGACCTTCCACGGCCAAGCGGTTGTCCACGGTAGGATCTGGGTACGAGATTATTGTATATCACGAGTTCTTTACTAGGAGTAATATAATAACTACTTTGCATTTAGTTTTTGTTTGGCTGTCATCTATTTTTTGTTGAGTAAAGAATAAATTATTAAATAAATAATAGATCTATCTTATCTGTGGCTTACTATTCTTATAAATATACTATTATCCAAGAGAAATATTTTCAAAGGGAAGATTTTAAGTCTAGGTTTGTATTCCGCTCAAAGGGGAGATAAGATAAAACTGTCTTATTAACTGAGTGTATAGTCTCGTACCCAGACCTTCCATGGCCAAGCGGCTATCTTACGTTTCAGTTACACGGTAGGATCTGGGTACGAGATTACTTGGTGTATCTGAATAATTCGAGCTAGTTTAAAAACATTTTCGTTTTCCATTCCTCTTGAGAGGCAACATTAATTAATCGAAGTCATTTACCTCTCAAAATCTAATTAATCTGGAAACCAGTGGACGAGGCACCGATTGGTGTATCTCCCATTGTTAAATCGAATCAAACTATCAATAATTTATAAACTGATGAATCATGAACGCAGAAGTCATTTTCCTCGCCTTAACGCCCTCCCCGTGGGCCTAATACTCGCTCTACCCCTCCCCCGGACGAATACGGACACGGGTTTGGGTCCGGCGTAAAAGTTCTCGCTGTTATCCTCACTGTCTGTTGTGTCCGACGTAGAATCGTCGTCCTCGGCGATGCACTTTGCGTCGTTTTTCTTCTTGCTTACAGCAGAGCTTTGCTGTTTTTTTCTCTTTTTGTCATTTTCAAGAATTTGATCCACAAATGTTTCTTTTTCAGTGTCAGCTGATGTCGAAGATCGACTACGGGTTCTCCGAGATCTTTCCTTGTTCTCCTGATAGAGTTGTTTCCTTTTTACCTGATTGGACGACCTTGGAGCAACTGACAACCTTAAATCAGCGTTCGCCTCGGCCCTTTCCCGCGCCTTCCCTCGACCGCGCCCGCGACCTCTTTTTCTTCCCGAGGAGCGGGTTTCCGTAAGGGCGCATGCGCTATCTCCATCAACGCTCTTTTTCGCACGCTTCGCGTCGGCTTCGTTATCATGTTTACTTGCGCTGTTTTTTGTTGAAAGGGTTCTTTTTTTCTCGTTTGGCTCCGTTTTGTCATTTTTCTTTTTACTAGGAGTTTCACCACCATGTTGTCTTTGCTTTTTGCTATTTTCAACTCCGTCTTCACTGTTGCTGCTGCTCGGATTGAACTTCCGGTTCAACACTCGCTGGACCCGTTTGCTTTTGACCGTTCTTGTTTCTTGAAACTTTACTTCAAAATAGTTGTTTATTTTCATCTGGGTCTACACAACAAAGAAGACAAAAATAAACGTCACGATGTAATTTTCCTTAACAAGTAAAATAAGCAACGGTTTGTTTGTTTGATTGTTTTTGTTTTTTCACTTCTCAACCTTTGATAAAAACAAAACAAAAAATAACAACAACAACAGCAAAACCGAGCCAAACAAACTTACATTTCACACTATGGCACATTTACCGACAGTCACGTCACACCAGTGTGGGGTAACATGTTGCGTGACGTAGCAAACGTGACACAATCCTAGCTAAATGTAAGAGGTAATCGCACATTCGTTACAAATCTTCATATCGACTGTCGGCAAACCTCTCCTTACTCTTCGTGACCATATTAGCACTGTACCAATGTCTGCACAGCACAGCGAACCTGACAGCCACGAGTTAAAATTGGAGTTTGTTTTGGTCTCTAGATCAGAATTGATGGCACATTAACATACGACTTTGAAGCTTGAAAGGCACCCACCTCGTCTTTGTTAAGTTGTTTCAACACAGGTAAGAGAACTTCATCTGTTCTGGAAGAAGACCAACCAAACTTGTCCGAAGCGAACGTAAGCGCGTTAAAGAATAATACTGAAAAATCTGTCGCACTTCTATAAAAAGGAGAATATTTTCAAAAGAGACTTGAACGCTCGAACCCGTTTTCCATGGAAAATAACACTGATGTAAAATAGAATCCAAAAATTATATCAGAAAATTTTCTAATAATGAAGGCCATTGACGTTTAAATGTTTGATTGTAGGGCAGTTTGAGAGTTTGATAATTTCACAATTTGTCTGCCAAAGGGTAAAGTTTGCCATCCAGAATTTTTTTTCTTTGAAATGTCAAGGTTTCTGTGGCACTCAGCTTCTCATACAGGGCGCAAGTTATTGGTTCACGTTACCCACTCCCTCCCCCGGCCTCCACCCGGAGTTTTGTCAAGTTTCTCTTACAGTTTACCAGTACCAATCTACACTCCTAAGTGGAGAAAGGCACTGCGAGGGAAAAGCGTCTCACTCAGAAACATAAAAGCAGATCCCATCCTGGGACAAAACCCAGAAAATTCGACCCGGAGTTCAGCGCGCTTCTGCATCTCTTACGGTGACGATCCCGAAAAACATAACAAGACAAACGCAAGCCTCAAGAATATTATTTTTCAAATTCAGAGGATATAATCTTAGTGAATGGAGGTCTGGCTTTCCCCATTCAAATTGCTCCGTTGACTCGTCAACGACAGGATGGAGATAAGCTTCGTACACTTCCTCAGCTGGAAAATCATTCGGTAATTCCACAGATCTCTACCATGAATAAAAGAAGGAACGGGTGAATGAAAAACGATTTTTGAGAAAAAGTAGGTTTGCAAGAATAGGAAAAAAAACTGGAACGAAAGAAGAGGAAAGAGAAGAAAAGTTAAAAGAAAGAAAGGTCAAGGAAACAAGAAAAAGTAGGGAGAAGAGGAGAGAACGAAAGGAAGACTCAAGGCACCTTACAGACGACGTATCCTCGTCAAGAGGTAACAAGGAAACAAGAACGTTTTCAGTGAAGCGTTCCTTAGAGACAGTATATCATACAGATAGGATAAGGGTGTCTACCAATACACGAAATAACTATTTTGAACGTTCTGAAATATTCTGTACATCAGAACATGTGCAGACGACGTCGATGGAAGGGAAACGAGAGGAATGGATTTACTTGAGCCCCTTCTAAAACATGAAGGAGCCGACAGCATTTTGAGCTGTACATCACCTTTTGCGCGAGTTATTCTCTCAGATTTACCCAACGACCAACCTTACTCAAGTCCGACTTAATCTCTTACCATTTTCCTCTTGACTTTGGTTTCTTGCGGATGTTTGGTACGCTTTTGTACTTCCTCGTGCCACGATCTGCAAAAAGAAAATAATTCTGATGCTGACAAAAATCGAAATTATCTCCTTGCGGTTCTCCCTTGATACTCAGGCAAACACACTTAAGAAACCACCGCTCATGTATAACACAAGTGAGTTTTTCTTGACATTTTCACTTGCCACGGAAAACTAGCGAGTGTTAATTATGTAGAAAGCTGATTTTTGTTCGCAATTTGATTGGTTCTTTCTTATGATCTATTGGGGGAGGACAGACGCATAGATGACGTCACCATTCATAATGTTTTGCTCCTTTATTATGTAAAACAAATTGATGCCATGTTTGTAAACAGAATAAGAGAGATGGTCAGTTTTGAGCCCGTAGAGTCTCTGTGGCTCAGTGGTAGAGCATCGGAGCACGGAATCCGAATGTCTGAGGTTCGATTCCCCATGGGGACTCAGAATTTGTTCTTTGTCCCACGCTCGTGACAAGACTAAAAACATCTTCCTCTTGATTCCATGTTATCGTGTATCTGTTTAGAAATAGACAACAGAAGGCACAAAATGTGTTGAGAACATCAGTGACACACTCGGCTGCACTTCGTGGTCCACTTTCGTTCTTACCACATTATGACACCATCTGTGATCTATTACTGAACAGACACAAAAACATAGATTCCTTCTTTTTTTTACTTTACTTAGGCATTCTTCGGGTAAAATGACGGTAATTGGTTCGAATCCTTTTTCCAGACTGGCGACAAGTCACTCAATTTAACATCTCCCAAAACTCTTTTCGGAAGACGAGGAAGCCTGGAGGAGAGTGTTCCTTTTTTTGTTTTTAACCCTTTACAACCTAACATCAGTGTGCATATTCTCCATACTGTTCTTTATACATTTCCTAAGGTGCTGACAAGGAGAATTTGCTTACTGATCAAAAGCTTCGTTCGTTGGTGATCATTTCCTTAATTCTCATGACCTTATTGTGTGATTCAGGCTGATATTGTAAGGAGAAATTAGATGCTGGTCACTCTTGGGGTTTTAAGGGTTAATTGTATTAAAAGCAGGAGGAGCTCCAGTTACCAAAGACGTCAACTTACTTGAACTTTTTCAGTCCCTCAAGGCCTTCACCTGAAAATTCGTGAAGAAGTTCCATCGCTCCAACTGTTCCAACACCTGATTAAAAAATAAATTAACAAATAGATAAAATACAAATAAACAGAGAATACAAAACAAACGCGGCTGCCACTCTCTCTCTTTCTCAGTAATACTCGAGGAAATTTCAAAAGCCGATTAAAGATAATTTAGCAAATAGCTTCCGTGGTACCGTGCGTCTGTGCAGCATTAGGTCACAGATGGCGTCAAAATGGGCGCATGGGCAAGTCACGAGGGAGAGGAGGGTCGAATTTTTTTTTTGTGCCTGTAACGCGGTGGGATCATTAAAAGATAAATGAATAATTAAATAAATATGAAAAATATTAAGTCAAAGTTACCTGGCACGCCTTCAGTATAGTCACTTCCGGTAATGAAAGCAATGCAGATGAGATTTGAACGGTCCAGAGCTGGAATGTAAAGAACGGCTTAGACAAAAACTCTCAACAAAGTACCAATTAGCAGGGAAGGGAAGAAAACAAATGCCATCACGAATTACGCTCGACGATCCATAGAAAAAAGCGCTCCATGGAAGGTAAAAAACAAATACTGACCAAGATTTCTAAGCACTGAATCGCTGCCGTACATCTCGACATGCTTGTTCTGGTTGAAGATGTTCTTGTAAACTCGTCTACCGCCAAACAGAAAAATGTCGCTGTCATCCGTGATGGAACCTTCTGTTAAACCAAGTATATCTAATGTTGCACATTGTGCCTCGGCCTCCATTGGGCTGACAAGATATGGGACACCAAACAACTGAAGAAGTTCCTGGGGGAGGGGAGGGAAGAGGACAAAAAGTCAATGCTGTATCTACTGAGAGAGTAGGGGTAACCACAGTTTTTAACATCGGTGGGCTAGTTAGTGATAAGCCCTTTGTAATTAAAGCTACCGCATGGTACAAGAAACAATATGCTGGCGAGCAAATGTGCGCCTTAGACATCTACTAGAGAAATACTTCTCTTGGCTGAGATGTTGGCCCTTCACAATTTAACTCCCTCCCTCCATCCCTGGCTCAGAATTTCTTCAGATTTTCCTGACAGAGACGCTGCAAGAGTTAAGCTTCTAGCTCAACACCACAACATAATGATCCGACCTGGACTCGAACCCAGATCTCTCGATCCAGAGTGCACTCGTCACAAGGTTCGCGTGAACTCTCACTAAATCCTGTGACACCTGGGCTAAACGATCAAACTTTTTTCGTTCAACATCATGATGAAAGAGCATTTTTGACTGTTTAGCCGCCTCTCTGAACATCGCAAGTGAAGGGCTTCCCAGTTATATTGATCTAGATCAATCATTTCATCCAATGTTTAGCGAAAAAATTATTTTGATCGTTTAGCCGGGGCTTTACATATCGGCATAAATTATAGTCAATCCTTACTTGACATTCTGCGAACATTTCGTTAGACAATGAGGCTGCGATGCGGTTCTGTCGAGCTTGTTCTGATGCCAAAGAGTGCTGTTCTGCTTCGATATTCAACCGTATGTCTTCCAACTCTTCCTAAAAGCCAAAATTAGGAGGAAGAGAGTTAGAAATAAGGTGCACGTATAGTTCAGTTGAAAGAGAAAATTTTTCAAACAGTTGTCACTGTCGTGGGACAAAAGGCCGTCTGAGTATCCCAAAAGCTCCAGCTTCACACGCAATATGACTTTTAGCGGAGCTCGCGTAGCCCCATAATTATACAAAATAGTAGTAACCCATCAAGCCGAAAAAATTTGGATGTACGACCGTAAGACCGTACAAGGTGCTACTTTTAACATGCGTGGTCAACTGTACAGCGGGCACGCCAACGCCACGGCCTTGTCCAGTAGTCCAGTAGTCAGTGCACTGGGCTCCGAGTCGGACGACCTGGGTTCTAGTCCTGGCCGGGGCAAGGCGTTGTGCCCTTGAGACGTGCGGGAAAAAAAATGCGAGCTCCGCTTTTAGGCTTGGCTAAATCTATATATTATCGTCAACATCACATTCCGTTAGAGCTAATTTAAAATTTGATCTTCCTAATTCAGTTTACCGTCGACTTTAAGGCCATTACCTAAGCATGCAAGCTGCTATTGCCAACTATTGCTAGCTATTCTCGGTGGAAAGTTGCGGTGCATCAATATATAACGGGAATATCTCGCGGTAACATATCTGTATTTCAATGTCTGCGTGTGTTTACCAGAGATTTTTTTCTCTTACCACTGTAGCACCTTGCCATTCCACAGGAAGACCAGATGGCCCTGGCACAGGTTCACCAACATCCATTCTATCTTCACTCTTCTCAGCAGAATCTTGTTTTTCTACAATTTGAGTGACTTTGATATCAGGATCTTGATTTGTGTCAGCGGTAGTATCTTCTGATTGTGTGGTTTGACCTTCTTGCTGAACATCTAGAGAAAAGGGAATTTTTTCATCCTCGATAACATCCGAAGTAGTATCGCCATTAGGGGAGGGTAAAATTTGAATTTCTGGTGAACTATCTGTAGAAAGCGTTCTCTTTTCTTCCTCAGCAATATTAAAACTAGGATTTGCCGTCTGAGTTTCTTGTAAGGTATCAGAGGACGATATTTTCAAATTCTCTGAAAGACCTTCTTCGGATTTTACAGCCTCTCTAATCTCTTCCACTGAACTTGTTCCTGATTCACTTTCACAAACATGTAAAGTATCGACAGTTTTTTCTTTGCTCTCTGTTTGATCATCAATAATTAAAGTCGATGGAGTGTTTTCTGTCTCTTCAATAACGTAGCACTCTGGCTTTCTTTCGGAGACGTTAAATACTTCGACAGATTCTGGAGAACGTTCAAGCAGTTCTATCTCATTTACTTCTGCTACATTGTGGTCATCCTTTGAGGAGGTAATTACATCATCAGCCGTTTTCTGGTGTTTTGAGGCTTTCCATTTCCTTAATAAATCTTCCAACTCTTTTTTCTTGTCTTTAATCTGAGTAAGCAGCTCATTATCTTCGTCCGAATCCTCTCCAGAGAACACCGATTTAGCTTCATGATCGCTTAAGTCATGGAGATTGTCTATTTTAGATTTTTTATCGACGCTTTTTGCGTCTTCGCTTCCTGGTAAGGGTGTGTGGTACGTCTGGCTTTTCTGTATTGGAGCTTCAGTTATCTTGGTAACATTTTCATCCATGCTTAGCTCATCGTTCTCAATTCTACCCTTGTTTTTTATTGGGGTGAAACTAAAAGTACCTCTCTGCGCTTGAGAGTTTGAGGGTGAAAGATCAGCTTCTGGAACATCCAGAAATGGCGACAAAATCTCAGAATCACTAGAACAAAGATCATGAATTTCAAAGCTTGGAACTTTTGTCGGGGAGACAGGCTTCGGGCGAGGATTAGTCCAAGTCACTATTTCACCCTCCTGGTCTTCCCGAAAGAAGCCGCCCTCATCTGAGAAATCTTTAGATTGCTTTACTTCTTGTTCATTGCGCTTTATCAGAATGTAGTGCGCCGTGTCTTCTGATAAAATCTTTTGTGAGTTAACGGAGTTTTCCTCCCCAACAGTTTCATCAGATACAATTCCCGTCAGCTCCCCGGAGTTTCTTTGGTTCATTTCTTTACGCAAGTCCTCCAGTCGCTGATTCATTTTCCCTCGTTTTAGGACTCCTTCCAGTTGAAAACTTGAAAAGTCTCTTGCTTGCTGCAACACAGAAATGTTCGTTTACACCTGAGCCTTAACAAGCTGAGAACGAATTTAAGACAAGTACATTTTGAATGCTATATACTGAGTGGTAAAACGCAGTCCTGTCTTTGCATGAATTTTGGTGTCAAACAAGTATTAACCCTTCGACTCCCAAGAGTGATTATCTGATAACTTCTCCTTACAATTCTAATAGAATATCTTGCAATCAGGCGAGGAGAATTGAAAAACTCATCAACAAGAGGGTGTTATGGTGTTGCAACATCAAATTCCCCTGTATAGTTTTAAAAGGAACTTTCTGACAGGTCTAATGAAAGAAATCCAGACATCCTGTTCAAACCCTCAGATCCACCACTGTCAATTCCACTTTGACTGCAGTCATCACTGCCTTTGTCAGCATTACCACCATTATCACATTGCTGTCATTTCTCCATGTGGAAAATAGAACCACACGGTTGTACAAATTACAAGTGAACCACTACCATTTCACACCCTAACATCAGCATGCAAATTCTCCACACCATTCTCTATACATTTCTTAAGGTGCTGACAAGGAGAATTTGTTGAACAATCAAGAGCTTCTATAGTTGTTGATCATTTCCCTTATTCTCATGACCTTAATGTGTGATTCAGGGGTGATATTGTAAGGAGAAATTAGATGCTAGTCACTCTAAGGAGTTAAATGGTTAAAATGGATGTCTTCTTCTCAAGGCATAGTCTTGTGACACAAAAATTTTCAACAGTATTTAAACAGAAAGATTCAAAATTGTGGCTTCCCTTACCCCAGGCAGAATATTCTTGCTCATCCATGTTTTTTCCTCTCTTATGTCCTTGATGAGTTCATGTTGTATCTCTGGGGGCAAAGCTTTAAACTCTTCTGAATCAATATCTATTGCTTTGGGATCCTGAAAAGTTTCCTGACAGAAATAAGAGTACAAATGTTTGTTTGTTTATGTGATCTGTATAGTGATCTGTATAGTGATTTGTATGGTTATTTGTATAGTGATCTGTATAGTGATCTGCATAGTGATCTGCATAGTGATCTGTATAGTGATCTGTACAGTGATCTGTATAGTATCAGGTGCCAAGACATGATGAAAACAGTTTTTAAGGAAATCCAGTTTGAAACGATGCCAAAGTACATATGTGGTCTTTTTCAAATGAGAAATACTGAACGCAACCAATGAGGATTAAGGAAACTTGTTATCCCATATGTTAACACAGCCACTTATGGTCTTCATTCCTTCAGATACACTTCTTCAAACATGTGGAACAAACTAACAGAGGACCTAAAGTCATTAAGGTCCTTTAATGAGTCCAGAGCTAAAATATGCCAGATTTTTTTCAAACATCAATACAATTATTACTTATGTAGATAGTAGTTAATGTACTGTATATAATATACAATTTTATTTTTATTAATAATTTTATTTTCTGATTTTTTTCTCTGTTAATCCAAGGTGAAATAAAGGTGATGTGATGTGATGTGATCAGACTTTTTTATGAATTACATTTCATCAGAAAATTTGAATTTTTAAGTCAGATTCATAGAAAATACCTCTAAATGTTGCCTGTGGAACTGTTCTAAAATAGGAATGTCCATCTCTTCATCTTCTGATGAACTATGGGTGAAATCAGAACCAAAATATCCAGTTTTATCAGTGCAAAGATACTTTTTGAAGTTGCTGCTCACATTCTCATGATACATGATAAATGAGTCTTCACATCCTTCTGCAATGACAGCCAACATGGATGAAAAACAATGCCAAGGTTGAGCACATGTCTGCATGTTCATGTAAGTCTTTGCCTTCCAAACTATCAAGGCAAGCTTTGAGAAATAAAAAACTGCCATGACTTTGATACAAACAAGTTTAAAAGAATCCTCCAGTTTTTCTCTTGGCACTTCCAAAAGTACTCAGCCTGTAAATTCTCCCTAACAGAGTTAACATACTAAAGAGAGGTCAGCTAATGAGAACTGATAAAACATCGACTAAAAGACATGGCATTGATATAATACCAAATTCTCACAAAGAAAATTAACAATCGTCATAGAGAGAATTAATGTTCAGATCTTTGCCCACCTCTTAGCATCTGTGACAGCACTTGATGACAGAGGAGGAAGTTCAAACACATCAGGTTCTCTTGGGCTCCTACTTCTTACAGGGACAGCTGAACTAAAAAAAAAGTTGTATTATCTTACCAAGAAATTTTTCAACTTTGTTGTAAAAAAAGCTGAAAAGGAGAAGGATTAAAGAGGTCATGTTTTGACCAATGAGTAATCCCTTGATTGTCTAGAGCAACAAGCAATTAGCCTTTCTTGGAAACTAATCAGTACCCTCACTTGGTTATATTAGCTGAAATTTCTCTTGATTAACAACTAAGCAAATCAAAATATCCTACCAACTGTTTATGGTCTAAAGTACCTCTTCCTCTTTGTGACAGTTTCAAGAGCTTTGGCCTTCAGATAATTTTTGATGATCTTTTCTGCAGCTCTTTTTGACTTATGAACAGCTTTAAATCTTTGTTCCTTTCTTGCCGCCTGGTGTTAAGAGAAATTTAAAATATTAGGTAAGCAAGTAATTATCATAAGACAGAATACCAAACAATGTCCTTATGAACTCAATCCTCTCAAGGAAATATGTAAAAGCAAGCTAACACTTCAAACAATTTACATCCACATGTACCAAATTGCTGTGGTCATTTCATTTGAGCCAAAATTGAAGATACTGCCAGACAATGAACGTTCAGTAGAAACATGCTATATCACTGCTCAATTTACATGGCTAACTCATTTCTTATGAGAAATTCTTCAAAGCTATCAACAAGAGCTAATAACCAGTCAAAACCATTGGTGAATCTGCCATCTTTAGTTTCTTACTTAAAACTTATTCACCATAATGATTATAGCGGAGCTTGTGTTGCCCCATAATTATACAAAATAGTAGTAACCCATCAAGCCGAAAAAATTTGGATGTACGACCGTACGACTGTACAAGATGCTACTTTTATCATGCGTGGTCAACTGTACCACAGGCATGCCAACGCCACGGCTTTGTCCAGTAGTCCAGTGGTCAGTGCACTGGGCTCCGAGTTGGACCACCCGGGTTCTAGTCCTGGCTGGGGCAAGGCATTGAGACGTGCGGGAAAAAAAATGTGAGCTCTGCTTTTAGGCTTGGCTAAATCTATATATTAGCAAAAGATGAAGAGCTTAGTGCAGCAGACATTTCCCAATTTTGAATGGAATTGAATCTATAATTTACCAACAACAGGTTTATACATGTGTGAATCCACTCCACAATCAGAATTTTGTTTAATGGTTCATACAAACTTTGTTGATCATTGTAGAAATTTCAGCAGAATACTTCCTTGTCATTAGTTTGATCTCACAAAATAACATAGCATCCACATTAGCCTGGACACCTACTGTTCTCATTTGCTTCTACTTTTGAACTTATTGACAGCTTGGTTATTGTGTTACACAGGAAAAGAAGACAACTTTTCAGTGATTTAATCACAGCATTACAATAACTGTTACATGTACTACATTTTTGAGGCTAAAATTTGACATTCTTGCAAGGTTTCCCCTATTGCTAGACTCCAACAAGGTATATTTTCGAGTACTAGTAGTAAATGTACCTTTTTCAGAAAAATTTTAGAAGTTTTCATGTCTGAAAACAGTGACATGCACAGGAAATAGTTTGGAATACTGTTGTTTCTTTTGAACACAAGGGAAGGGGAGACAAGTTATTGATATCTTACCAGAGTCTTTTTCTTGAGATGAGGCACTCCACCATCAAATACAAAAACTGGTTTAATCCTGTAATACAACAGTTTGCATAATCTACTGAACAAGCCAACAAGATGTGCATTAGGAACAGGATTTCCCTGCTTATCACGCATCCCCTTCACAGCTTGATTCAAGATCACACTGGCATCTGATTATTCACATGTTAAGGGTTTAAAATTATAACTCATTAGAGATCACTATATCAGACATGTTTTGATGCTACTTTGGTTTACAGATTTAATGAATATAACTGAAGAAGTTACAATTTATAGACCCAACATTTCAACACTCCTGTCTAGTGCCTTCATCTGGGGTGATCTAAACCCTGCAACAAGAGGTCCTTTTATATGATCACTAATTAGCTCCTTTTTTTCTGACAAGCTGTAAATAGGCATCAGGAAGTAAGCCACCATCATCAAAATTTGAAGGAGCGTGGGCAGAGTTAATATGCCAAGCTTCCAAACAAAGGCACTGGTGGTAACGCCGATTAGTGGTGATAATTTTAGACTTATCCCACCCAATTGTATGGTTAGTTAGGCATGTGTGCTCCAATAAAGCTGAATTTTTTTTTGCAAAGAAAACCACTTTTTGATGCTCTCTCAAATGTGTACCAAACTGATGTTTGGTCTGTCTGATGTATATGTTGTCACAGTCATTGGAATAGAATAAATGGTGTCCGTCTGCTGTAAACCAGTAATAACTAGTAGCACTCCTAATGAAAGGGAACCAGCTGTCTGTCAGTTATCATATAATTTATAATCATCAGCATCATTTATCATCATTTTGAGTAAATAACATCATACAACATCATACATTTGGTGCTGACAAGGAGAATTTGTTTCACCCTTTAACTCCAAGAATTGATCAACATGAAACTTCTCCTAATAATATCCTTACGTTACCCAGCAAACAGCTGATGAGAATATTCAAACTTATCAGGTAGAAGTTGTTGCCTTGATCTAACACCAAATTCTCATAACTACTTTACAAGGATATGTCTAGCAACTAGAGGGGAGAATTACCATCAGATCTTGGGGGTTAAAGGGTAAACAATCAAAGCTTCCCAGGTTGATGATCTTATTCTGATTATCTTAATAAATGATTCAGAAGTGTAATTGTAAGGAGAAATTAGATGCTGGGTAGTTTTCGGGTTAAGTGCTAGCCAGTTCTTATAGATTATCCAAAAGTCCCATGGTAACAACAACCAAACAAACAAAAAGCATAACCAAAAACAAAAGACACAAAGAAAAACAAAACAAAACAAACAAAAACGACAAAATATATTAAAAAAAAAGGCTTTGTCAAACTGAAGCCAAGAAATTAACCCTTAAACTCCCACGATCTGATTGGATAATGTATGAATATTGTAGGGAGAACTCACATGTCAATCACCTATGAGAGTTAATGGTTAAGTCGATACTTTGCAGTAACAAAACAAAAGATCTTGTCAGCTAAATGATTAAAATATAATATAAACAACTAAGTTAAGCTTGAAAAGGATACCAACTCCGAGTATTTTGTTTTCAAGCGACTCCAGAGTTACCGGCCGTCCAACAGATTCTAAGAGTTTCCAAAGCCCTTTCACTCCCATATTTCAGTTGTAACAAGTAAAGCTCGCTGTCTTTGACAAGCCGATATTTCACGGCTCAAATTGTATTTTATCATAGTAAATCACCATGACAGGTTCAGGTGTTCCTGACACTTTTAAAATTCGATCTAGCAGCAACATCTAGCGACTGATAACGTTAAAATTTTAAAGAGCATGAATCAGCAATAACGTCCGCCATGTTGAAAATTCTCGCGCATCCAAATTCTTACTAGTGCCGCTGATTATTTGCAGGCCTTTAACCTCGTTTCCAGAATTCTGTCTCATCAGAGAGAGACGTGTGCGTGGGCGGCAGGGAGGGAAAATTTCGAATTTTCTAGATCTTGGCTGAGTGACATTACGTGGCCACTAAGAAAAGCAATTTTTGGTTTCGTCTAAGCTTTCCCCTCCCACGGCAAGCAAACATTTAGCAGAAACAAAGGAAATCAAACATAATATTAAATATAGGTCAAGATTAGACATTCGTCTTTTCTCTTTTCGATAAGAAAAAAATAAAGAAAAACTAACAAGATAAGTGAATATATTTGTCACGCTTAGAAAAAGGTCACACAGGAAAAAAATATTTTGCTTAGTGATTCTAACACGGGAATATTCTCGAAAATACTTTGAAATTTGAATCTAATTTTCTAGGAATGTAGTATTCGACGCTAGATTTCTGAAAAGTTGATTGCATCCGAGGGAAAATACTGCAGGAATGTGAACAGTTCTTGCTGGTAGATTTAGCTAACGACTCCCCCGCCCACACTGAAAAGGAAATCAAAGTTCTTATCCTGTGATTTGAAAGCCCGTGACTAAGATCAGTAGGGAAAAACCCTTCTTTGGTAAGTCATAAACTTCCTTGAACAGGTTAATCTTTCAACAGGAGCTCCAAGTTATTTTTCATCATCGTTTTATATGGTAGGTTTGTTTTATGGCCTAAAAAGGTCACTATTTTGTCGAAATTTGACGAGTATATATGAAAATATTTTGATTTGTTGATCCATAGAAATAAGATTTTTCTTGCCTTTATTCCGCTAAATGGCGAAAGACACGAACATTTCTCTCAGATTGTAAACATGAATTTTCAATCAGGCGTGACCTTTTCAGGTGTTACATGAACTACCTTGCGTGAACAATGAATAATTAGGAACGCTGCCCACGCAAAATTTAAAAATACTAAAGTTTTATTTCAAAATCAGTGTTTGAACATCTTGAAATTAAGAATAAAAATTTCTGTAAATTAATACCCTCCGAAGTCTTTTTTTATTTTAAATTTAGAATTGCTTAGGAGATGAGAAAGAAACTGTTTTTTCGGTTGCTAGGCAAGGGCCAAGGTTAACCACATAATTATGACATCATCATTACCGCAGACCTATCGAAAAAAGTCCATCAGGTGGGCTGTTAAAAGTGTGGGCTTTTAATGCAAAAGGAGAGAATGAAGATCATTCACGAAACTACCGTATTAGTCCTTCTAGAAAGAAGGGTTCGACTTCCGGTAGATTCGAATCGATTAACAGGTGACGGAATCCCTTTTTTAGAAGCCAGATCAAACCATGGGGGCTAATAAATATCAAGCGTTCGCGTGAATAAAATTCATATACCACAAATCGTCTGGGTTGTAAGACAGTCAAGAACTTCATCCGGAGTCACCGAATATCAAAAGAACAGCGACCGCAGAAAAAAAAATGGAAAGCTTCTTGGACCCAAGAGTAGAACAACTTCTGTCCAAGAAAACAGACACACAGAGATTACAAGCGATTGCGTTCTCCATAGCATGTTTGTGTACCGGACCAACACCATTTCAACCTCCTGATTACTTCCATATTCCGAAAAACAGAGGTATATGAATGTCTTGAAACTTTCAATGTTTTCACTCTTTCCCGTAAGCGCGAATCAACGAGAATTGTTCGATTTGTCTTAGATTATCGCTGAAAAAAGGTTTATTGACAAAAATTTTCGCTACATTTTTCAAAATTATATTGCTGGAATCGAGTCAGCATTTTTGTGCCAAAAAAACGAGAGGAGCAATATTTTATGTGTATTTAGTCGGTGAGTGTCACTGTCGTTGCCATGAACATAAAAAACACGAAGTTTTTTCCGCGTGACTCAAGGTGTGTGTTTTGAAATTCTACCCAAAACTCACAGGATCTCTTGATTTAAGCGAGTAAGTAGCTTAAGGTCACTATTTTGAGAAATCCTGAGCAGTACCAAATTTGGTATGCAAATTAAATAGAGTCATATCTATGGCGACATATCCCGTGTTCTTCATGTGATCTAATAATTTTGAATTCGTGTATGATTCCCCGCTTTATATAGATTCTAAATATTTATTTTTCGTTTCCTATTTTAGCGGATACACAAGAGGAGAGCGATGAAGGGGAAAGTGAAGAAATTAAAGAGAGCAAAAGTCTGTGAAAGTGCGACCCTTACATCCGGTTCAGATGTTGAGCTTCGATATACAACAGACCGCGTAACTAGGGACTTATGCGTGACGATGATTATTGCGTGACCGTTCTCACTGTCTCTCCGTGACGGCCTGTTCAACAGAGCTTACGCCTTTCCTTACTCCTTGCTGGGAAATCCTGCGCTGCAAAAAACTGCATAACGGGTAAAGCAGCAAAGAATAATTTGTGTATTTATTAAAATATATGAAAGGATATGAATTTTAATAATGTATAAATGTAAAAAAAGCCATGAAATCCGGAAAAAAGTTTTTTTTGTTGAAAATAAAATCCTTGTCAAACTAGACAGGACACCGCTACTTTGAATAGACTGAAAATAAAATGAAATATCTGGAAATGCATCTCTTGTTGAAATTAGTCGCGAAGTCGGCGCTGTTCTATTAGAGAAGCAACATACTTGTGTATACAAAAAGACTTGCAACTGAACTTACTGTTAGTGTCTTCACTGAATTAAATCAGTAATATTCTTGCAAGATATTTCTTTGAATGACACTGGTTCAAATTAGAATGGCACATCTTGGGATCAGTATTGTTGCCTCAACCTCGTTTTTAGGTTTGCCAAGTCAGGAACGAGGTTGGACTTATCGAAGACCTTCACTCAATTTTTTTATGAACAAATTTCGGATCAATATCAGTATCTGGGCAACTGCCCACCTACCTCTCCCCTAACCTAACCCTAACCCTAACCCTAACCCTAACCCTAATCCTAACCCTAACCCTAATCCTAACCCTAACCCTAACCCTAACCCTAACTTGTCATCAATTGACTGTTGTTGGGTTAGGGGAGGGGTAGGTGGGCAGTTGCCCAGATACTGATATTGATCCCAAATTTCTACAGAAGGAGAAAAAAATCCAATTTAGCATAGATGTCGTTTCAGCTGATTTCTATCCCTATATATATATAGATATAAATAAATAAATAAATAACTAAATATATATATATATATACATATATATAAATAAATATTATGAGAGGAAAAAATATATATATATATACATATATATATATATATATATATATATATATATAAGCAGCGTAGAATTGGTATACCTAACGATGAACTCCCAGTAAGAGGATCCACTGGATACAATGTCTCGACGTGAATTTGTAGTTAATTGTACTATAAGGACGTAACGAAGAGGCCAACTCTTGACTGTTCTGGACGAATTTAATGCACGACGTTTCGGCCGTTCGGCCTTCTTCAGGTTAAAATTAAAAACTAAAAAGCTATTTACAATGATTGCGACTTCTAGTCTACTTCGAGTCTACCTTTCACTCATATATATTTATATATATATATATATACTTAGGCGCGAAACTCTGAAAAAAAAGTTCTGTCTGAAAGAATCGATACGTCCTCTTTAATTCTTTAACTTATGTAGACTTAGCTCTGCTACCACAGCATTGAGCACTTTATGCCAAGGTAGACTCTACCCACATTCATTTATATGAAACTCTAAACTAAATATGTAACTCTCCCTACAACAGCTCCAGTAAAAGATGCAACCTCTGCCTAAAAGAAAAATTCCTGATAATTTACCGACCCGACCTCTCATCACTAAATAAGCGTAACGAACTCGTATCTTCATGCCGACACAGAAACAAAGCGTTGCTACGCAACAGCTGAACTCTAAAGTTTTTAAGTTTACCGCATATTATGTAAATTTTCCTAGTATATACACGATAGTCACATGAATATTCTTTCATTAAACCCCTGAAGAGTGAAGCGATTCACGAAACAGGCTTGTCGGGAAATGTAGTTGCGTCCTTTTTTCCTCATAATATATATATATATATATATATATATATATATATATATATATATATAAACAAAACAAAAAAATCATTTGGAAAATCTAGAGGGCGCGTATGTTCCGGTTGGAGTCTTAAATGTGAATGATATAAAGTCACTGAGGATATGAACTGTAACACTGATTTAATGGAAAGCGGCGAGTCAGTGTGCATAAAGCGGATGAAAATGTATATCATAACACACTTCGAGACATTTATTCGAAGTAGTAAGCAGCAAAGACACAATGACTGAGAGACATGCTTTTAATTAGTTTACAACTGAACATATCTTTTGCTCTCTCTCAAGATTCACTCTTAATCAAAAACTGGAAAAAAAAACTTTATGAAAATCTCTAACATCACATAATCATTCAATAGTTGTACGCGCACTCTGTGAACAAAGAAAAGAAAAATTTTACAGATTTTACAGTAATGAATGCCCTTTTAAAATGGATACAAAAATAACTTTGAATAATTGTTTCTTTTCAAGAATTCCAGGCTGATTGATGGTAATCAATATACATTGACCTTATCGGAAAAGCAGAAAATAATAACGATATACTCGTATAAGATAACTTTGGATAATTTTAGACACTTTTTAGCTGCCAAATTACGACAGCTTTGCGTATTTTTGTTCAAAATTGCCGTATGGCAATAGATTTCGGTTCTCTAATTCGCGTCCAGTGGCATCAATTTTTTTCACATTAAACTTTTCCTTGCCTTAGCGAAGCTCAGTGGAAAGAGATATTTCCATCTCCATCGATTTAGGAAAATAGCCTTTCATAAAAGGCAGGAAGAAGGAAAGCACAACTATTACACCGTGAAAAGAGGAATTTACTCCTTTTTCTTTTCTTATTATCCAGATTACGGCCAGTTTTCTTTAATTTTCCTCCTCAATAAACAACTGTGCCGAAGGAGAAGAGATCGTTGGTAAATTATAAGTCACCGACAGAGACATTACATGCGCGTGTAACATTTACGAAGCACGGGAAACGCGCATTCGTGCGCACATGGCTGTACGCATCTCAAGCACACACAGAAGGCCTTTAAATTTGGAACATAATGTTTTGGTTCTCAAATGTCTCCTCTAGGAGCTACAGATAAGTTTAATTGCCATTATTATGATGAATAAACATTTCCAGATTAGCCCTGTATAGGGGAAAATAATTAAATGTTTCATTCAGAATTGCAATAGCCACATCTACCTATGTTAGGGGTTAGTTCTTGACTTAAAGAAGTTCGCAAACCAAAATTAACACTGAATTCTGACGAAACACGGTTGTTCTCTGAAAATAAAGACGTTTCATGGACCATTTTCTGTGCTCCCGTAAGATTTTCCACCATTTGAGTCCTGTTTGGTGATTGCGCTGTCATCTCCAGACCCTCTCCTTCCTTTATTTCCGTTGCCATCACCCATCTCCTCGTCCCCAATCCCCACGGCTGAGCCAACGAAGGAAGAATCTGACAACTCAGTGTCTTTAAGTTTCTCAATAAATGAGGCTTTCTGCATTTGATGGTGAATGTTAGATGCGATCATACTGAGTGTGATGGAAAGGACCGACAGGCCAAGGAATACGAGGAAAATATTCACGAAGACGAGCTGGGAAAAGAAGATTAAAGAACTAAGGTTACAATTATGGACACACCAGTCGGTAGAGCTCTTTTCGATTGAGTGTCATAAAACTAAAACCAAAGTAATCACAACAGCCAATCAAAAGAAACGTTAGGTGTCCATGAACTCAAAAAAGTGCGGGAAAACGCGGGCAACCAAGTCATGATTGATTTTATTTTTACACCTGATTGGTTGAGAGAGTGGCACGAGTTTGTTTTCTTGACCAATCACAGAGCGAAGTAGAGCAAAAACAAGGCAATCCCGGATTTCTTTCGACAGTCAATTAAAAATTGCTCTTATATGTACGCTTGATAAGATGTTAAGCATTCGAAAGGCATACAAAATTAAGAAAAAATAAAAACAAGCAATAACTCGATTATATAGAGCCGGTTGCTAAAAATTATCTGTTTTAAATGGGTCTGTAAAAGTCACATAACCTACTCTTCAAATATGATTTCAGAAATTCTGGTCAGTAATGATGAGTGATTAACATGTAATTTCTCTTTACAATATCACCCCTGCATCACACATTGAGGTCATAAGAATAAAGGAAATGATCACCAACTTAAGAAACTCTTGATTGTTAAACAAATTCTCCTTGTCAGCACCTTTGATATGTATAAAAAACAGCATGGAGAATATTTATACTAACGCTTTGGTTTAGAGGGTTAAATGCACAGTTGGTATGCATTCATTGCCATGAAACTGATAGCTCTATCTGGTGACAGTTCTTGAAACTCGTCACTTAAAGTTGAATACATTAATTCCTAATTTCTATCTACTAATCCTTTTTTACAAAATATGTTTATCCAACAGATATAACACGTGATTATATCGCTGCGTGCTTAATTGCATGGAATAAGTAGATGTATGCAAGAAATCGCAATATACCTGCTCTTTCTGTGGTACGACGTCTCCAAACCCAATGGTAAGATACGTTATGTATTGAAAATAAAGAGAGGTGCCAAAATCCCATCCTTCTATCCAACAAAACAGCCCAGCCATAAGAGTGGTGAAGATAAGAAGAATTAACAGACCCATCCACAAAGGAGCGTCCACTTGGCCATCATCTCCGTCTTGGACACTGGAAGAAAAAAGAAAAAGGTGTTAGCCTGTTCCAGGTGTTCAGTTAGCAAAACGAAGCAAAATTGTAGACGGCGCAGTAGTGGTACAGGAGGAAAACGCTGCCCGGGAGGCCTGGGTCGGGTCACGTTGAGATCTGCGCGACTCGACCCAGGCCTTCCTCGTTTTTTCCACTCTACCGCTATCATCGGGTCGTTTACCTTTGCACTTTGTTTTACTACCAAAACGCTTAGAACAGGCTTAAAACTCATTATAGAGAGAGGCATAAAATTGCTTCCCCAAAAGCCTTTTGGTGCCCTTGCGCCTTTCCCAATTTCAAAAGCTTAAAGCGACTTAGTGCATTTTTTACTCCATTTGAATTGCATGTTTTTCCACACAGCCACCGGCGATTCATCAAGTTTTCGTGATTCCTCGTTTACTCTTTGGTGGAAAGCAGACATTGTGAGAAGAGTTTCCTACCCAAAAACACAGCCAGGGCTCGAACTCAGACCCCTCTATTCCCAGTCCAGCGCATCAACCACCCTACCTTTGCGTCTGCCATTTAGCGTAAAGATAAAGCACAGAAAAAGACGACACAATGGGTTTTATGCTAAGAATCGCATGAATGATAACATAAAACTTACGTTCGTTCATATTCGTACGACTTGTGAACTTTCCTATACCATTTAAGAAGCCAAGCGCATGCGTCGTTTATGTAATCACCCAAAATTTTACCAACGATAGCAAGGAGTGCTAGGGTCAGTGGTATTCCTAGTAGTGCGTAAATGACACAAATGACGCGGCCAGCTACTGTTACTGGGGACAAGTTTCCATAACCTAAGAAAAATGAGTAATATTGAACTAAAAACATTTGCATAAAGTATATCAAAATAATTATGTATTCACAGCATCCCTTGATCTAATGGGCAGCCAAATTAATGGTTACAATTTACAGACGTATCCGATCTACAGGCTTAATAATTTAAATCATTTGCAAAGCGTACTTAACAGTCCCACATGAAAGTGCCCCTCAGACTGCTCAATAGAAGACTACGAGCAGTCCCTGTTTTTCGGTGAAGTCCCGCAAGTCAAAAAGACACATTGAAAAGAGAAACATTATGTTAGCACGCTGCGCTGAACTCTGGAAGTTTGACTTGTACGGCAGACCTCGTCGAATAGCAGAGACTGCTTGTAGTATAGCTCAGTAGCGTTTCCTTGGACAGTCACCTGGTAAGTTTTGATCCACTTGTGCGCGAAAAAATTAATCTAGAAAAATATACTGCAGTCACTCGTAATAAGGATAAGGAATTCAGGAAGAAATGGAAATTTTTTTTTTCTTTATAAAATAGTATTCTGTCCTTTTTCTTAACTTTTGTATTTTGATTTGTTTCTTTCCGCTACCTATTTATTTAATAATCTATTAAATTCTAGAAAACTGATACCTTATGTAGTGTAATCAACAAACAGAATTCTTATTAGTGACTCGAACAATTAACACGCAAACAATAACGTAAATAGATCAACTGTAATTCAATTTGACTAGTGTAATTGTATTGTAATATATGTTTGTAAGTAGTGCAAGTTAATGTAGTGTGAGCATTGTGTAAGAAATAAGTATAGGATAAGTACTTATGTAAGTATAGTATATAGAATAAAATGAAAATAAAAATTAAAAAAAAAAAGTTTTGATACACAGATTTCAAGGTTAGAAACACTTTGTACAAAATTACAATTATGGTTACGAGGACAAAAGAAACGATCACCAAGAAGCCCTAGATGGTTATTCCTGTTAGCACTTTAGGAAATGTATAGAGAACTGTATGGACAGTGTACATACTGATGTTAGGGTAAAAAGGGTTAATTAATAGAGAGAATCCCTGCATGCAGCAGGATAAACAGTGCTGGCTAAAGGTGCTCCTAAAAGTCGATTACCCCAAATACCAGAGTTAGACACATGATTAAAACTGCTATATATTGCTGATACATGTTACTTACCAATTGTAGTTGTTACAGTCATACAGAAGAAGATAGAATTATAGATGTTCCATTCCTTTTTGGCTGCAGCCGTACGTTGGTTGGTTATTCGAGAAAGAACACCTTCAAGTTTTTCTAGATCTTTCGAAGTGAGATTTTGCACTAAACCAGGTACATTTATTCCATCGGATAGCGACAAGTTCTGACTTATTTCAGAATTCTGTAGAGATAAAAAGGGCAGTAAATGGTAAACTATTGTTCATGAAACATTTTCAGCGCAGATGTGCGTGCAGACTTTTTACAAGCATCACGTCCCTCCTAGGAGACCAGTAATGATTTGTCACTTGGAAGGGTGGGTCGGAGGATTTTTAGGGGGATCATATGGTTTTCAGGGGGGAACGGAGTGGGATTTGTCGTTGCCAAAAGAGTATGAGAAAGGGTACTATAGGAAGTTGAATGCCATTTAAAGGCTAATGAAGGGGGGGGGGAAGGGTCATAGGATTATTACAAAGCCTTATGCGGGGATCACAACCAAAAATTCCCCTTCCCCTCCCTCCCTGGAGATAAACAAAGGCCGGTCCCTTAGGACCAGCTTTCAATCAGTTCAAAGCGGAAAGACAATACAAAGCTTTGGCCGTGATCGTTTCATCACTCGGACGTCGATTTCCCGCTTTAGCAGCCCTATTTCACGTTTATAAAATATATAAGATATTCCACATGTACTAATTGGTCGAACGGTCATACACCTATCGTATATCACAGTGATTAACCCATAGCTAGTTTATAAAAACAATATACCTCAGTCTCAATCAGTTACTTGACGCATAACCTACGTTGAATGTTGGTTGAACACTAGAAAATGATTGAATCACTCGCCTTCGGCTTTACTTTTTTCGTGCGTGCGAACATTTCCCCAAGATCATTATGCCTTTTATTCGATAAAGGGCGCGCTTAATGGTTCAACTTCCTCTTCTGGGCTTTTTTAAAGGTGGAGTTGTTCTCCGTGCATGATTTCGCTTTTGTAAGAAACATTTCGCAAAAAAGGGATTATTGGTGATAAGTGATCGTAAAGAGCAGAACAATCTTCACATGAAAGCCATCCCTTCGATTAACAGTAAATTAAGGTAGAAATATGGATAGAATTTTCGATTCCCACTGTCCCTTTGTTTCCAAGCATTATTAAGAGAACTGCTGGATTTCCGCCAGAGAAAGCCACACAAAAGGCTATACAGATTGAATTATCCTCAAAAATAATTGATTTTCATATCGGAATTTAGTCCTTAAGGCATTAAGCTCCAGTGATAAATAAAAATGTTTTCTTTACGGACTTGCCAAACATCTTGCGTGTTTTTTCTGCGCAATGCAAGCCCTCAATTTCTACATGATCTTGAACGAGTATCGTTAAACGGGTCTTAATTAAAATTGTTAAATATTGATGAATCTCCTCGTTCAGGAAGCCCACAATCTAAACTAGTGGAAAAGATAGTTGAAAGTCTGTGAGTTTAAACTGATAACGCGGATGGTAAATGTGAGATTTTTAAGTCACGGAGCATGGACAAAGCTAGCAAAGAATAAGCGTTTCTCTTAAGACTTCGAGAAAACTGGCGCAAAAATCTTACGAGCATTTTTAGCGTTACAGTTTTGTTGTTACATTTCCCGAACCGAAAATTTACATATACTGAGATTGACTAATAAATTTATCAGAGATGGCTCTCGAATGATTCGAAACGCATGCATGTAGGGCTTAATTTGCATGTTACCGTCTGCTTTAAAGTTATGAAATTTGTACAAAAGCGGCAAAGAAATTTTCTGAGCCCGATGGGGAATTGATGATCAAAATAGAGTTAATAAACAGAATTTGCATACTTTAAAGTACCGTGGGATTTATTTATCAATGGGTTTACCATCGGGTTATGAATTTTTAAGTTATACCTGATTTGTGAGGAATTGGAGGCTTGCCAAACTCAATTTTTTGTGTTTTCGATTGCTTGAAATAGAGTTCTCTTGCCTCGAGATATTGAAACAGAAGAGTATTCTACTTGATCACACTGTAACGGAAGATGCTTCATTAATAATAGATAACTTATGCTTTCATCTAATGGAATTTCGCGTTGAAAAAAATCAATTGATGCGAGTTTGCTTTTCTTTCAAACGTAGTCACAGCTACAAGTAAATAGACGTATCCGATCAAAATTTGATAACGTTCCAAAATATTCGTTATTTCTCTATAGAAGAAATATATTGTGTGCTATGTTTTTTTGTTCCGAATTATCAGTATTGAATTATACATGATCTAGAAATCTCGTACGTTTAAAATTGTCTAAACGGTGTTATAGCGTCCTAGCGATTTCAAAGTCTCCGAAGCAAAACTTGACTCTATCGAGCGTTTCAACCGAAATTGCGCCCGCGCGGGGCGGCATAATTGATCTAGCATTTTTCACCAACTTACCTTCAAAACATTGAAAATGTCCACCAATTCTTGGGAAGTATTTACAACAACTTTAGGTTGCCGCTCTAGAGCCATGAATATAAGTCCCCCTAAAGTTAGGTAAGCGGCGTTCAGGAGAATCATAAAGAGCGGAAATGCAGCTCCTTTCTTCTGTATCTTCTTTTGGATCCATTTCACACATTTCAGTGAGCTTTTGATTTTGGTTTTATCAATGCTTGGGAGATTCATATTCGGCAGCATTTTCTTCCGATCTCCTTCAGTGTCATCCTCTTTGTCTTTTCCTTTGAAAAGTGGCATGTTCCACTGTGAATACTGCGCGTAATTTGACGATAAAATTCTTTGGGCGTTCTGGGCGTCCAGACGCTGAAATTATGTCAACTGCTACACAGTTCGATGATCAGCCCGTACAGTAAACACGCGCTATTCTCTGAACGTCAAAACTGTTAACTTTCTGTTCACAAGAAGTTTTGCTTCTTTCCTTTGAGAGTTATCCGTTGTTTAAAGACAACTTGCTTCGATCGAATCGACGTCACATGATTGCAAGGAAGAAAAAAAATTCACACTTGATATTCCTTCGAGATTTTAAAACCATTGGAGCGAAGCTAAAAACCACAGCCCACGAGATTGTTAAAAACGCATTGGACCACATAAAGTATTCAAAAATCTGCAGTCCTCAATCATACTTGAACAATTACTCGGCGCCTAGTTTCTCACTTAAGAGTTCAAATTCCTTGATGAGAAATCGAATCAGGAAAAGTTTTCTTGCATTTGTATCTCTTTACATTCAGCATTCCGACTCCATTAGAACTTTCTGAAAACAAACTTCACTCTTCGGCTTTCTGTCCCCAAGCCTACGCATGGATTCCTGCAAAGAATAGAATAATTACTATTCCATTTAATATGCAATGCAAACACAAACAGGGTAATAGCAATTTTTTTTTGTTTAGATCGTTAAAAATAGCGCGCAGACACGGTAGAATCGACACAAAATTTTATGGCAAATGTGAATATTGTACTGTTTAGGAATTGAAACAAGATCGAAACAACTTTTTTTTTTTTTTCACGATCGACTGCATTTCAAATAATCATGTGCATATGTGAACATTATAGGAAGTGATTGTCATTTAATTAGCACTTTATATGTATCAATTCACTCCCTTTTTCCTGTACTCTCAAAAACTCACTGGAGTGTTGTCTTGGGATACCAAATACTACGGAAAAACCGTGGAGTTGTGACAAAAAATGTTTCCCAGTGATAGTGGAATGAAAATCGCAGTTTGTTGTAACGTGATTGTTCTACCTGTGACTAGACAGTCTAAAATCTTGTTAAAAGATTGAATTGAAAGGAATGTTGAGTGCTTTCGTAAATTTGCATGTTGGCCTCAATGTTTAATATCGGTTGCCATACACAAGCTTCAGTAATTTGTTTGTTAGATATAAGGAAAAAAAATTGAAAATCAACGACTTCGAACCTGTTCCCACGTCACAATTCTGGATAAAATTGACAAGAACGTTTCTGCCCCAAAATGGGTAAATATTTCCGTCAACACATTGGGTTTCGGGTATTTTACAAAAATAATTTTATCTAGACTCGATAAATTAACTGTGCTTTTAACTAAATTAATAAAATGAAGCTGGCAGACACTGTGATCGAGAAGGACTGGGACAGAGATAAGGGCTTCGTTTGCGGTTGCTTACACCAATTAAACAAACCATTTTTTTCATGCTTTTTGCAGAGATCGAAAAAACATCGTTTCCGAGCATGGATGATAGGCGGAATCAAAGAAAAAGCTATTGCTTTTCAAATTTCGTTTGCAAGTATAGCAGAACGATCAGCATTCAACTATTAAATAGTTTTGTGCTTAGAACAGCGTTCAAATTAGAGTCGGAAATAATTCGGATTGCTTTGGTTTCGCCTTATTTCATTGTACGTGTGATTGGCCCAGAAAATTTGCGCTACTTTCTCGACCAATAAGATTTAAAAGTTAAACCTATGACGACTTGGTCACTCGCGTTTTCCCGCCCTTTCAAATTGAATTCTCATTGGCTCGCTCCTTTTCTTCCTCTCCTCAGATCATGATTGGCTGTTGCTACTACCTTGATTGTGGAATCAAAGCAGTAGACACTGAATCGTTAATAAGATAAGGCCTGCATACGAAACTGAGTCACATTACCACCTTGATACGTTCTCGATGTTTCTATAGTTAAAACCAATTTTAAGAGTTTTATTTTCAGTTTGAAACTGCTGGCCTTGTTGTCAGTGCAAGGCCCACTTCTAAGAATGTTATCTAACAACGGAGGTTATCTCTTATTTTAAGCCTGTAGTGCTTCATATTTTTTTAATCACACGGTCATATGAGCCGCTACTGTCTCGCATAGAGTACAGGCGTGTTGTCAACTTCCAAGATTAAGAAAACACCACCAAATGAGAATATATAAAGTGCATTACGTTTTGGCAATAAAATTCGGAGTAAGTTTAAGAACGAATATCATAGACGTGTTGGCAGTAAGACAGTGGTACATTAAAAAACGAAACTATTGTGATCCAAGATTCCTGGTGTTCCTCGCTTAGCGAGTTTGCTCAGGCTATATCTTCCCCTAACTTCCCAACGCAAGCTACAAGGTACACATCACATGCCCCAACACGAATTTCAATAATAAAACAAATTAAATAACGCAAAATTATAAACTCTCAATTCAAACATCACAACTCAGAGTTGCATCTCGCGAAAGTTCTAATTTGATAACTTTCGTGAAATCTCTAATCACTGAGGATTACATGCACAATTTAAATATTCAAATTACCAATGCAATGTTGTCAACAAATTATACTGTAAAACCGTGCTTGGTTAGGTGGTCTGGCATTGTTATTGTTTCCGTGATACAGGCAGCTATAAAGCTGAAATGAGTCAGTCTCTCTGAATGACACAAATAAATGAATCAATAAATAAATAGATTTAATTTACTTACAGTTTTAGACGTTTTGGTGATGTTTCTCTTCAACTGAGAATTCCTTCCGTCAAATGATAATTGATTTTAAATAAAACTCTCTGTGGAAACCAAAACGTTTTAAAAATTTTCGGGAAAATTAACGTCGGTAAGTATGACGATATTACATTGAAATTTAGGTAACCGATATGCACTTAGGGTTTTTCCATCCAGTCCAGTTCGTTTCCGCGTGGCTTATCAATCATTGTGACCAATCAGAAGACAGGTGGGGGGTCACGTGAGGAGACCGCCTAAAGCCAGATCAATTCAGCCACATGGCGGGCTTATAACACGCACAGTTGTTCTCTCTATTGCCCTAAGCTCTTAGTCGAGATCTTCCATTCTAGAATCTATTTATTCTAAACAAAAAAGGTTGTGGTTATTAATTGTGGTGAAAGTACTGCCAACAAAGTATTTATTTTCTTTCAAAATGTAGTCACTTCAGATGTAAATCGCGATATTTTGGCTAATTCTAGTCTTGAGCTTCTTCAGGCGATACGGTCGACTATTTGCGTGTCACCAATGAAGCACGCACGCGCATTCAGTTGGCTTCATAGCCTGAGGGACACAAGACACAGGTAGTGTCAGGGGGGGATTCAGGCGGATAAATAGAGTGAGTGAGAAGTCCTAAATTAAAGACTCTTCGTCGAACGTTCTTCTCTCCAAGACTAACAATAAACGATTTTACGATGACTCGAGTTGCGTTTTCCTCGTTAGAGGAGATGGAGAAAGATCAAAAATTTTCCTTGACAACTCCTCTTTAAAAAAAAAGTATTCTCTTTTTTTTTACGAGGCGCCCATTCACACCAAAGCTCATTAAACATGTTTTAATCTATTTTGTTAAACACGGAATAATCTTTTTTTAACACTGAAGCTGCTTAAACCGATGTTTGTCGACTTCAAATTAAGCACGTTGAAAATACAAAGTACTGACTTTTTGAAACCAATGTTAAATTCAGTTTTTCAGTTATATGTTTCTAATTTTCATTCAGTTAAACCCGGTTCAACTAAACACGTTTTGTTGGTGTGCACTAGGTAGTATCAATGTAATTTTTTTGGAGAAGAGACTTTCTAGCTGGTGTCTATAATCATCCAAGGCCGACTAGTTCCAAAACGGTAAAGGGCTTATCGAAAATTTAACTATTCTTCGACAAGTCTTTTTCTATTGTGCTGATGAGTATTTTTGACAAGTATTCATTGCCAATGTATACAGCGAAGAGAACTTTTTATCGTGATAATTGCCCTTCCCAGTGCAAATCTTAAAATAAATTTTGACATTTTTTTTTTTTAATCTTGCCAAGATTGCCAATGTTTCTTCGGAAGAAACATTTAAACGAGTCCTAGTTTTTCTGACCGAATGCCCACGAGAAAGTACATCTTCCACAGTGTAAAATGTTTGAAAAAGCGTTGAATCATTTCAACGCTTATACAATGCCAAGTTTGTCACATCAGCTGAGAAAATAACACGTTTTCGAAAAACAAATTTTGCTAAGTAAACTTTAAAAAAAAGATTATTCATTGCAACATGTTCCTTCGTTTTGTCTCGAGAAATGGAGCCGAAATAACGTTTTCGTGGTCGACGAAGTGGAATAAACTGATAACGTTAGTTACTGTGTGAAAAGCAGATCGAGAGCTATTACTTACTGAAAAAAAAACTGTTGTGCTTTGTAGGCAGGCAAGGAACTGAAACACTTAGTTGATTATTGACGAAAAATTGTTTAGCGTGGATAAATTACCGTCACGTTAGCGAAGTTTTAAAAGGCCTTATTCCCTCATTTGACTCAAAATCAGCTTTTTGAAAATTTATTGTAGGTTATCAATGTTAAACTTTGCGCTAATAATCATTTGAGCGCTTGACTGTAACTCTGACCAAAAAACGAAAAAATACGCACAGTCGACCAAGAACGTTTGTTTCAGTGGTCAGACTTAAAACTACGGAATCTAAGCAATCAGAATCTCTTTACAGAACGAATTTTGTTTTCCACTGGGAACAAAAAAATTAACTGAATAACACACGTTACCTGAGTAAGTCAGCAGCGCACTAAATAACAATTAAAGGTCATGTTTCGGTCTTAACTCCCCGTCCTTTTGTGGAGAGTCACTGGGGGTCTCTCTCGCTGATGAGCCGTCGTTCTCTTGCATATGGTTACCGAGCACTTCCGAAGACACGAAGATAATTGCGAAATGATACGATGGTCAACAGATCCCAACCGAGCTGGGATGCGAGATATATAGTATTATTCAGATCAAGGTAAACATTACACGCTATTCTATTCATACAAAGTTTATTTTTTTGCTAACTTTAAATTCTGTCCCCACCCACCCCCCCCCCCCCGTCTTGACGCAGTTCAAGAATCTTATACGAAATCGGAATTATTTGAAGAGCAAAAAATCTTAATTAAGGTATGTCGAAGAAAATGTTTCGAGAAAAAGAATTTTCAAGCCATACATGGAATTGCAAAAAAAATTCGGATCAAGAGGTTATAAATTGTTCGGATGTAGAATAAGAATTTGGAATATGATATTGGTTTAAGTGAAGAAATTTCCGAAAATAAATGCTCTCTTGTGAATATCCCCCTGCCCCACCTCATCCCTTTTTAGAAGATTGCTTATCATCACCTTTATGAGGCAGGGGTTTGAAGAAACATTGACTGGAGGCACCAAACACACCAAGACTAGTTCCGGAGGATCGGCTAAATCTCTTTATCCGTTTTCTCTTTTCCCTTTTTTTTTCAAATAGCTAACAATACTCGTTCAAATAAATGCAAACGGCTTATTCTCATGGCCATAAGTAATCTTCAAGTTCTTTATTGTCGCTTTTTATTCGCCATAGACTCATTCTACGCACAATTTGGTTACATACTTTTTCCGCTTCCGGTTCCGGCCCAACCCTCACCCTCACTTCCGACGGGGCCCTTAACGCTGAATAGAGACTGGACGCTTACGTACATTCTATTTCCGTCTTACATCTCTTGTAAATCACTTATTGCGAAGGGTTCTTCAAACAATCGGAGAGTATTTAAGTATATTTGCGCTCGATCGTATTTCCATTCAAGGTACAGCGATGGCAAGGATCTTTCGTCGAGCTGCGAATAAGGTTATAAACTCCAGGGATGGTCACGGCTCTCTTGGTCTACTCATCTTCGACGAAAAAGTTGTGTACGAGAGTTTCCAAAAGCTGATCATTGCAAAAGCGGACGGTAAGTTTCATTTGTGTTGGAAAGCGTTGTTTACAGGATATTTTCTGCATTGGCTTACTGACTTAGGCATTAATGCTTGGAGAGTAGATCTGGATCGCTGTCGAGAGTTTCTCGTGTGCAAAATTTCAGCTGAAATAGGCTTCTACTTGTTTAGAATATTTTTGTTACGAGTTTTGTAATCAGAAGCTATGTAGCTTGTCACGCACCGTTGACTCTGTTTCAATTCGAAGTTTCGATCAGGTGGCAAATCAGTGAATATTAGACGATCAAGCCTTCTTCAGCAAGTCTCACTCGAATTCTCAATAGAACGATTCATATTAGCGTGGTGCTGTCGCTTTGAACTTTGAATTTGCCACGATAACGTCAAGCTTCGATACTCCTAGATGTATTACCGGAAGCTAGGGGATATTTAATCGAGTGAAATATGTCATTAGTTGGAGTTGCAATTGAATTTTTTTCCTGAGACATCGAATATCCGCTTATTTAGATTTAGAAAGGAATTTCGCCATGTTTGGTACGAATAATAGTGGTTGATGTGAGAGAAAATAAACAGGAGAGTCCAAGGGTTAAGCGAGTGACGTGAGTGAAGGTTCCTTATGGGGACTCCCCTAGCAGAGGATTTTTGAGTCATGAATGCGCATATATAGTTTTTCTCACTCTCAGGAGTGATCAAGGTTAAATTTTTGTGCGAGATCAATACCTTCACGTGTAGACACATTTCAGTTTCTCTAAACCAATATATGAGGAAAATGAAACAGTCAGTAGGAAGAACTACTAATCACAGAAAGGTCGGCACTTTCAGTCAGAGTTAATTTTTTTATTTCTATCAAAGTTTTCAGTTTCTGGATAATATATGCTTGTGCATTGTAGGTAACAGTCTCCCACCCTCCCCAAGAGTGACCAGCCTCTAATTTCTCCATACAATATCACCCCTGAATCAAACATTCAAGTCATGAGAATTAAGAAAATGATCCCCAAATAAATATAATCTTGATTGTTAAACAAATTCTCTTTGTCAGCATCTTAGGAATTGTACAGAGAATGGTATAGAGAATTTACATACTGATGTTAGAACACAAACCGCTTGGTCAAGGGATCTCCCTCTTAACCCTAAGATCACCTTTAACACATGCCATAAATCCTTTACACTCTTACATCAGTATGCAAGTTCTCAATACTGTTCTCTACACATTTTTTATGACACTTATAAGGAGGATTTATCAACCAACAATCAAGAGCTTCTTGAGTTCACAATTGTCTTCTTGATCCTCATGACCTTAATGTTTGATTTAGGGATGGTTCTGTTGGGAGAAATTAGATATGTATTTGTTAACATAAATGATTCATCTCCCACAGCATCCTTAGGTATGTTAAAATGGGCCAAGAATGAAGAGAATCTCGCTCTGCAGGATGTGTTCAGCAAAGTGTTTGAGGTGTCCACAATGTGGACAACAGTTATGAAGGATTTTACCGAAGAGGTATTTATAATATTTGTACTTCTTAATCTTTATTATTTCTTAAACAAAAATATATTTTCAAATTATTGTATTGCTTTATAGGGAAAGTAATTGTTAACCCTTTAAGTCCCATGAGCAACCAAGACAAAATTTCTCCTTACAATATCAATGCAAAGTCAAGCAGAAAAGTGATGAGAATAAAGAAAAATATTAACTAGGGGATTATTAGTTGATCCAATACCAAATTCTCCAAACTAACATCACAAGAATGAAATGGCAGACAGTAAGGAGAATTACCAATGAGGTCTTGGGAGTTAAAGGATTAACTAGATTGTTTATGAAATCATGAGTGAGATTAATTTCATAAAAAAGGTTGTGGTTTTCATCGAGGTGAATAACAATAAAAGCTAAGTTTTTTCGTTTGTCTCATGACGTAGTCACGTGTGATGTAGATCGCGATGTTTTGACTGTATACTGCTAGTCTTCTTTGCCTGAAGAAGACTAGCAGTATGCCTTTGAAACGTTGCGATGTACATCACATGACTACATCGTGAGATAAACGAAAAAACTTAGCTTTTATGACTGAGATTTGTTAGAAATTTTCGTATGATATATTGTTGTGTGATGTTAAGGAACTTTTAGCTATTTCAGATATTGTGACCTACCTCTCTTATCCTTCACACCCTAGCACCAGTAGGCATATTCTCTATACTGTCCCCTTACATTTCCTAAGGTGCTGATGAGGAGAATTTGTTAAACAATCAAGAGCTTTTATAGTTAGTGGCCAATTCCTTTATTCCAATGATAAATGTTTGACTTAGGGGTGATATTGTATGGAGAAATTAGATGCTAATCACTCTTGAGTCCAAGGGCTAAATATGGGAGATGGCCATATGCAGATTAATTATGGATCACAATCTAGACACTTCCATTCTTTGCATTGCAGTATCACAAATATCGCAAAAGTTTCAAGGAAATTCTTCAGCAAGAGAAAGTTCTGAATGAATCAAGAAAGAGGGAGGCAGTTCATGTAACAAAGATGAACAAAATTCAAAAGCAGGTTGAAATTTAAAATATTTCAGTCAGTTACTTACTAGAATGTAATTATACAGGAGAGTGGTTTTTAAGTTAGTTTATTCAAAGTTGTCATGTTTTAATTTAATTTCTATTTTTAAACCTGATCAAACCAGTAAGAACTTACACTTATAGATCCAGAAACCAAAAAATATTCATAACTTCAATTAGTGTTATTTCATTCTTGTTTTTTTTTTCATTTTCAGCTGGATCAAAACAGAAAGAAATCTGATGGAGCCAGACCAAGAACAATATCCAATGAAATGGTTGAGGTATGAGTAGGTTACAATTTTCTAGAATCTGATTTTATTGTAAAACTGGATTGAAATAAAAATTTTGGTCCTAGTAGCTTCAAAATTTAACATCAACCTTAAAAAAGACTCTTAGAAATGTCTAATATATTACTTCCACTAACATCAACACATATTTCTGCAAAAAAGTGTTGAGAAGAGACAAAAAGATTCATTTGGGTACTCAATGTTAATCTCTTCTCATCACTTTTCTGCTTGAAAATGTTTGATTTCTCAAGGGAAACTCCAGTCACTCAGGGGTGTGAAAGGGCCAATAATCCTGATGCAAATATGGGCTTGTTAGGAGAGAATCTTGAATCAGATCAAGGGAGCCTGGTTGTGAATACCTCTTTCCAGCGATGTATTTGTTGGCATCATTTTGGATTTCTTTTCAATAATGAATTTTTTTCAGCAGATCATTTCACAAGCTGAGCAGGAGCAAGCTGAACTTGAAGTGAAAACAACCAAGCACGAGATCTTTAAGGTTTAAAACTCATGTCTAATTAGAACAAATTTTTTCAGAGACAAAATTATTATAGTCAAACCTTGTTTATCTGTGATTACCTTGATTGTCCTGATTTTTTATCATATGTGCTCTTATTACTCCAGTCCCATTTTTTATGAATATTTTGATAAGTCACAATCAAGATCCATAACAACTTTTTTCCATCAAATAAAGCACATTTTATGAAACTCCTGTTGGAACTTTTTCCACTTTTCATAGCTGTGGGATGTTTTAGGGGATGTTTTTAATATACTTTAGATGGTTATACAAAACAATGTTGGTGCTATTCCACTATTGAAGCATCAAGGAATGATAGAATTTATTGCGAGCACACACTGATTTGTACCAGCATTTTAGGTAGATTTAAAATGTTGTTGGTCATAATATAAATGTCTTCAATAGGCCATTTTACAGTTGTGTACTTAGTTGCCAAGCCTGATTTGGAGTGCGGCTGAAGGTGACCTTGTTGTGTTAGAGACCAGAATCTTGTTAGCATGATAACAAATTAATTTGCATTTCAAAAGCAGCAAGGTTTGTATCATAACAAACATATCACTCCTGTTCAAAGGCTTGACAACCAAGCACACAACTGTAAAATGGACTATTATCTGGGCTATTTTACCCAGTCCTCATGAGCTTTGACTGTACTATCAAATCAGGTGGTTTCATCTTCAATATCTGGTAGAAGATTATGTGCTCTGAAGGATTTTGATTACTAACACAGTTAAGATGATTCCAAAGAAAGAGTTTACTTGTTAATATCTCACAACAAAAATTTTCTTTCCCAGGCTCGTAAATTGAGGGAGTCATTGAACAAGATTTCAGATGGGCTTCAGCAATGGGCATCCAAGACAAAATCAGTTGCAGAGACATACAAGAAACTTGCTGATCTTATCACAGATACTCCAACTCAACTCTCAGAAAGCAAAGTTTTTCATGGTATTTGCTGTGATTTATTGAAATAAATGATAACAATTTGAATTTTTTTAGAGACATTTCCAGTGCTTTGCACTTAGTTTGTAAACAGCCCTATAACCTAGACCCATGCCATATTTGCTTGTTTGCTATCTCAGTAAATAGAGAGCTTGGCTGCTGTTAGTTTACCATTGTCCAGTAATTTTGTTGTTTTTCAATCTAGTTCCCAGGGTTCTCTCTTTTCCTCCCTCAAAAGAGACTGTGGTTGGGAATGGTCATGTGTCTCCCAAAAATTTGGAGATTAGGAAAACCAAATTGAGGTTGGGTCTCATTCGTAAAATTTTGGTCAATACTACCTGGATGGGTAAGGGGACGTATTTCGTAAAAAACAGCGACAATTTATTTTCTTTTTAATTCATTCCCAGGAGCTGGGCAATCAAGAAGCATTGTAAATGATCTCGCTCGACAAATTTCTATTGATCCTGAAATTTCTGCCCAGTTGGCAACAATGTCACAGTCTACCCACTCTTATCTGTATGCCGTGTCTGGGCCTGTGAAGCAAGACAGACATTATGCAGAATTAAATGCTGCAATAGACCAGAAGCCGTCAAAAATGCCTCATCAGCATCTACGAATCAAGGACAGTCTTGTGGACCAACATGCAAGGAGGCCGTTGTCACTGAATGACCTGAGGCCACCACCAACCTCACCCCCACCCCCTCTGCCAAAAAATGGTAAGCAGCATGGATATTACAGACCTTGTGGCTCAAGTCAGGAGTATGTGTTTTGTAAGCTTGGGTGTCCTGTGTTTAGCTAAGTGGATTGATTGCTGCAACCAATCTCTCAAGTTGGTTGAGTTACAAGATAGATGTAAATTTTGGGCATAAATGCATTGAACATACCACAGACACAATATCAACTTACTTTGTTCCTAAGTATGTTTGAAAAATTCATAACTTCCAAACACTTGACGTGACGAAGAAAGAATGCTTTCTATTCATGTCAAGTATTGTAAATTTTCTCTCCTTTTCTTTTCTTCTTAAGAGCACATTTAAAACATTTTAATCTAATTACCCAATTTTGTATTTTTCAATGATTTGCAGCAAAGCCAGTTGTTTTTAGAACAAATTCAGCAAAGGAAAGCATAGTACGGAAAAGTGAGTACAAACTAATTATTATAAAATAAATAAATATAACTTACAGTAACTGCAAATGAAAAATTACCATTCTCTGAATTTTTCGAGTGTCCATGGAAACATGGATTAACTAATTTTTTTTTAACTTAATCTATCCACAATTAGCTTTTTAAGTTTTTTCAGAAAACAAACTTTAATTATTTATATTAAATATAATTTTAAGTATAATTTTAACTTTTTTTAATTTTTATGTTAATTGTAACACTAAGTGATTGTGACGAAAAGAATAATACATTCATAAAAGCTTGAGTTATGGTTAAATGCTGACTAAATGTGCTTAATTTCTACTCCAGCTAAGATGAATTCCAAACAGTCAACTGGAAAAATCTGGTATGCAAGGACCACCATCTCAAGCACTTCAGATTCTGACAGTGATGGATACACGGAACCTGTTACAGATGCTTCGTTCTTTGAAAGAAGGAAAAACATGCTTTGCAAAGTACTAAGTGATGGTGCTATAGACCAGGTGGGGGTTCACACTTATGCTAGTAGAGAAACTGGCTATGCATCAACTAGCACAAATTTTTACCATCAACTGGAAAAAAGACCCTCAGGAGAGGACAAGGTTATTGAAGAAAATGAACCTGCGAGCTACGTTGATCTGATTAATAATTAACAACTATTCACCAAAGTGGAGGTAGCTAGTGTTGGATATTTACTAAGCAGAAAAAGGGAGAGGTAAATATTCAATGCTAGTCACAGATGCTGAGGTGAATAGTTGTTTTTTTTGTATGTGCTAATTAAAAATAGTGGGATGACATAGCCCAAAATGATGATTTTAACTCATTTATTCTTACAACAATTTCAATATTCTTGGGTGTAAATCCTGCTTGCATGCTTTGAGGTAAATACCAAAGTATATTCAGAGTCTTAGTAGTCCATCAGAGCATGCCTTCAATGCCATCCACAATTCTAGTATACACTTATTACAGATAACCGTTATACACATTAGTGTTGCAAATTATATTTTAATAGTGAATTTAAATTGTACATCAACTTTTTATTTACTAACTAAAGAAAATCGATATTATCTATTTCAACTACCAGGTTTTCTGCTATTTTAATAGTCAACAAGTTCCAAATTATGGTTTTAGTTTTGTAATTTAAGATTAATTTTGATTCATTTTTCTGGAAATTTGTAAAATTCATGAATCGTTACTGACTTAGAGCAGTTCCAGCAAACAATGGACCAAATTAACCTTTGTAAAATAAATCCTAACAATATATATAATATATAATATATAAACTGCATCGCAGCCAAAGGCTGAATTATGCAATTATTACAAAAACTTTATAATACTTGAAATTACAAATGAATCCCAGAAAATAAATCAAAAACTGATTTTTAAGATAATATTAAAAAATTCTATATATATTGAAATATGTTAAAATATAAAGCATGAATATATGGAAAAAACTTTACAACTGTTTGAAATATATAAATGAATCTGTTCCAAAGAAAATAAAAAATCAAAAGCATGAGTTGTCATTTTAAGATAATGGATTAAAAAATGCTACTATATATATTGAAATATGTTAAAATGATATTGCTCTTTTCTTGAGCCATACCAGCTCTTTCTTTAAGTACTTTAAAAAGACAGGTGCTGCATAATTAGTAACAGATCTCATGCACGATATGTAGAACAGTGCTATATCTTGTTTCGGAACTCCCACTCTCTTTAACTGAGTTTGGAAATAGGAGGAGAAGTAGAACTTCTTCAATCAGCCTTGTGTTGGTTCTTTGCCAAAATCTTTGAGGTTTAATGATTGTGTTCACTTCTGAACATGCAATTTTCTTTTCCATGGTGGAAATTTTGAAATGAAGCCACCTTAATGTTGAACATTAAGTTGCCATTATCATGATGTTATTTCAGTTGTCATTCAGTACTATTACAGGTATAATAATAATTATTATCAATAATAATACTGAATCTCTGTATTTTTATAAAGTTGCAAGTTTTCTCAGGGTAGTATTAAATTATGTCACTGTTCAACCATGTTCAAGTAGACTAGAACAAAAGAGTATTAAATTCTGTGGCTTGACTTTTTACTTTTCTAAGGTTTAGACTGAAATAAGAAAGTGTTCAGAGAATGTATTTTTTAGACAGAGAAATCTAGTTTTTTAACCCATGAAGTTTTAGTAGTTTTATTCACAATGAAGCTGAGTTGAAAGAAAACAAATTAGCAGTATTTGACTGCACAGAATGAAATATTGCAAAGTAGATAATTATTGTACATTAAGTGATTATTAGAAATAAATTATTACAATCATTAGAAAAGATTGAACATGACTGTAGTTGTCATTTGTTTGGTTTACAGTTGTAATAAGTCATGGCTGGTAACACTAGCAGTTTGCTCCCAGAAAATCTTTCAATTTGTGTCAAAACTAATAAAAATTCATTTTCACTTAATGATTAAGTTTTTATACAGGTTAAACTGATGAAAACATCAAAATGTCTTTGTCACTGACTCCATCTACAGTAGGTTCTTGGTCACAATAACTCATTATATGCATTAATTTATGTCCAATCTCATTAAGTGAATTGCAGCTTTTGGGTTTAGTGACAGGAAAACCAAAGTTGATAAGAACTCCTTCCTCACCCACAGGTACACACTTTTTTCAACCTTCTTGGAGCATAAAAACAACCTTTTACATAACTACCTTATACTATTGCTCTGACGAAGGGCTAACACTCAAAAGATCAGCCTTTAAACTCTTTACGGTGGTCAATTTATGTTTTTACCTCAGTTGTTAACACTGAATTACCTTATACCAAACTTACCTAAATTGTTCCATAGTTCCTACAGTGAACATCTCATCCTGTTTGTCTCTAGAAGCTGCACAGATATAATGTAGGGCAGAGAATGAAGGGTCAAACTAGACAGTTCTGTTAACCTCACCTCTCTTCTAAAATATTGGATAATGTTTTGTCAACAACGAAAATAACACAACAGATTTAAAAAGAACACTGCAATGTACTTTGACAAAGGGGTTTGAGTTATTTATTAGTATTGTGCACTGAAGGACTGGACAGAGAAAAATCACCTTGAATTTAGGTTTTGACTTATTTGGGACAATTACTGTACTTGTAAGTATGAAGAAAATTAAGAGCAAATCAGTTGTGATTTGAGTAAGTGTGAGATTTCAGTTATGAGGAGTCAATTGTGCTCAAATGTTTAGTCTTAAACCTCAAAACTCCCATAAGTAATCAAGATGGAATTTCTGCGTACAATATCAATACAATATCGGCCAGACAAGTGATGAAAATAAATAAAGATATCATTCAGCAAAGTATTAGTTGATCCAATACCAAATTCTCAGAACTAACATCATAAGAATTGTATGGCAGATAGTAAGGAGAATTACTAAAGAGATCTTGGAAGTGAAAACAGTTATGAGTCACTAGAGTCACTTGGCAGGTGTTCTTCTGTTAGGTCTCCATTACTCTGACTTTCTTCTTCGTCAAGAAACACTCTCTTCCCTACAGCAGCCACAGGTTTCCTATGATGGTGCCAAGTTCTTTTCTGGAAAGCCATGATACAATGAAGATTTCCACCTGTCTTTTTGACATTTCTTTGCAGGATTCCTTTATGGAGTTGACGAATGTTGAGGTAGAATGGGGCTTCATTATTTAAATCTGTTTGAATGTCAGTCCACCTGAGACAAAGGGATACAGGTTACCAATTATTAAGAAAAAAGCACCAGATTTAAACTGAAAGTGTTTGCAACAAAATCATATTAACAATGCATGAAACCATGGATGGATGTAAATTCTAACAGTGGTTTTGCACCTCTTGCAGTGAATACTTGGATGTTTGCAACTTGGGTCCCCAATCAAAATCCATGTTTCCACTTCATCTTCATACAACTGTGCCCTATAAAAATTAATATCCAATATTCAGCGCTAACATTTAAATCTTAACCCTTAAACTCCCATGAGTGACCAAGACAGAATTTCTCCTTACAATATCAATACAATATCAACCAGATAAGAGATGAGAATAAAGAAAAACATCAATTTGGGATAATAAGTTGATCCAATACTAAATTCTCTAAACTAACATTATAAGAATTGTATGGTTGAGAGTAGGGAGAATTACAAATTTGATCTTGGAGTTAAAGGGTTCATCAAGGTGGTAAAAGAACAGGTAATGAAACTAATGGCAATTATAAAGCAGGAAATGCAGTTACTTTGTGGTTGGCAAGCTGGTAAAAGGTGCGGTGATATCTGTGCTTGAGCCAAATGATCCATTTGGCCAGAGCTTTATCCTCACCTGGTTTCTGTCACATGAAGCAATTGGGAATATTGCTACTTCCCATGACCCCCCTCTCCCCCCCCCTCCCCCCCCCCAACACCTCCTCAGCATTTCATAAGATTTCCCTGACAGTTAACTGGTACCCATTCTTACTCCTGGGTGGACAGAGGCTATGTAAGAGATAATTATGTTCCACCTCCAAAAACACAACACAATGGCCTAACCAGGTGTTGAGTCTACAGACCTCTCAACCATGAGTCAAACCCACCAAGTGATAGGTCACTGTATCTCCTGGTTGGTCTGCTGGACTCAACATTTTTCCCAAATTCAAACTCTGGCCTTATCAAAATGTTGTACTACCAGACAAGAGGGCCTCTCCTTCTAGAAGAAGCAGGTCTGAGTAAGAGACTGAAGTAAATTGCCACTAAAATTGGAATAAGCCACCATAAGACAGGTCCCATGATTTGCTCACTGACTAATGTGACAAGCAAAACTAGTGTAGTGGTCACATCCCCTTTAACCTCCAAGATCTGATTGTTAATTCTCCCCTCTAGTTGCTACATATGCCCTTGTAAATCAGTCACAAGAATGTGGTGTAAGATTACAAAAACTTCTACATGATAAGTTTGAGTATTTTCATTACCTGTTTGCTGGATAATGTATGGAGATTAATAATAGAGAGAAGTTACATGTCCATCACTTCTGGTAGTTAAAGTATTGAGAAGCAGAGAGAAAAAGTTAAAAATTAGTCACCTAAAGTTCACCTGTATGCATCAGCAGCTTTAATGGGTGAATCCTCATATCCAATGGGACAAAAATAGTGGTTATAACAATGATAAATGAAAGACATCTGAGGGTTATGTAGGCCCTTCTTGAGCTGACGTAAGGCTTCCTCTCCACTCAAACCAATGGTTCGACTCTTTCCCTTTGGTTTATATAGAATATAAGTATCCCCATCCACTCCAAAGTGATTGCAGAGTTGTTTGAACCATCTAGAGCATAAATTTATGTTCCTCTTTGTTAGTAATGTAGAAAGAACTTAAGTTCTGATTTTTCTTAGAAAAGAATTTTGAAGAATTCTGCATTGCTTTCTGCCACTTAACTCTTTAATCACTGCAAGGGACTAGCATATAATTTCTCCCAACAGTATAACCCCTGCATCACACAGTAAGTTGATGAGAGTAAACCAAATGATCACCAACTCAATATTCTCAAGATTGATGAACAAATTCTTTTTGTCAGCACCCTTGGAAATGTATAGCAAATAGTATGGAAAATATGCATACTGATGTTAGTGTGCTTCTCTCTTAAGGGTTAGGAGAGAAAAAAAATATTCTCAATGCCATAAAAACTACCATGGACAAAAATTCTGAAAAAAAATTCATTTTCTTGGTGTTTTTCTATGAGCTAATTTATTCTCCATTTTTTTTTTATATTTGGCTTGAAATTGCATTCAAAATACACTTTTTGTCTAAGGAATATTTGATGGCCTGCTTCCTTTCAGATTTACCTAAGTAATATTGAAAATCACACTTTGTGAAAAAAAAAAAATATTCATACAGACTTAAACTTGATATCTCTTACCTCATTAAAGTTGCATTTCCAGTGAAAGGTCCAAACCTTATTTCTCCAAATGGTGGTTTGAATCCCAGTATGTTTAGTGCGTCCTCTTGACTGAGGGGCTGTAAACTAGAGGATAATGTGTGCAAAACAATTATTCCCAAATAAAAATTTTGAATTATATTCCATAAATCAGCTTAAAAGCCAGAACATTTGTCCTTCCATAGCTTTGCAGTGCAGATAGGTTACAATCTGTTTCTCTGCAAAGTTTTAAAACTAAAGAGAAAAATTGCTTTTTTAACTGGATGTGGTTGTTTTGACCAACCACAAAATTACACTCACAGGGTTTAAAATGAATCCTCTTTTAAAATAATTTGCATCTATGCTTGTGCATAAGTATGAAATGCTACCTCATATCATTCTAAGTATATCATTTATAATTCATCACATATATTTTCTTGTGCAATTCAGAATAAGTACTGCAACTCATAAATCTCATGGGCTCATGCAATTTTGGAGTCTTTAAGAAAACTTATGGACATATTTATTCCAAATTGCATTAAAAAACAAGCAATTGCCTGTACCAATAGGGGCTTTCTGCAGGCATGAGTTCACTGCATACAGAGTAGAAATTTTAAAGAACTCACCTGCCTGCACCAAGAGAGCTAAACAGGAAATTCCAGCAAGACACCACAGATGAAATACCACAAGACTTCTTGTATTGGGGCCGACTTATACAATACCTGGCAATATATTATATAAAATTTAATGTATTTTAGATGTTAGCTTTTTGATTTCACTTAAACCTCCAAAGATCAGAAAAGCTCATTCTCCGAACTGATGATTTCACATTTTCTTTTTTGTTAGCCACTTTTGAGAATTTTTTGGTAGTTATCAAAGAATATTTCCTAGTTGATAATTTTGGTAAAGGACTTTTTGGCTGAGCAACAGCAACTGGACAAAGGGAAAATGAAGCTATCTTGACCAACTACCCTTGGGTCTCAGAGGATGGGAAATAGAAATAACCAACCTCAGATAAATGACAGAAAATTACATGCACTCCATCAGCGACTACTGGCTCCCAATAAATACTGTGTTTGCTGGCCCAAGTTTGAAATAAATGTTGCAGGCTCTACATCGAGGTTATATGGTTGGCAAATTTAGTTGTGTTAACTAATTCCCTATAATCACACCTGTCCAGCAAAACATGTTTGGTTGAAGCAGGTAGTTAAAGCAGGCTTAACTTAAAAAAGATAAGCAACAGACATCTGGAAGACTACAAGTAAATTTTACATAAGGTTTAAAACTTTAAGTTATCACTAACAGTTACTTTTACTGTGCTAAACTTGAACCCAAAAATATCACTTGGAGAAAATTTAGTGATGAAAAAAAATTTCCTGCCATGTTTGAAAAAGCAGCTTTAACCCTTTAACTCCCAGATCAAATTTGTAATTCTCCTTACTGTCAACCATACAATTCTTATAATGTTAGTTCTGAGAATTTAATGTTGGATCAACTACTTATTCCCAAATTGATATTTCTCTTTATTCTCATCACTTATCTGGTTGATATTGATTTGATGATGCAATGAGAAATTCTGTCTTGGTCACTCATGGGAGTTTAAGGGTTAAAACATGTTTCAGCTTTGGTGCAAATGCATTATAAGTATTTATACCATCTTCTCAGGTCTAGCACTTTTCTTCCAGCCATCATTTCTTGAGTTGCAATATTTGTAGAAGCCAAAAATCTCCTGTGTGGTCCTTGATTATCAACAGACATGCCATCAATATCATCATAATCAGCTGGCAAGTCTTCATCTCTGTCTCTTAAATACTTTTTGGGTAGTTTCTTCTTTTTCTTGGATTTGAAACAGTCTATATCAACTTGCCACGCACAAGGCAGAGGTGCTTTAGACTGTTGTTGCTGTATATTATCAACTGCCACAGACATTACAGGTTCAGATAGGCTTTTACTTGCACACTTTCCCTGCAACAGCTTTTCCTCTGAGATTAAAGGCAATGAAAAAGTGCTGCATTCTATTATTTGATCCTCTCCTTCAACCCATGATGGACCAGTTCTTTTATTATGTTGTGTCATCCATCTATCAACACCATTAACACTGCGGTCACTGTCTTCTTCATTAGCCATGCATTTTGTGTTAGTCTCTGAGGATCCTCTGAAAGTTTCACCTGTGTTTAAACCGCATATGTTGCTAGACATTCCTTGAAGAGCAGGTTGTGGAATCAGCTTCTCTTCATGATGCATTGCAGGATTGGATGGGCTTTTACCTGAATACTTTCCCTGAAGCAGTTTTTCCTCTGAAATTAATGGCAGCGAAAAGGTGCTGCATTCTGTGATTTGGTCTTCCCTTTCAACCAATGATGGGTCAACTCTATCAATGCCAACTTCTGTCTTCCATCTATCAATGTTGTAATCGATGCAGTCACTTTTTTCTCCATCAGCTATACATTTAAAGTTAGTCTCGGAATATTTTCCTGAAGATTCACCCGTGTTGCTGGACATTACTTGGAGAACAGGCTGTGAAATATTTTCTTCATGTTGTACATCGCGTGGAGTACACGTTGTTGTCGGCGATTCTTTACCAAAATTTTCAGAGTCGATCTCGAGTTTTGGCACAAGATTATCACAACTTGATGACTGTGATTGCCTCTCAACAGTTTCATAGAAGCTTTCCTCGGAATCATCCCAGCTGTCATCCACAGAAGATAAACAAGTTTTCCCTCCATCCTTCTGCAAAATGTTCTCAAATTTGTCTCGGTTTGAACTCCAAACCAACCCCATGTTTACAACTGCTATATGTACATCAAATGAAAATGCAGAACGAGTGTGCAGTCCTATTTGCAACTGAAGAAAACTGCTACCAACTCAGCACGCAGTAACCTGCTAAAATCAACGGGAAACGAACTATTTCGTCAAAATCGCTGCCAACAATTTAAATCTGTGTATCAAATTTTGAAATTTTTCCAAGTATTCTGAAAGTGGCGCTAAAAGAGCTACCGCTGACCGTGGCAGGAGCCGCTTGAAGGATTGTGGGAAATTTACACGAACGCCTGAAATATAAATCCGGCTTCGATTACGATGCAAATGCAAACTTTTGTTTACCAGCTTTGATTAGATTCTAGCATAGTTTCGTCCCATGTTATTTGCAGGAGGCCGTAAGGGCATTGTTATTTTGACTTTTCAGCTGATTTCTCCATCACCAGGGTGCCAAAGGTGCTAGGAACATCTGTCTTGATTTTTCTTTCGGGAGTTTCGAACCACTCTTTGGTGATAATCAAAGTTAAGAAAACTTAAAGAATTCTTCGAGATGTCTTCTCCCAGCTCCCAAGCGATAGCTAGACATAAATTCAGGTACCCTATCGGAGACACATACGATGGGGAATGGAATAACGATGGCAGAAAGCACGGAATTGGTGAACTTACCCTGGTCGACGGAACGAAATATACTGGACAATTTCAAAATGGGTTTTGTCACGGACATGGTGTTGCGAAGTTTCCCGACGGTTCCCTGTACGAGGGCGAATTCGAAAACGGAAAATACCATGGCTATGGAGTTTTCACGCGAAGTGATGGGATGCGCTTTGAAGGCAGGTTTCAGAGTGGAAGAGTCGATGGCGAAGGCCGAATTACCTTCCCAGACGGGAGCCATGGGAGACCTCGACAAGAAGGCTATTTCATGGGAACTGAACTTGTAGAGAGACATCGAGTGAACGAATCAGTTCTCAAAGCACAACAGGCTCTTAAAATGGCTCGAAATATAACGATTTGAGAAAGAAGTCATTCCAAGTAACTAGTTGAAATAAGTTTTAGTTGCTTTAACTTTTTTCTGCCGCATAACATGTAATTACAGTGACGAAGTCAACTGAGGCATATTATGCTCTTACTTAAGTATTTTATCTTACGCGAAGCTTTAAGTTAAATGATCGTTTATGAAAAAAATAATCTGACAGGTCAATATATATTGTTACATCCCTATGACTTGTTGAGTATGCATGGCATAAAAGATAAGTCATCGTGGGAACTTGATACGGAAATTTGTCACTAACCCTCTCTCGTGTAAATAGGAGCTTCCGGTAACCCTAACCATCCGAATATTAGTATGCGTATTTTCCATACTGATCTCTTTACATTTCCTATGGAAATGGCTGGGAGAATTTGTTTAACAAACAAGAGCTTCTTCAGGTGGTGATCATGTCCTTAATTCTCATGACCTCAATGGTTGATTCATGAATGCTACTGAAAGGAAAAATTAAATTTTAATCACTCCTAACCCTTTATACCCTACGATTTTTATACATATCCTCCACACCGATTTCAAAACATTTTCTGAACTACTGATGAGGGAAATTGTCTACCAGTCAATAGCTTCTTTGCTTGGCAATTATTTCCTTTTTTTCTCTTTACTTTTATGTTTGATCCAGGGGTGATACTGTGAGGAGAAATTAGATGCTATCACTTTTAAGGGGTGAATGGGTCATTATAATTTTTCCCTCAATTGTAGTTATAACTTAAGTCACTGACTTACTTTGGAAACAGTTTTCATAAAGCAATTTGTCCCACAGACTTGTGTATGAATAAATTTGCAGTTCACCTTTTAACTCCCAAGATCTGATTGAAAATTCTTCCTTCATCTTCTACATGTTTCCCTGTTAATCAAAACCATTACAATTTCCTCAAATGTGACTGGTGTATCATGTCCTTTATATTTAACTTATCACTCTGTACAGTTGTAATCAGACAGTTTGCTGTAGTCAAACACCTGGAATCAGACAGTTGAAGCAGCCAATCATACTAAGTCCACTCAGCTAAATCCACCAATCACAGAATTGATCACAATAACCATAGCAACAACCACTTACCATGAAAAAAAAAAAACTAGGAAATTTTTGACTATTTTGCTTTAGACATTGTTCTTACTGGAGATGTTTGTCCTAAATTTTTTTTTCTGGAAATTGTAATGGTTATGATTAATTGGTAACAGGACTTTGTGTCGTCCAATTCTGTCTGTAATCATACTTGTGATTGACAAATCAGACTCCCACTTTATGGTTGTCCAATTTTGTTAATCACTCGCATGATTACAGACGGAATTGGACTCCACTTGTTCCTATTACCACAATTGATTAGTTATGAGAATTTGGCATCAGATTAAGATGACAACTTCTGACTGATAAGTTTGAGTATTCTCGTCTCTTGTTTGCTAAAAAATGTATGGACATTATATGGAGAAATTACATGTTAATCACTTCTAAGAGTTTAAGGGTGAAATATTATTTCTACAAACTATAAGTGAGAATTTTTTGCTCTATGGGCCCTCTGCAATATGAACACTTCTCCAAGAATGAAGTGCACTTAAAACAAGTGATCTGATGACGACAAGGAATGACTACACAGTTTGGTTTCTCAAGAGTGCATATAATGCAATTGTCCTTTTGAAACCACATTTCCTCCATCTCTTTAGTTGCTGATTTCAAGATTTCAACAATGGAGTTATCAGCATCCTTAGAAGCCACCACAACCTTGGAGAGCCTCTCAAACTTATCAGCAAGTCTTTTCCGCAGAATATCATTCCTGTCGTTTAAAATGCTTACTTTATGAGAATGTGCCTTTTTCTGGTTCTTCACGTCTTCCTCTGCAGCTGCTAACCTTTCCTGGTAGAAGATCTTGTCTCTTTCAAGATCAGTTGTTTTGTTAGACATTTCCATGTGCAAGTCTTGTAGAGATTTCTTCCATCTCTCACTGATCTCCTGTTCGACATTGACCAAGTTTACTTGTTGAAGTACCAGGTCTTTCTCAAGGGCAGAAATCTTTGACTGAAGTTTCAAGAGCTCCTGAGCATGGCTTGTATCCCTTTCAGAAAGCTGTGCACTCAGAAAATCCTTCTCTTTCTGAAATTTAAACAAAGTTTTAATTCTTGTTACACAAGGCAAGTTTAAAAAAATGGTCTTGACCCAAGAGTATGAACAGTTAGGCCAGGAAAGCTATTGAATTACTGGGCTCCCTGTAACCTGCTATGTACTGGCATCACACCTACAGGGAGTAGCAATTTCTGCTTTTCCTTTCATTCATGTTACAAATTTTGTAACAAGCTGTGGTAGAAATAGCCAATTGGCTTATGTTCCAATTTCAACTTCTCATTATGCAATGTCATCTCTTTGGACACTAATACCTGCAAAGTCTCCTCTCTCTTCTTGGTCACTGACAAGGTTAGAGACGTTTGCATGGATTGTGGAACTTCATGCAAATCTTGGCAAAATGGAGGGTTCAGTTCGCAAACCTGCATTGATAATGATGCCAACAGTTTGACAAAACTGTCATTGCAGTCGTTTGACGGCCTATTTCCAGCTGCAAGAAAAATATGACAAAAATAAGTAAATAAATAAGCACAGTGAAGAAGAAACTATAGGGTGAGGTTGGGCATGATATTATGAATTATCAGTGCCAAGGTCTGAATTATCAGCTGAAGCTGAAGTCTGAGGCAGATAATATAGACACAAGGTTTGATACCTCATGACACAATGTCAAAACTGCATTCAATTATTATTTTATTATACATTTATTTTCAAACAATCTGCAATCTGTGAGATAGCAAAAGTTTGAGAACACTGCATGAACAAAGGGCTTGGAAACTAGGCAGACTTTTGAACTGGACATGATAACCCAATAACTGCTGCTGCAGATATTCAGTTATCAATTTGTCAACTTCACATGTTATTTTATATTGACTGAATGCTCTAGAACACTTAGCTTATGTGTAGCTGTCTCCCCTCCCCCCCCGCGGGAGAAATATGAAAACTTGACACAAATCATTCCTCCTTAGGGTAGGAGGGTACTGCCACACATAGGCTATTGACCGATAAGAGATTTCCATAGAAAGTCCAATGTATAATAAAATATATTATATGTTGGTTTACAAGGAGAGGGGGGTTGTAATCATGCCCCTCTCTCAGTCAAGAGGAACAAGACCCTTGTTTGCACATTGTATATTCTACTTGAGCAAGACTCTTTATTCTCCACCAGGAACCACCAAGGGGGAGTAGGGATGGTAGAAAAGGTTTAGCTCCTACACATGATGTCAAATGTGGATCAAGTTCATCCATGCAACAGGGGTTTTTCCAGTCACCCTGAAGAGCTGCCACTCCTAAATCCCCATTTATTTAATTATCACTTGTAAACATATTCAAAATGCTGTGCAAGAGAAGGTGAAAACATATCAGGGATAGCATTCAATCACCTCATGAATCATCTCAAGAAACCAGACTGGCTCCTGGCAAGATGGGCCACTCGGCTAGCCGATTAACTCCTTAACCCTTTAACCCCCAAGAGTGATTAACACCTAATTTCTCCTCACAACATCACCTCTGAATCAAACATTAAGGTTTTGAGAATAAAGGAAATGATCACCGAATAAAGAAGCTCTTGATTTTTAAACAAATTCTCCCTGTCAGCACCTTAGAAAATGTACAGTAAACAGTATGGAGAATATGCATAATGATTTTAGGGTGTAAAGAGTTAAAGTTAAGCAGATGCATCATAGGCCTTAGTTTCTCAATCTTCACCCTGAGGGTTCAGGGCTGAATTTCTCTGCTTTTCATTAAATGAACTTACCTTGTAACAGCTTGTCTGATTGCAGAGACAAGATGTTAAACACAATCAAAGCTTCTCTGCAAAAACACTTCCTTTGATGTGTTTCACAATGGTGATCTATCTTGCCACTCAACAAAGTGCGTGGAATGTCATAATGACCAAGATCCTTTGAATTTACAACACTTGCAGTTCCTGAAGATTCTAAAATATCTATAGTAGCCATGCAGAATTCTGGCTTGCACAACTTCATAAGCTTTTCAACATGCTGCAGAACATCAATTTCTTCTAGAGTCAATTCTGCAAAAGGAACAGTAGCTGATTTCTTTGTCGAAGCCTTTGACATAATGGTCTCCAGGGGTTCCACTACACCAGACTTGTATAACACTTGAATCAAGACCTCATTGCACATCACCAGTTTTTTACTAATTTCCCTTTTTATTTCTGTCAGTAAATCTGATGAAACTGTGTTTGGTACAGGATATGCCATAGATCCATGAACAGCAAAGAAGTGTTGTGCTAGAAGCGAGGAAGATGTCTCACTAAGGTAAAAGTCTGCATGACGCACATCACAAGTTTTGTTCTCCTCCAAGAGGCTATAATAGTATGGAATCAGATCTGGTCTTTCTTGTATTGCCTGTATCCACATGCTGCTTATCTGATGATCAATGTCACTGAGATGAATGACAGCTCTTCTATCCCTATCAATCCTGAGGTGAACAAAGTCAACTCCTGATGCTAATCCATCCTTAGAAAGGTCCGATACCCAGACACCTTTGACATAAAGTTGACCTTTGTAATGATCACCTAAAAGCAAAGTTCCTGCCACAGACTTTACAGAGTCTTTAGGTGGGCTAAGAAAGAGGAACCGCTTTAGGTAAACTTCCCAGTCCTCACGACAGAGAGGAAAGACAGTCACAGATGTGTTCATCTGTTCAAGGTTTGTCTCGTAATTGTCATTATACTTGTCATGTTGGTCGTCATTGTTGTCATCATCATCATCGTTACTTTCCTTCCACCTGCCATCAACAAATACTGTCAGAACTTCTTCGTCAAACGTCTCATCGTGAGATAATCCAAATCTCCACCGCTCTTTACCAGTCTTCATGGTAACCACTCTTCCTTCTCTCACCAAAGCCAGTGCACCAACTTTCAGTCCTTCTCCAAACTGTCCAATCACTTCTTTGTTTGAAGCTTTCTTTGAGAAACCAAGAAGCAAAACTTTCCTCATAAGCTCTGTGTCATGGTTTATCAAGGTTAGTTTTTGTCTGGTTGGATTATAATCTATTCGTCCCAGTTCAATGTCGATAGAGCCTTCCCCGTCATCGCCTCTGGCTCTGTTGTCAGTTACGGAAGAATCGAAGGTTTGATGACCAGGTTTTCGCGTTTGATTCCTGCCACTCACTTCTTGATCATCTGAGTCTCTGTCTTCTGCTGCTTTCCTTTCTAATTTTAGGCAATTTTCAGCTGTTAAAATTGCTTTATACGAGAGTGAATCTTTTTCTTTCGTATAGTGAAAGGCCAATCTTGAACTCGATACGGCACTCAGTTTCTCCAGCGAGAAATACACCCCATCGTGCCAGTTTTGGACAACTTCACGGATTCCTTCCCAAGTCTTCCATGAGGGTGCATATCGAGCAGTCAAACTAAGGCTGATAGATTTTTCTGACGGTGACTCTTGAGCCATCGACAAAAACTTATGTCTGAAGACTAACTTTTCGAAACTTTGCTGATCTGGCCGGAAACTAGGCTCGATTACCAGCCGCTGTTCGGGTGTATGAGCCCGCGCTTCCCTCTCATCTTCCCGGGGAGGAGCGAAGACCGGATACGAGAGAGCGGCGGAAATCGAGCCTAACCGGACACAAAACTCACGTACTCTGTGATCATACTCCGTCAACTACTCCATCATGACTTAGCTGGTTCCCAAAGCTACTCATATCTGAGCTGAAACGATGACATCATTATTTTGATACAATGGGGGTGAGGACAAATACTTCGGACGTGGGGATGGAAACTGCGGAGGGTAGAGAGAGACTGGGTAAGAAAATCTTGGCTATCACAGCCATAATAGTCGTGTTAAGAATGTGCTGTTATTTGAACTTTGGTATCAACGTTAGTATATGAGCAACTGCGCACCCACCCCTCCCCTTGCGAAAAAGAGATTTCTCTCTTAATCTCTTAATCACAAATAATTGATGGTCATAGGCTGATCAACCTTCTACTTATCAAAGGTGCTCGTCTTTCAATGGATTTTACAAGCCCAACTTTACTTTTAAGTTTAAAGTAGATGTATGTACACTCAGAACAGAGATGGTCAGTAATAATTTTCTTATTTGTAATACTTTATTGATACATATTTTAATTTGTACATATATATCACTGATAGAGCTGAAAGATAAACCTGTTTAGCTTATGATTTTACTCAAAAGTTATAAACCACTCGAATGTTACAATGCTTTGCTGTTTAAAATGTACTCACCCAGGAATGTTTAAATACAGAACAAGGACATCCTAATAAAGAGCTACTTTGAACTTGAGAATATTGAATTTTTGTTATATTTAATTGTTTTAAATCTCTCTCATGAAAAACTTATTCAATCAGTAAAGGCAATAAGGATAACTTTCTTCCAGTATGCATCTAGTAAATTGAAATAAAATACAATAAATTCCTATCAATCAAGGCGAACACTTCCAAAATATAAGATACAAGCGTGTAAAACGAATCTAACTTAATTACAACTCAAATCGCGATGAGAACATAAAAGGCAAAAAAACCCGCTACATTAAGAGATTCACGCAAACAGTTAATGGCCCTAACGTTCTCAAACTAAAAGGTGGATGTACACTGGTAGACGCTTAGCGTGATTCTGGCTGCTTATCACAATGCAATTAAAAAGGTACACAGCGCAATAGACTTTCAAGTACCTTTGTCTAATCGAAATAAAAGGATAAACTTACATATTAGTCCCACTTGCACCAAAGATTTCAAAGGTTTTAAGGTTAGAAAGGTAGCAAAGGTCAAGATCCTAAAAGTTACTAACTATAATTAAAGAAAGGACGCTAAGGTCGCCATTTATGTGTGCACGGGACGCAAAGAGGACGCTAATACAGGGTCGGGTTTCAAGAACAATAGATAGGTACATCAACTCGAATAAATATTATAACTATATAAAATCGTAAAAAACAAGAAGAAATTCGTTATCAAGGTAGTTAACAATCAATAAAATTGGCTGTTATCCTTAACAACTTCCATATGGTCTGTCAATATATAAGCAGGTTAGAAAAATTAATTTAGACTGATGACAGTTGGGATAAAATCGCTTAGTTCAACGAAGTCAGCGATGATAATATTAAATTTGTGACTCTTGGTGCCACGAAGGGTCTTCAGCCACTCGGTCACTTGGCGGTTGCATTTCGAAGCCAGAACATCTTTCAAAGTGCTTGTCACGTGTTTAACTATAGTTAAATTTTGTGGCGTGAGGAGAGCTTGTGTTACCTGCAAGGCATCTTCGGAAACACTGGACGCTTCTGACTTTTTGTTGAGAAATTCCAACAGTTGGTTCGTATCATCTGTGTTCGGCCACGGGGAGCAGATTAGATGGGGTGGCCAGAAACAGGGGTAAGTATCGACCACATCATAGTCGTGATAAATAATGATGACCTTCTCTTCGTTTCCCCACATCTCTTGAAGGGTGACATTCGGGCCTTGGCGGCCGGGAGCGCGTAAAATCTTGCTGAACGAAGCATCCAGAGTATTTGCAAGTTTTTTATGAGCAGCTTGATCCATTTTGTAGAAATGATTGAAGTCTAAAATGACAATTTCTTTCGGGTAATTCGCCACAAATCGGTTCACTTCGTCCAAGACTTGATCAATCGTCCAACCAAACAAACCGTGTAAAACACGTATCTCAGAGTTTTTATCTGCGGTTCTGTACGCGACACGGAGATCCAGATAGCGAATGCCCGACCTAAGCTGTTCGTAAATTGTCATGGACTGTGTGACAGACCAATTGTAGACCACAGGCTTTACCAATTTCCCAAACTTACGAATGAGGTTGGGTTCATCGGGACCAATCTCCATGTTTTTATCAAGAGAAAACGTTCCCGAATCGTGTGATCCTGGGATCACTAAATCTTTCAGTGGACTCAGTTGCTTTTCATTTGGCAAATTTTCCATCCATGAAGAGACGTCGACTGAATTTCCCGCCATAACGTTTTGCCTGGGTAAAGCCACTCTGTGGGGAGAGGTAAGTCAAAGAATAAATACAGAAGAAAAAGAAAAAAAGCAAATCTCAATGAAACATTTTTCATAGGATAGATCCAGCGAATTTAATTATGTTGAAAAAAAAACTTTCCATGGCTTCAAGTTGCTTTTCCATCCAACCCAATATTTGCAAGAGAAAACATTACGTCATTCAAAAGTATAAATCGAATATCTCTTAAAGCGAATATATCATGTAATCAAATAATAACTAAAAATGGAAAACTATAGCAAATTTTTAAATTTAAAAATCGTGCAAGAAAATCACGAAGACAAATTGGTTCCTAAAATAACTTAGCTTTAGGAATATTTCCAAGTCTTTCCATTTCAGACCATTTCACTTTCGATTTCCGCCTTCATCAATTCTCGAAAACAAATTTGACTCAAGCATCTTTGCGTTATACGTCAGACCAAAGAGAAACTTCTTTCCAAATTCAGATTTTACCCACACTAAAATTTACATTACACATACCAATAAGCTTGCTTAGCTTAAAGAACTGGGAAGCTGTGACAAGGATATTATTGACGGTGTGCGTTTCTTTATGTACGACTCGTAAATATCCCCACGTAAATATTTTAAGATGGTTTGCTAAAAGCTTTGTCTTACCTTTAGCTTTGAGCTTCTCTCTCGATATAGACACAGTCTGTCACACAACGCTTGAAATCGACTCGAACAACAGCTGTTGGAAAAAACTGATATGAATTCAACTCGATCAACTTAAACTGCTCGATTTCGATTCTCAATCAAATACCTCAAGTTGAAAGTTGCCCTTCAAATCGTCTGTCTCGTACCCGTGCTTCTGGCTCCAAAACCCATTTTTTACAAGTCAACAAGTGAGTTGATCTTTACGAATTTTAAAGACGCTGCATTTAGTTCGCGTCCGTCGATGCAGTGTTGCTTCGCAATGATGCAATGATGTATTATTGAATTTGGGCCTCGTCTGTCTGATCACGAGATCACAGACGATCATAATACGTCAATCACCTTATACCAAAGAATAAAAAAGCACTCATCCGGATGACTGAGTGCAACAGAACAATGCTGTACAACTGTGCGAAAATATGTCCGCAAACATTATCTGTTCAAAAATGCAAAGTTTCCAAGAACGAAACTCGAGGAAAACTGTGAGCTTCGAGGAGCAAATCATGTCCAAAGATAAATTTACGAGCATATTTTTCCGCCAAATAGAGGCTATCGGTGTTTATTACCCTTCAAATATTCGCAAAGCGCGGGAAACTGAATTGTTTACGAACAGCTTATGAGGTTTTCATAAAAAAAAAAATTGTGGGCCTTTAATATCAAACAATGAGATCACGATTTGATCAGGCGGAATAGACGAAAACTGATATCGGGAAATTACTTGTTTGGCGTTTAATACCAAACAATGAGATCACGAGTTGATCAGGTGGAATAGACGAAAACTGACGTCGGGAAATTCCCTTGTTGTCATTTATATCTCCGCTACTGAGGTTACATCAAATACGAGAACACATAAAGAACACGTATTTGCTGAAAAAACTATTGTCACGCGTGATAGATAACTGTATGAACACTAGCCTCCGTTTGGTGCGAAAATATGCCGAATTCTGATTTAGACTATTCACGCGGAAGCAAAAATTAAAAAGTATTCTATGAGCGCACTCGTTGCCTTTCAGAGCTTTTGGGTGAAGAACTTTAGAATCGTCCAAAATAAGGAACTGTCGACTAAATTTTCCGCCATAACGTTTTGCCTGGGCAAAGCCACTCTGTGGGGAGGGGTAAGTTAAAGAATAATTAAATAAAAAAATTATAAAAAAAAAGCAAATCTCAATATATTCCAATACAGGGAGATAGAACAGAAGAATTGAAAGTCGCTTGCAATGCTTTCAGTGCAAAGCCTTAAGCACCAAAATTGCTTTGTAAACTTATACAGCAAACATCGATTTAACTGAGAACTGACATCGACTTCATTTTGCGATAGGGTATGCTACGATTAGTTACGTGAAGGAAAATTATTAGCATAAGGTCTGTTTGTTACCTTTGATCGCGTCGCGGAATTACATTCCTCGAGTTATATGCACAAATGATGCAAGTAATCAATCGTGTAGAATCTATTCGAGGGAGATTTGTAGAATGCGAGAGACAGTGATCACAATGTAAGGGGGGTAAAAAACATGGAACGACCTAAAACCACTTAAAACCACCTACAACCGCCTACAACCACCTCAAAAATTTCAACAACCACCTACAACCACCTCAAAAACATCTACAGCCACTCGCAAGCTATCTAAAACCATCTAAAACAAGGCATAAATGTCTAAAATAAGGCGAAACGACAACATGTCACGTACATGAAATACGAGAATCGAACGAAACCTCCACCTTCCCCTGAAATCCTACTCTCCCTGGTCCCATGTGTAATCAATCAGGTCCAAATGTCCATGCAAGATCTGGCAGCTGCTGGTCTTGGCATATTTAAAGTCATCAACAAACTGAAAATTTTTTATAAAATGCTGCCCAGTGATGACCTTCAGCAGAAGCTGGCCCAATATAACATCTCTGTGCAAGACTACAGAACAACATTCCTGAAGGATGATGACAAGCTTACTGCAAGCAATATCTTCACAATGTCAGAGGGTCATCCATGCAAGCTGAACTCAAGGCCTTTAGCCACCACAACCTTGGAGAGCCTCTCAAACTTATCAGCAAGTCTTTTCCGCAGAATATCATTCATGTTGTTTAAAATGCTTACTTTATGAGAGTGTGCCTTTTTCTGGTTCTTCACATCTTCCTCTGCAGCTGCTAACCTTTCCTGGTAGAAGATCTTGTCTCTTTCAAGATCAGTTGTTTTGTTAGACATTTCCATGCGCAAGTCTTGTAGAGATTTCTTCCATCTCTCCCTGATCTCCTGTTCGACATTGACCAAGTTTACTTGTTGAAGTACCAGGTCTTTCTCAAGGGCAGAGATCTTAGACTGAAGTTTAAAGAGCTCCTGAGCATGGCTTGTATCTCTTTCAGAAAGCTGTGTGTTAAGGATATCGAACAAAGAACAGCCTTTTTTGTTGAGTTCAATTGCTTGCTTCAGTTGCATAGAGTTCAATTTTAATGCGCTATATAAGAACTTATTATTATTATTATTAGATCAATTGTCAATTACTTTAATTTGCGTGCCTAGTTACGATCTTAGTTACAATGTTTATCTTTTTCCCTATTGGTTTGAAATCGGATATTTTAGCGTCACCACGCGCATATAAAAGCTAAATTAGCGTCCCTATAAGCCAGAGTTTCGTAAGATTTCACCTTGAACAGCAATAACTTCGTCTTTCGTTCCAAACCTTTGGCACAAGCGGGACCGATATGTAAGTGATTTTGTTAGTTTTAATTCAATATGTTTAAGTTTAGTTTTTCACCTTGGGCGATAGCGCACATATGTACTGTGTTGTACAACAGTACAACTAATTATCTTGAAATCAAAGGAGTATTTTGAAATAACTAGACGCCCGCAAAGTAACGCCCACATTTTAGTCTTTGGGGTGTTAATCAGCCGCAAATGGTCATTGTGTAGCCGATCTTTGATTCTCGAGTAGTTTTAATTTAGCCTTTTATGATTTGTTTATGTTAATTCACGTTGATTGTTGTTATTTTAATCGCGTTATCGACATAAGCACGTAAAGCGTTTCTTTCATGCCTTTCGCACCAATTCAATTAGATTCATGCTTTCGTTATAATATTATTGCAATTTCAGTTTACGATCGTGATCGTGACCGTGATCTAAATAAACACCGTTGATAGTCATCTTGGATTTCGTGGTTTCATTACGACCGGTAAAATAGTCCCACATCAGCGACACTTAGAAAACACGCATAGCGACACCCCTCGAAGTTTCCTCTTTCGTCGCAAGCGTCACACTGTGCACTCAGAAAATCCTTCTCTTTCTGAAATGTAAACAAAGTTTTAATTCTTGTTACACAAGGCAAGTTTAAAAAAATGGTCTTGACCCAAGAGTATGAACAGTTAGGCCAGGAAAGCTATTGAATTACTGGGCTCCCTGTAACCTGCTATGTACTGGCATCACACCTACAGGGAGTAGCAATTTCTGCTTTTCCTTTCATTCATGTTACAAATTTTGTAACAAGGTGTGGTAGAAATAGCCAATTGGCTTATGTTCCAATTTCAACTTCTCATTATGCAATGTCATCTCTTTGGACACTAATACCTGCAAAGTCTCTTCTCTCTTCTTGATCACTGACAAGTTTAGGGACATTTGCATGGATTGTGGAACTTCATGGAAATCTTGGCAAAATGGAGGATTCAGTTTGCAAACCTGCATTGATAATGATGCTAACAGTTTAACAAAACTGTCATTGCAGTCATTTGACAGCCTATTTCTAGCTGCAAGAAAAATATGACAAAAATAACTAAACAAATGAGCACAGTGAAAAAGCAAGTATTGGGTGAGGTTGGGCATGATATCATGAATTACCAGTGCCAAGGTCTGAATTATCAGCTGAAGCTGAAGTCCAAGGCAGATAATATAGACACAAGGTTTGATAACTCATGACATAATGTGAAAACTGAATTTAATAATTATTTTATTTTACTTTTATTTTCAAACAATCTGCAATCTGTAAGATAGCAAAAGTTTGAGAACACTGCACGAACAAAGGGCTTGGAAACTAGGCAGACTTTTGAACTGGACATGATAACCCAATAACTGCTGCTGCAGATATTCAGTTTTCATGTCAACTTCACATGTTATTGTATATTGACTGAATGCTCTGGAACAATTAGCCTACTTGTAGCCGTACCCTCCCCCTCCTCCCACCCGAAAATGTGAAAACTTGACACAAATCATTCCTCCTTAGGGTAGGAGGGTACAGCTACACATAGGCTATTGTACGATCAGAGATTTCCATAGAAAGTCCAATGTATAATAAAATATATTATCTGTTGGTTTACAATGAGAGGGAGGTAGTGATAATGACCCCTCTCTCAGTCAAGAGGAACAAGACCCTTGTTTGCACATTGTATATTCTACTTGAGCAAGACTCTTTATTCTCCACCAGGAACCACCAAGGGGGGGTAGGGATGGTAGAAAAGGTTTAGCTCCTACACATGATGTCAAATGTGGATCAAGTTCATCCATGCAACAGGGGTTTTTCTAGTCACCCTGAAGAGCTGCCACTCATAAATCCCCATTTATTCAATTATCACTTGTAAACATATTCAAAATGCTGTGCAAGAGAAGGTGAAAACATATCAGGGATTAGCATTCAATCACCTCATGAATCATCTCAAGAAACCAGACTGGCTCCTGGCAAGATGGGCCACTCGGCTTGCTGATGAACTCCTTAACCCTTTAACCCCCAAGAGTGATTAACACCTAATTTCTCCTCACAACGTCACCTCTGAATCAAACATTAAGGTTATGAGAATAAAGGAAATGATCACTGAATAAAGAAGCTCTTGATTTTTAAACAAATTCTCCCTGTCAGCACCTTAGAAAATGTATAGAGAACAGTATGGAGAATATGCATAATGATGTTAGGGTGTAAAGAGTTAAAGTTAAGCAGATGCATCATAGGCCTTAGTTTCTCAATCTTCACCCTGAGGGTTCAGAGCTGAATTTCTCTGCTTTTCATTAAATGAACTTACCTTGTAACAGCTTGTCTGATTGCAGAGACAAGATGTTAAACACAATCAAAGCTTCTCTGCAAAAACACTTCCTTTGATGTGTTTCACAATGGTGATCTATCTTGCCACTCAACAAAGTGCGTGGAATGTCATAATGACCAAGATCCTTTGAATTTACAACAATTGCAGTTCCTGAAGATTCTAAAATATCTATAGTAGCCATGCAGAATTCTGGCTTGCACAACTTCATAAGCTTTTCAACATGCTGCAGAACATCAATTTCTTCTGGAGTCAATTCTGCAAAAGGAACAATAGCTGATTTCTTTGTCGAAGCCTTTGACATAATGGTCTCCAGGGGTTCCACTACACCAGACTTGTATAACACTTGAATCAAGACCTCATTGCACATCACCAGTTTTTTACTAATTTCCCTTTTTATTTCTGTCAGTAAATCTGATGAAACTGTGTTTGGTACAGGATATGCCATAGATCCATGAACAGCAAAGAAGTGTTGTGCTAGAAGCGAGGAAGATGTCTCACTAAGGTAAAAGTCTGCATGACGCACATCACAAGTTTTGTTCTCCTCCAAGAGGCTATAATAGTATGGAATCAGATCTGGTCTTTCTTGTATTGCCTGTATCCACATGCTGCTTATCTGATGCTCAATGTCACTGAGATGAATGACAGCTCTTCTATCCCTATCAATCCTGAGGTGAACAAAGTCAACTCCTGATGCTAATCCATCCTTAGAAAGGTCCGACACCCAGACACCTTTGACATAAAGTTGACCTTTGTAATGATCACCTAAAAGCAAAGTTCCTGCCACAGACTTTACAGAGTCTTTAGGTGGGCTAAGAAAGAGGAACCGCTTTAGGTAAACTTCCCAGTCCTCACGACAGAGAGGAAAGACAGTCACAGATGTGTTCATCTGTTCAAGGTTTGTCTCGTAATTGTCATTATACTTGTCATGTTGGTCGTCATTGTCGTCATCATCATCATCGTTACTTTCCTTCCACCTGCCATCAACAAATACTGTCAGAACTTCTTCGTCAAACGTCTCATCGTGAGATAATCCAAATCTCCACCGCTCTTTACCAGTCTTCATGGTAACCACTCTTCCTTCTCTCACCAAAGCCAGTGCACCAACTTTCAGTCCTTCTCCAAACTGTCCAATCACTTCTTTGTTTGAAGCTTTCTTTGAGAACCCAAGAAGCAACACTTTCCTCATAAGCTCTGTGTCATGGTTTATCAAGGTTAGTTTTTGTCTGGTTGGATTATAATCTATTCGTCCCAGTTCAATGTCGATAGAGCCTTCCCTGTCATCGCCTCTTACGGAAGAATCGAAGGTTTGATGACCAGGTTTTCGCGTTTGATTCCTGCCACTCACTTCTTGATCATCTGAGTCTCTGTCTTCTGCTGCTTTCCTTTCTAATTTTAGGCAATTTTCAGCTGTTAAAATTGCTTTATACGAGAGTGAATCTTTTTCTTTCGTATGGTGAAAGGCCAATCTTGAACTCGATACGGCTCTCAGTTTCTCCAGCGAGAAATACACCCCATCGTGCCAGTTTTGGACAACTTCACGGATTCCTTCCCAAGTCTTCCATGAGGGTGCATATCGAGCAGTCAAACTAAGGCTGATAGATTTTTCTGACGGTGACTCTTGAGCCATCGACACAAACTTATGTCTGAAGACTAACTTTTCGAAACTTTGCTGATCTGGCCGGAAACTGGGCTCGATTACCAGCCGCTGTTCGGGTGTATGAGCCCGCGCTTCCCTCTCATCTTCCCGGGGAGGAGCGAAGACCGGATACGAGAGAGCGGCGGAAATCGAGCCTAACCGGACACAAAACTCACGTACTCTGTGATCATACTCCGTCAACTACTCCATCATGACTTAGCTGGTTCCCAAAGCTACTCATATCTGAGCTGAAACGATGACATCATTATTTTGATACAATGGGGGTGAGGACAAATACTTCGGACGTGGGGATGGAAACTGCGGAGGGTAGAGAGAGACTGGGTAAGAAAATCTTGGCTATCACAGCCATAATAGTCGTGTTAAGAATGTGCTGTTATTTGAACTTTGGTATCAACGTTAGTATATGAGCAACTGCGCACCCACCCCTCCCCTTGCGAAAAAGAGATTTCTCTCTTAATCTCTTAATCACAAATAATTGATGGTCATGGGCTGATCAACCTTCTACTTATCAAAGGTGCTCGTCTTTCAATGGATTTTACAAGCCCAACTTTACTTTTAAGTTTAAAGTAGATGTATGTACACTCAGAACAGAGATGGTCAGTAATAATTTTCTTATTTGTAATACTTTATTGATACATATTTTAATTTGTACATATATATCACTGATAGAGCTGAAAGATAAACCTGTTTAGCTTATGATTTTACTCAAAAGTTATAAACCACTCGAATATTACAATGCTTTGCTGTTTAAAATGTACTCACCCAGGAATGTTTAAATACAGAACAAGGATATCCTAATAAAGAGCTACTTTGAACTTGAGAATATTGAATTTTTGCTATATTTAATTGTTTTAAATCTCTCTCATGAAAAACGTATTCAATCAGTAAAGGCAATAAGGATAACTTTCTTCCAGTATGCATCTAGTAAATTGAAATAAAATACAATAAATTCCTATCAATCAAGGCGAAAACTTCCAAAATATAAGATACAAGCGTGTAAAACGAATCTAACTTAATTACAACTCAAATCGCGATGAAAACATAAAAGGCAAAAAAACCGCTACATTTAGAGATTCACGCAAACAGTTAATGGCCCTAACGTTCTCAAACTAAAAGGTGGATGTACACTGGTAGACGCGTTATTCTGGCTGCTTATCACAATGCAATTAAAAAGGTACACAGCGCAATAGATTTTCAAGTACCTTTGTCTAATCAAAATAAAAGGATAAACTTATATATTGGTCCCACTTGCACCAAAGATTTCAACGGTTTTAAGGTTAGAAAGGTAGCAAAGGTCAAGATCCTTTGAATTACTAACTACAACTAAAGAAAGGACGCTAAGGTCGCCATTTATGTGTGCGTGGGAAGCAAAGAGGACGCTAATACAGGGTCGGGTTTCAAGAACAATAGATAGGTACATCAACTCGAATAAACATTATAACTATATAAAATCGTAAAAAACAAGAAGAAATTCGTTATCAAGGTAGTTAACAATCAATAAAATTGGCTGTTATCCTTAACAACTTCTATATGGTCTGTCAATATATTAGTAGGTTAGAAAAATTAATTCAGACTGATGACAGTTGGGATAAAATCGCTTAGTTCAACGAAGTCAGCGATGATAATATTAAATTTGTGACTCGTGGTGCCACGAAGGGTCTTCAGCCACTCGGTCACTTGGCGGTTGCATTTCGAAGCCAGAACATTTTTTAAAGTGCTTGTCACGTGTTTAACTATAGTTGAAGTTTGTGGCGTGAGCAGAGCTTGTGTTACCTGCAAGGCATCTTCGGAAACACTGGACGCTTCTGACTGTTTGTTGAGAATTTCCAACAGTTGGTTCGTATCATCTGTGTTCGGCCACGGGGAGTGGATGAAATGGGGTGACCAGAAATGGGGATGAGCATCGACCACGTCAGTTTCGTTATAAATAACAATGACATTTTCTTTTTTTTTCCACATCTCCTGAAGGGTGACATTCGGGCCTTGGGCGCCGGGAGCGCGTAAAATCTTGCTGAACGAAGCATCCAGAGTATCTGCAAGTGTTTTATGAGCAGCTTGATCCATTTTGTAGAAATGATTGAAGTCTAAAATGACAATTTCTTTCGGATAATTCGCCACAAATCGGTTCACTTCGTCCAAGACTTGATCAATCGTGCAACCAAACAAACCGTGTAAAACACGTATCTTTCCATCTGCGGTTCTGTACGCGACACGGAGATCCAGATAGCGAATGCCCGACGAAAGCTGTTGGTAAATTGTCATGGACTGTGTGACAGACCAATTGTAGACCACAGGCTTTACCAATTTCCCAAACTTACGAATGAGGTTGGGTTCATCGGGACCAATCTCCATGTTTTTATCAAGAGAAAACGTTCCCGAATCGTGAGATCCTGGGATCACTAAATCTTTCAGTTTCTTTTTCTTTGGCAATTTTTCCATCCATGGAGAGACGTCGACTGAATTTCCCGCCATAACGTTTTGCCTGGGTAAAGCCACTCTGTGGGGAGGGGTAAGTCAAAGAATAAATACAGAAGAAAAAGAAAAAAAGCAAATCTCAATGAAACATTTTTCATAGGATAGATCCAGCGAATTTAATTATGTTGAAAAAAAAAACTTTCCATGGCTTCAAGTTGCTTTTCCATCCAACCCAATATTTGCAAGAGAAAACATTACGTCATTCAAAAGTATAAATCGAATATCTCTTAAAGCGAATATATCATGTAATCAAATAATAACTTAAAATGGAAAACTATAGCAAATTTTTAAATTTAAAAATCGTGCAAGAAAATCACGCTCATTTTTAAAAATGAAGCAAAGAAGACAAATTGATTCCTAAAATAACTCAGCTTTAGGAATATTTCCAAGTCTTTCCATTTCAGACCATTTCACTTTCGATTTCCGCCTTCAATAATTCTCGAAAACAAATTTGACTCAAGCATCTTTGCGTTATACGTCAGACCAAAGAGAAACTTCTTTCCAAATTCAGATTTTACCCACGGAAAAAATTTATATTACACATACCAATAAGCTTGCTTAGCTTAAAGAACTGGGAAGCTGTGACAAGGATATTATTGACGGTGTGCGTTTCTTTATGTGCGACTCGTAAATATCCCCACGTAAATATTTTAAGATAGTTTGCTAAAAGCTTTGTCTTACCTTTAGCTTTGAGCTTCTCTCCCGATATAGACACAATCTGTCACACAACGCTTGAAATCGACTCGAACAACAGCTGTTGGAAAAAACTGATATGAATTCAACTCGATCAACTTAAACTGCTCGATTTCGATTCTCAATCAAATACCTCAAGTTGAAAGTTGCCCTTCAAATCGTCTGTCTCGTACCCGTGCTTCTGGCCCCAAAACTCATTTTTTACAAGTCAACAAGTGAGTTGATCTTTACGAATTTTAAAGACGCTGCATTTAGTTCGCGTCCGTCGATGCAGTGTTGCTTCGCAATGATGCAATGATGTATTGTTATGCCTAGAGAATTTGGGCCTCGTCTGTCAGATCACGCGATCACAGACGATCATAATAAGTCATTCGCCTTATACCAAAGAATCAAAAGCACTCATCCGGATGACTGAGTGCAACAGAAAAATGCTGTACAACTGTGCGAAAATATGTCTGCAGACATTATCTGTTCAAAAATGCAAAGTTTCCGAGAACGAAACTCGAGGAAAACTGTGAGCATCGAGGAGCAAATCATGTCCAAATTAAAGATAAATTTACGAGCATATTTTTCTGCCAAATAGAGGCTATCGGTGTTTATTATCTTTCAAATATTCGCAAAGCGCGGGAAACTGAATTGTTTACGAACAGCTTATGAGAAATATTGAAAATAACTCTTTGCAGGGTCTAGAATGTTTGCAGAAAAGCGAGGTGGGATATTAAAAAATATTATAACCAAAACTGAAGCCGAACTCAACACGCAGATGTCTCTATTTAAATGACACTCACAAACAACAGACATAATTATCAACAGCCATCTTATTGTTGGTTTAGGTTGAGCCGTTCGTCTGTTCACGCGAATTTAATCTCAGTGAAATATTCCTTGTTCTACATGTCCATATTTTGATCTATATCTGGGTGCAATGCTTGAATTCTGTAGGATATGTACGCGTTTGAAGATCAGAGTGGAACAAAAAACAGGTTTCAAGACCCTCGACAAAGGACGCCAATGGAAACATTTCAATTTAAGGGTGCGAGGTTTACCACTCGTAAGTGATGGAGCTTAATTATGACAAACACGATACGTAATTCGTGTCATGTTTTACTTACACTTAAAGCTGAAGCATACTTAGGCTACCCTTCGCTTGCAATGGTTTCAGTGTAAGGTCTTGAGCGCCAAAACTCTCTAAACTTGGCTAAACTTCAGAATACCCCGCAACTCATTTCCGCCTCACTTACATGTGTCGGGAGGCTTTGAAGATCGAGGCATAACACAATAGACGCTATTCTTATTCAATGACATGTAAATGAGTTGCGGGGTATTCTGAAGTTGCTCCCTAAACTTATGCAGCAAACATCGAATTAACTGAGAACTGACATCGACTTCATTTGGCGATTAGGGTGTGCTACGGTTAGTTACGGGATGGAAAATTATAAGCATAAAGTCTCTTTGTTACCTTTGATGGCGTCGCGGAATTACATTCCTCGGAAAAATTTCCGCACAGCCCCATACTTCATTATGCATGCACATCTTATTAATTATGCATTCTACTCTTTGTCTTTGAATACAATAGACAATTCCCTTGGTAATTGAATATATACATTCCTAATTATTACTTACGGCATTAATAAAAGTTCCCCTCTTTCTCTTCCCCATTTCTCTGGCGGGTACTTCCTACTATCTATCCTTACTCCAAGGCCCCTCTCAGTCTATTTTTTCTTTTTTTTACGTTACCTGTAGGGTTCGAACTCTCAATCTTCTATCTTCTTCATCAGACTAGCAGTCTATCCTCTATACCATTGTTGACGTGCTTGTTGCCAGTAAAGGGTAACTTTCATAATTATATTTCTAATACCTTATTTAAATTCCAAAAATTAACACTGAAATCATTTCCCTCACCTTTAAAACATGTTGGATTTTTCACGAAGAAATGAAATGTTAATCTTTGTTTAATCGAAGTATAAAAGTGCAGCCTTTCTAATAAATTTCATTGCTAATCAGTGGCTTCTTAAAAAATCATCTTCATAATATTAACAGTTATAATTTTATTTCCCTCAATTTATATCGTATTCTCATCTCCCGTTTTTGAATCGTTCTTCATACTTCCTCTGCTGTTGGTCCTTCCTCCGTTTGTACGTGTTTGTCTCTTCGTCTTCGTTGTATTATGTCTTGCATGCCTAATGAAGTATGGGGCTGTGCGGAAATTTTTCCAAAACTGATATCGGGAAATTCCCTTGTTGTCATTTATAACTCAGCCACTGAGGTTACATCAAATATGAGAACACGTAAAGAACTCTTATTTGCTGAGGAAACTATTGTCACGCGTGATAGATAACTGTATGAACACTAGCCTCCGTTTGGTGCGAAAATATGCCTAATTCTGATTTAGACTATTCACGCGGAAGCAAAAATTAAAAAATTATTCTATGAGCGCACTCGTTGCCTTTCAGAGCTTTTGAGTAAAGAACTTCAGAATCGTCGTCTAAATTTTCCGCCATAACGTTTTGCCTGGGTAAAGCCACTGTGTGGGGAGGGTAAGTTAAAGAATAAATACAGAAATAAATTTGAAAAAAGCAAATCTCAATATATCCCAATACAGGGAGATAGAAAGGAAGAATTGAAAGTCATGACTTAAATGCTAGTTGAGTGACTCCATTTGTTTTTTATGTAATATACTAATTTTACGTGATCAACTGCCTGGGGAGGAAAGGTACGGCTACACGTGGGCTACTGACCAATCAGAGTTTTAATAATAAGTCTGATGTATAATAAAATATGTTGATACACAGGGTTTACAAGGAACAAGACCCATGCTTGCACATTGTATGTTTTATTTGAGCAAGACTCGCTACTCTACACCAGGAACCACCACAGAGGTAGGGACAGTAGAATACGTTCAAGTCCAACACATGGTGCCAAATGTTAATCATGCACCAATGGTTTTTCCAGCCACCCTGAAGAGCTGCCACTCCTAAATTCCCATTTATTCAATTATCAACTGTTATTTAAATTGCTATGCAATTGCAAGGGAAGGGAAAACATATCAGGGATTCAGTTTGCATTCAATTATAATGGTACAATCCTGGTCACCCCATGAATCATCTAAAGAAACCAGACTGGCTCCTAGAAAGATGGGCCACTTGGCTTGCTGACTGAATTTTTAACCCTTTAACCCCTAGGAGTGACTAAAATCTGATTTCTTCTTACAACATTACTCCTTAATCAAACATTAAGGTCATGAGAATAAAGGAAATGACCACCAAATAAAGAAGCTCTTGATTTTCATACAAATTCTCCCTGTCAGCACCTTAGAAAATGTATATTGAACAGTATAGAGAATATGCATACTGATGTAAGGGTGTAAAGGGTTAAAGGTAGGCAAGTGAGGGTTCAGAGCTGAATTTCTCGGCTTTTCATTTCTGGACTTCTTTGAACTTACCTTGTACCAGTTTGTCTGGTCGTAGAGATAGCATCTTTGACACAACAAAAGTTTCTCAGCAAAAGCACTTCATATGATGTGTTTACAATGGTGATCTATCTTGCCACTCAACAAAGTGTGTGGAATGTCCTAATGACCAAGATACTTTGAATTTACAACACTTGCAGTTCCAGTTTTCTGAAATATCTATGGTAGCCATGCAGAATTCTAGCTTGCACAACTTAATGAGCTTTTCAACATGCTGAAGGACAACAATTTCTTCTCTGGAGTCAATTCTGCAAAAGAAACAGTAACTGAGGAGTTTGTCAAAGCCTTTGACTTGATGGTCTCCAGGGGTTCCACTACACCAGACTTGTATAACCCTTGGATCATGGCCTCATTGCACAACACCAGTTTTCGGCTAATTTCCCTTTTTATTTCAGTAAATGAATCTGATCAAACTGTTTGGTATAAGATATGCCATGAATCCATGAACAGGGAAGACCTGTTGTGCTAGAAGTCAGGAAGACTTCTCATTCAGGTCAAAATTTGCGTGACATACATCAGATGTGTTTTTGTTCTCCTCCAAGAGGCTGTAATAGTGTCAAATCAGATCTTGTCTTTCTTGTATTGCCTGTACCCACATACTTCTTTTCTGATGATCAATGTCACTGTAATGTAACTGCACGCTTACCCCTCCCCCAACCCAACATTAACCCTGACTTGTTACCAGTTGACTGTTGTTGGGGTTAGAGGAGGAGTAGCTGGGCAGTTGCTCAGATACTGACATTGATCTAAATTTGTAGTGGTTTGACTAAGGCAAAACTAGACTTATTGACCACTGACAAGTAACACATTCACAGAGGTACTTGGGGTTGCCAGACCATTTTCTAATCAGGGGGGAGGGGACAGTGCATTTCTTTGACAATACAAGTATGAAAGGACAGTGCAAAAAAAGATTTCTCTCTTGATCACAACTAATTGATAGCCAAGTGCTGATCAACCTTATACTTCTCAAAAGCACGCCTCCTTCAATGAATTTTACAAGTTCAGCTTTGCTTTTAAGTTTAAAACAGATGTATGTACATTCAGAACAGAGTTGGTTGGTAATGATTTTTTATTTTTTAATAATATTTCATTGATACATATTTTAATTTTCACATAGACATCATGGATGATGCTGAAAGATAAACCTGTTTAGCTTATGATTTCACGCAAAAGAGGTTAAAATGGAAAAAAAAAAAACACTCGAATATTGCAATGCTTTGCTGTTTAAAATGTACTCTCCCAGGAATGTTTAAATCCAGAACAAGGATCTCCTAATAATGAGCTCTTTTGAACTTGACAAAATTGAATTTTTTTATATTTAATTGTGTTAAATCTCTCTCATGAAAAACTTATTTAATCAGCAAAGACAATAAGAATAACTTTCTTCCAGCGTATGTCTAGTAACAAGCATTAGATATGATCTCCCTAAATTTATCTTGACTAGAGCATGCTCTTAAAAGAAGCAATTCTCTTGGTCAAGATATTGGCCACTGAATATATAAACACTCTGATATTAAAGTGACCAAACATGGCCTTTCAAGGTTAACTTCCCAGAACGCCAGGTCATGATTCAACTCAAAGGGTTAAGTTAACTCTTTCACTCACATGATCTCATAAGTAATTCTCCCTACTGACTGCTACATAATTGTTGATTTTGGTTTTAAATAATTTGGTAATGGATCAACTGAGAATCCCTTAATTTAATTTAATTTCTGTATTCACATTACTTTTCTGCTTGATATTGTATTGATATTGTGATGAGAAATTCTGTCTTGGTCACCTATGGCTGTTTCAGGGTTAACTGATGAATCAGTCTATCTATGTTGATTTTTCACTGACCAAAATTAACCAAAGCCATATCTCTGCTATCTCTAGGCCAACATATAATTTTTAAGGCTGAATTTATGTTTGTATATTACAGAAAGATACCTCACAGACTTTTTATAGTCTCACTTAGATGTGAATTTGTCGTAGCTGTGGAATATTTCACCACTGATAACCAAAGTATATTTCAGCAATCTCTCCGCCAAGATGTTATGTCTGTTTATTACAGATAGATGCCCTACAGACCTTCCTTGGCTTTACCAAGAGGTCAAGAGCAAGTTCATAGTAGCTGTCATCTTTTTTACCAGACAATGACATTTTTTTTTTTGGAGAGGAAATAATCATTCCTTACCAACACATCTTGACATTGCTCCAACACAATCTCCTCTCCTATAAACTTTCCTTGAAACACTGAGATTTTGGGCAAATTGCACTTATTTACAGTATCAATTTTACTCAGATTAGTTCTAGCTTGTTTCTTATACTTTTAAAGAGTGTTTCTCGCAAAGCTGTAACAAAGCAAGGTTTATGGTAAGGCATCAGGCATAAGCTGCACTGTGATCAATGTTTTTAGTCCAAAGGCCTGAAACTCATGCCCAAACCTGGTGTGAGCAAAGCATCAGTCAGCCATTTAATTTGCTGACTCATTGCAGGACATCAAGAAAGTTAGGGGCACAGCTGAAATTAAGGATGGTTGATATCCACACAAATCACTTTTTTCAGATAGCCCTTTTCAACAGCCTTGTCTTTAGTAACAAAAATTTAGGCTTCACTTTTATATAGTCTGTCAATATATTAGCAGGTCAGAAAAAATAATTCAGGCTGATAACAGTTGGGATAAAATCGCCAAATTCAACGAAGTCAGCGATGATAATATTAAACTTGTGACACTTGGTGCCACAAAGGGCCTTCAGCCACCCGGTCACATAGCAGTTGCATCTTGAAGCCAAAACATCTTTTAAAGTGCTTGTCATGTTTTGAAACACAGTTGAAGTTTGTGGCGTGAGGATAGCTTGTGTTACTTGTAAAGCATCTTCCGAAAAACTGGACGCTTCTGACTGTTTGTTGAGGAATTCCAACAGCAGTTTCTTATCCGCTGTGTTCGGCCACGGGGAGCAGATTAGATGGGGTGGCCAGAAACAGGGGTAAGTATCAACCACATCATAGTCGTGATAAATAATGATGACCTTCTCTTCGTTTCCCCACATCTCTTGAAGGGTGACATTCGGGCCATCTGCGCCAGGAGCGCGGAAAATCTCGCTGAACGAAGCAAGCAGAGTATCTGCGAGTGTTTCATGAGCAGCTTGATCCATTTTGTAGAAATGATTGAAGTCTAAAATGACAATTTCTTTCGGATAATTCGCCACAAATCGGTTCACTTCGTCCAAGACTTGATCAATCGTCCAACCAAACAAACCGTGTACAACACGTATCTTTTTATCTTCGGCTCTGTACGCGACACGGAGATCCAGATAGCGAATGCCCGACAGTAGCTGCTCGTAAATTGTCATTGACTGTGTGACGGACCAACTGTGGATCACAGACTTTGCTACTTTCCCAAAAATACTCCCGAGCGTGTGAATGGCAGATGATTCATCGGGACCAATCTCCATGTTTTGATCCAGAAAAAACGTTCCCGAATCATGAGATCCTGGGATCACTAAATCTTTCAGTGGACTTAGTTGCTTTTCATTTGGCAAATTTTCCATCCATCGAGAATAATCGTTGTCTTCCAGAGCTTTTATGTTAAGAACTTCAAACTCGTCGCCTAAATTTTGCGCCATAATTTTCTGCCTGTGCAAAGCCATTCTGTAGGGAGGGGTAAGGAAGCAGTTATTGTTGTGGAACTCAGTCCTCTTTCAATTCCGTCAGTTAAAGAATAATTACATAAAAAAGAGTATTTTAATTGAGATCTCAATATAACATTTTTCATGGGATGGATCCAGCGAATTTACTTTTGTTGAAAAAAAAAAAAAAAAACATTCGTTAACTTCAAGTTGCTTCTCCGTGCAGCCCAATATTTTCGAGAGAAAACATTACGTCATTCGAAAGCCAAAAATTAAATAATATCACGTAATCAGGTAATGGCTTAAAACGGAAAATTACTATAACTTTAAGCGTTAATTTGCGAAGCAAATGATTTCTGAAACGGAAAAAGAAAATTGCTCACTTGCGCAGCGGTGCAGACTTGCTGAAGATATAAACATTGAGGTGTCGCTTTAAGACAGATGTTTTCTATTTAAGACATCTCGGACATAGAATGCCATGTCTTACCGAAACTGAAATGCAATTTACATCCAATTGCGATGGTTTCGTACAAATTAAAACAGGTGCGTTTCCTCTTATAGAACCTGATGGCTGATTAAAACACTATTCTCGATTCAATAAAGTAATTTAAAAGTGTAAAGGAAGACATGGAGCGACGGAATAGAGGAATAACTACGAAAAAATGACAAAATATTCCAAAACTCTGGACAATACACCCAGCCATTACCTACGGGTGTCCAAAAGTTGCAGTTTAATGCAAAATTCTTTGAATATTAATGTTATAATGGAATCTTTTACTGTCAAGACTGCTAAGTGACATAGCCTTGTCTATGCTTTTACATTTATTATTAATTCAAGGCAAACAGGGCGTGCGTGGAAACTAAACATTGCCACACTAGAATTGAAGTGAGCTGAATTTGTGCTCAAAAATGGATTTTAAAGAAGCGCTTTTCATGATGCTGCAAGCAACATTCGTTTTTGTTACTGAAGGAAACTTAGTGGCTCGTTCGTCGTATTTTCAGACAAGGGAGAATAAGCAGCTTCTAGGGTATGCTTTCAAACGGTTCAACTCTGCTAGTGTGTTGTCGTGCGGTCAAGAATGTTTGAGATCTCCGTCCTGTTCATCCACAAACTTCAAGTTTTTCTCCAAGAAGGAAGAAGAAGGAACTTGTGAGCTGAACAAACACGACGTCACTGCTATACACGAGAGCAACAACTTTGACTATCAGGAAGGAGCGATATTTTCTATTTTCCTAAAGGTAAACAGTAGAAAATTATACAAATTATTACATATCACGCAAGAGCAACTAAGAAACACCGAAGTGAACATTTCCCGGCAGATTCGACACAGTGGAGGAAAGGGTTGCGTTATATCGCATTGTCCCAAATTTCAAAGGAATCCAAGAATTTATATCGAATTATGACGAATATGGTTAGAAATATCTGAGACAGAACAATTTGGCTTGTCTTCGATAATGCCAGCAGCAGCAGCAAATAAAAAGATTAAAATCTTTTAAATTAATTTTTATGTTTAAATCCATTTTTTTATCGCTATGTCTATCTGGTAGTGGCTTACATCGCGGCCGTCAATATTTCATACAAACAGACAAAATTCTCATTTCGCTTATTTCTTTTTATGACCGCAGTATATGCGATACGTATCCCAACGTTTTTCATTTTTTAGGGATGTTTGCTCGCCAGCTGCCTTAATGGAGGATCGTGTTTGCCTGACAAAGAAAAACGAACTTTTTCCTGCTCGTGCAAACTGCCTTGGACCGGGGACAGATGCGAAAGTGGTAGGTGATTCAAAGCATTTTGACTTCCACGAAAGAATCGGAACAGTAACCTGAAAATAAGAGCTCACTTATAAAATAAATTGCAAAATTAGTTCTGATGAATAATAAGTAGATGACGGAACTCAGCTAATTCAAACAACCAGATTTTTTTTTTTTTAGTTAAAACTAATTCCTACCCCCTCCCTTAACACACACGCACACACAAATCGTTAACCACCAGCCGTTTTTCTCACCGACCGTTTCAAATTGCTTACTACGGGACGTAATAAAAAGTGTTAAAACCGTAAATACAAAGAGAAAAAGATGAGTAGTTTTTTTAAGGGATTTAAATCTCACGGTACATAAGATTCGAAGGACCGTTGTTAATAAATAAATTAAAACAGTGCTCATATCCAAATATTTCCTTCAACCAATGTAGGCCTTCTAAAGAAAGCATTGGTTTCTTTTCTCTGTACATATAAGTAAATTGAAAACAAAGTATTATCATAATACTGATTATGAACAATTAAAAATTGTCCAAAACTCACATAACTCAATTTCAACGGATCGATAAGGCGACAAAATCCAAGGCCTCATTTCTTTAATAACGTCAGATTTTTGTTTTGGGAATTATGTTTTTCATGTTTGATACCATGAAGGCTTATAATTTTAGCTTCGTGCGCTCGAACGTGTCTTTTCGATACATAGCAACAAGTAAGCAAAAGTCGTCAATCAAGTATCTCAGCTGAAGAAATGTCTTTGGTGGAAGTAGCCGATTTGGTTTAGTGAGGGTTGAAAATATTGGCAGTATGATAGAATGATTCTGAACAGTGAAACACTAATTTATTTATATTCCTTATTGGCTCAGCACGCAAGCTGTTAAAACATTGAATGGCCGGCTTTGTAGCTTCTTCAGCCTGGAGTGAATTGGCACCTGTCAATAGAAAATGGCCTCAGCGGCGTTTTTCTTATTGGCTTTGTTGGAGGTCGCCTTACCCTCCCAACCTTCAGTGCAATGTAAAGTTTTCTCTGTGCTTAGCAATACAATTTGAGGATAGTTGGAGAAGTGGTAGGGGAAATTTGACTGGAAGGTTTTGAAATAAACGGGAATAATCATCAGCGATCTGAGTGCTTTTGCCACGCTTTTGCCGCTGACTAACGATAGTTAGACATCGCATAATTTGTAAAGATTTAGAATTTGTGACACGGCATGTTGTTTAACTGAGTTGTGATAACATTTACTACCAGATAACTTTTTCCTTTCAGAACTACTGACGTCTTGCAAGGAAATACATAACAAGAAATTGTAAGTGACAATTACTGGTGCATCTAAAACATTGTTTGGTAGCTGATTCAGTAGCTGGGCGGAGTGCACTGTGACTAGGAACGGTTGTATCTTCAGTAAATTGATTAAAACTCGATTCAGTTTAGTCTCTGTATTTTTTCCTGTTTGGATTTATTTGTTGTTTGTTTGTTTGTTTTTTTATCAGGTCCTCATCAAACAAAGCCCACTTACTGAAGGTAGAATCAGCAGAGGTTGCTGTGTACTGTCACATGACTAACCTTGGTGCATGCGGTGGAGGCGGATGGACGTTGGTTATGAAAATGAATGGCACACAGGTACGAAAATGTTTCTTTAGGCGACTGATCACTCAGTAAGCCTGTTTGTCAATCTGTCTGTAGTCCCTCTTTCAGCTAACCAGCCAGTCGGTTTGTCAGTCGGTTAGGCTATCCGCCTTTCTATCTATTGTGTGTCTGATGGCCTGTCTTTCTGTGTTCTCTGTCACGTTCCTTCAGTAAGTCAATCACTCAAAAGTTATATAGGCAGTAACTTGGTATAATTCAGTCGATAAGAGAAGGTGTTGGAGATTTTAAGTGTACAAAATACTGGTTGAAAACAAGGACACCGAACAAACCAAGACTGTGTTTCGTTAGCTGTTCTTTGTTGTAATGGTTTTCAAGCTTTTTCCATTTTGGTTATTTGTTTTTGAATTACCCTTGCAGAGCACGTTTCATTACAATTCTGATCTCTGGAGCAACAATGAAACCTTCAATCTAGAAGGAGGAAAGACTGGGTTTGACTTACATGAGACTAAATTACCAACCTACTGGGGTACACCCTTCAGCAAGATCTGTCTCGGTATGAAGATCGGACATCAAATCAACTTCACCGTTATCAATAAGCAAGCTAGCTCTCTGCACTCACTGATCGCTGATGGAAACCACCGTAACACTTCACTAGGTCGTGACACGTGGAAGGAGCTGATTGGTTCTCAAGCTTTCTTACAACCCAATTGCAACAAAGAAGGGTTTAACGTTGTGACCGAAAATAACGACACAAAGTGGCCAAAGGTGAGGATTGGTATCCTCAGCAACAACGAAGATAACTGTTTCTCTTGTGATTCTAGGATCGGCTTTGGAGCAGAGTCGTCGATGGACGTAAGAAATAATTCTTGTGGAAATGAAGCTTCTATATCTTACGGAGATACACACATTAAGGCGATGGGATACATCTTAGTCCAATAAGAAAACGAAATGGTACCAAAAATCCAAGATTTATCTCTGACGTTTTTAAGGTCAGGCGCCAGTTCCGAGAGGAAATTTGTTCGGCAGGGCATCGAAAACATGGGAAAGGCAATAAAGAAATGTGACAGACAAAATTTGTAGACAAAAAGATTTTATTAGCTAAACTTTCTTGAGAGTGGCGAGATTTTAGAAGCCATTGCCCTCAAACTCCGAGCCGTAAACTCTGGAACATATTTATGCCCAAGTTAAATAATGATTAGTTAGTTGGTTGGTCAGTCGATTTAATTTAATTTAAATTTTAAGACTGCACGCACAAAATGATAGAGCCAAATTATAATTAATGTACGATGGATTGAATCGTACCAATGATAGGAACTGTCCACCTTTCCCATTATCTTGTGCACGAAATGTCTGAATTCTTGAAACATAATGTTACCACGTATCATCAATGCATCGTCAAGGATGGATTTCAACTGCAACAATAATACAACTATGTTAAAAAAATTATCAAATACTTGTGAAAAAATACTTCGTCTCGGCTAAGAGCCATGCAAACTCGAAATGCATGTCGCTCAAACTTAAACTGTCGGCTGGTTGGTTCTCTATCGCAGAAGGAGTCTCAACCGCATGTTAACGAGTTACAATTTAAACAACAAAAGTTGTCAAATACTTGTGCAAAGATACTGTTCATGGCTGGCGTGACTACGTTAATAAGAGTAACAATTACATGAATCTGATCTTAAGTGACAGCGAGAAAGTCGTTTCCTCTTCGTCAGCAAAATGGTTGTTTTCGTTAATGGACATGCTATGTTTGTTTAATTAGTTCGCAGGTTCCTTCGTCTCTCCTTGTAGAGGAAAACATGTTGTTGATGGAAATACACCAGGTGTTTCTCAGACATTGCTGACCGTACCATAACAAACTGGGTGAATCAAACTGTTTGACGGCGTATCCCATCAACCTCTAAGGTTTCAAATAAAAGAAAAAAGAGGAATTTTGGGGTTGTCTTTGGCAGAAAACGTGCCGTAGTTCTCAAGAGAAATAACAACAAAATTTCCTTTTACGCAGCCATACCTGCCTTTAGTTCAAGTTAACTGTAACATTGTACTGAATATGATTCCGTTGTTAAAGAACCTTTGAAAGTGTTCATCCTATCTTTCAATTAAGTGCGAATGGTTTGAATTAACAAAATGTTTTCCTTCCGGATCTGGCTTCAGTTGCCAGACAAACATTTTGACGGAGGGAAACTCGGCAGGAAATGAAGAATGCTGGGAAGAGTTTCGCTTCGCGTAGCTTATTAAAGATTGAGTTGATGCACATAATAGTTTTAACACGTATAGCGTGACATTGAGAAAATGTAGACGGTTTGACTCTTCTGGTTTGCCATCAAGCAGTGAGAAATTTCTTAGAAATAGATGGCATTCTGCACAAGTTTTAAGCTGGACTCCAAGAAAGATGTCAAAGGGACTTTGTGATAAACACACACGTAATTCCTACTGTTAAGGAAAATATTAACTCTGCTTATATGAAGGATGTTTACTTTGCTAATGCTGCTAAAGGTAATAAAATTTTTTTTTTCACTTAAAGGTTAAGCTTTCACTAATTCAGTTCTTACATCGATAGAATTTTTAATCAATTGGTTCCTTCGTTTCTCTAATAACAGTTATCCCTTCGGTGAGGGTCTCGATGGGGTTAACCGTAAAAACTGACAAATTTTATCAAATATTCGTGAAAAAAGTTCACCGTAAAAAAAATTTAAGATAATAAAATGGAATGACATTACCCATAAGCCGTAAAAGCCATCACCTCGTTGAGAACCTCTTCGCTATTCTCCAGTTCCTCAAAAAATTGGACGATTAAAACAAGATTTAATTTAGGAGCGTCAAATTTCTCTTATCTTCTCATAAGAAGCCTATCGGTAGTTGTTTGTTTATTTCAGTTTGTGTGATGTATATGTTCTACTAAGTGTTTTCCGTGAAAGCTCAAAGTATCAACCTTACGAAGTGATTAAGGAATTTTACCTTGTTATGTAGCAAAGGTTTATCCCGTAGGTGACGTAAGTAATTGACGTCAGGTTATTTTTTTGCTTATATTCCACTTATGCAGGTGGTTTCCTGCTTCAAGTTACGTGGTATGAAATGACCCCTAATTCTCTTTGCAGCGTTTCTAAAATTAAAAACGTAATACTGCCATTCCACTTATGCAGGTAGTTTCCTGCTTTCAAGATACGTTGTATGAAATGACCCCTAATTCTCTTATCAGCGTTTCTAAAATTACAAAAGTAATTCTGCCATTCCACTTATGCAGATAGTTTCCTGCTTTCAAGATACGTTGTATGAAATGACCCCTAATTCTCTTCTCAGCGTTTTTAAAGGTTCAAAAGTAATTCTGCCATTTAATAAATTTTAAGGTGAAAGCGTCAAGGTAATTAAATCGACCCAGTTTGTTTTGAAACTGCAGTTGATAGTGGCTGTCACAACCACTTCCTCCCCCCTCGCCCACACTACACATCAATTGACATCGCCAGTTATTCTCTAACGGCTTTATCAGGGGGTGTTTCTTGTTTCTCTGACCGGCTGCTTTGAATCTGTCCTTTCCAAGAGGAATAAATAGTATTAAAATCGTACCTAAGGAGAGAAAACTTAATAATTTTCAGATGATTTAAATCTCAATGTACAAAAAAGTTCGCATGAACTTTGGTACTGCTTGGGTGGGAGGGGGGGTATTGTACTGCGTGGGGGGAGGGAGGGGGAGTATTGCAAGACTATCTGATTTCATCTAATGAGTTGATAATGTAGATTGACCATTTTAAAATGTTTCCAAAACTGATGTTTCAAACGTTAGGCCTTGGTAAGATTTCAGTGGCACTTACTTGAACATCTCACAAAAACCAACTAGGGTCCAGTCCATTTACTAGTGTTTCAAACACACACTAAATCCACCTTTTTTGGTCCTATGTTGACGCTTTTCACAAAAGTTAGACCTACATAACGTTTAGATGGAATTTATGGATGGGTTGATTTATAGTAAGCCTTTCTGGCAAAGAACAAAAGGGGCAGACTGTTGGAATTCACGAGCTAAATTACAGCTGATGTCATTCCACTTTCCCAATGGTGAGAGTTTTCCGGCATATACATTGGCACATTTCTCTTGACCACTGTTTGGTTCTCCTTTTGCCCATGCAGAAAACTGGCCTGTCACAGGAGTATCGTCAATCCAGTAGAACTCGTTGTCAGGTTTTCTGTAAAGTCCAATCCACACACCAAGGTGTTGCACTAATTCCTGATTTAGAATCAGATCGAGTATGAAGTTGTTGTCATCAGCAGATCTGATTACAGGCAGATCTCCCCCGTACCTCTTGCAAACCCTGCGGGCTTCAGTCCAATTTTGCGTTGGAGTGTCGAAAACAACGTAACATGATTGAGAGTGGAGAACCCATCCTTTCTGGCAAACCTGTTGTTATCAGTCGATGGAAAACGAGACATTTAGGTTAAAGTACTCCAGCAAATTATTTCCCGAAGTGTCCATAAAAATTTTCTTTGCGCATACACTCAGATATCATCCACAGACATTTCTTATCTGTGGCTTGTGGAAAAGTGTTACCTTCAAGAAACATATAATATTCAGGGTATCTTATATTCCGTCACTTGATGCCTCTCAATTGGTCACTGGCCGAGAATATTACATGATAAATTATAAATGATTACTAAACCCGATGATTATAAATGCAAAGTGAAAACTGGGTTCCACTTCTTGCTTAGAACAAGCAAAGTGAATACTAACATTTCGAAACCTTGAAAAAGTTGTTTCTTCCTGATCAGCAAAGTTGCTTCTTTCACTCACAACAGAGAAGTCGTGCTTGTTCAGTTCACAAGTCCCTCCAATGCTTTTCTTCTTGGATGAAAACTTGAAGTTGGTGGAAGTACACCAGGTGTTTCTCAGACATTTCTGACCGCACGATAACAAACTCGGTGAATCAAACCGTTTGATAACATATCCTATCAGCCTCTTGTTTTGAAAGGCTTCAAAATAAGAAAAATGAGAATTTCCAGACCCTTCGACAGAAAAACATGCCGTAGTTCCCATTAGTACCAACAACAAAACTGTTTTCTGTGCAGCCATAATGAACTGCCAGCTTCTAGTTGGAGGTCAGATGGTAGGTAGTCTTTTGAAGTTCTATAACATGGATTTGTATTGGCAGTCTTACAATTGAAAATTAATTGTTTAGGGTTAAAGGAACAATTCTTTTCTTTACGGACTTTGTTCAGGTCTTTGTTCCTTGATTTATGGTCAGCCTTTCTGAATAAATATTCAGCCTAGTGGGAACTTGGCAGAAGAAGGAAACCAAATGTTAAAAAAGAGTTTCGCGTAGCTAGACAAAGTGGTAATTCATGCGAAATTGAATTAAAAAAAATTGTTTCATGGTAGATCACAATCTTTAGGTGGATCACCATTTGGTATTCATACGACTGCTTCTCGTTGCAAAATTTAAAATATGACCAAGAGCAAACAACAAATGAACCCTTTAAAAATTAATTTCGAAACTAGTGTAAATTTTTAACCAAGATTTTCCGCGAACACGTAGTAAATATTAATATAAACATGTTAGCCGCTTGTATTTCATCAATTCATTCTGTGAGCTTCACTGTGGGCGTCAGTTAAGTGGTAAGTCTAAATTATGCTCCCGCTTTTTCAAGTCAGTCAAACGTTTCGCCTCAAAAGTAATACTACTGAAAAAGTTGACAGAAAATTAACAAATATTCACTTAGAAAAACATTTTCCAATATTTCAACTCCGCATGGGAAAACATTTCGCATTAAGAAATAGATTTAGATACATATGTCACTGTAAAAAGGCAAAAAAAATCCTTCCTCCACGAATAGACTGGCTGGTTTTTATCAGGAAGCCTCACATTTCTTGTACCAGGACGGCTATACATGATTTTGACTGATTCCAGCTGCTCTCGGATGGTCAAGATTATGAGCTCGAGATTACTATCGCATGATAGGTACCGATCAATAAAAAATTGAGAGCGAATAATCTAGTTGTTATTGTTAAGTATATATTTAATACCTAAAAATTGACAACAAGATAGACATATGTTTCTATTTATTTCATTCACAACCTCACACTGCGAGACTACTTTCTCTACTTTACTCTACTAGTTACTCACTATTCTGCTATCGCGGAATACTTAGCGAATGGCGTGGCTAATCAGATTGTAGTACCACAGGCGGTCCAAGCTCCAGCTGTGAGACGATTATCTTGCGCAATAAGCGTCATGGGGCAAATTCAAGAGTTTGAGTGGTATTTACAATCGCTCTTAGGAATAAAAAAATACATTAAATTCTCAATGAAAATCCCTCACCTTACTTCCACAGTGCATCACTTGTCATCTGACCACTCCCTATGTTGAAAAGAACCCATTTTAGCGAGTTATCCATTTCTAGGTTTCATAAGACAGGAAGTGATTACTAATATTTCCATACAAACTCTTTCGTTTTCGTCATGACGCTTATTACGATGATCGTCTCACAACTGGAGCTTGAGCCGCCTGTGGTAGTAATTGGAATAGAACGCTGTTAGAGTTAAGGGGTTAGTTTCTAAAGAAACTGAGGTGCTGCGTCGGTGGGAGAGTATAGTAGGTAATTTAGTGTTAACAACTGAGTTGAAAACGTAAATTGGCCACCGTGAAGAATAAAAAAGCTGACGTTTCGAGCGTTAGCCCTTCGTCAAAGCGATTGGAGGAATTGTGGGTTGTGTGTGGGTTTCTATGTAGAAAGTGGAGCTACGCCATTGGTGGGAATATGGTGACGAGAAAACAAGAATAAATTAGGTGAATGAAAAGCGCTCGTTGATACCGTGGGGATTAACAGTGCCGATTTGGAAGATAAATTTTTGTTCTCGTGTTTTGCGGCTTTCCGAACTGCTTAGATGTGAGGAAAGGCCACAAACTGCCATATGTTGTTTAGAATGATTAGGGAGATTTAAGTGTTTAGTGACTGGTTTGGATGCATCCTTGTCATTTCTTTCCACGTCGCGAAGTATAATTTATTGCAAGTTAAAGTTATGCAGTAAATGACATTGGCGGAGGTACACGTTAAGTGATCAGTGATCTTAAGATGACTCACTGCCCGAACCGTGATCATGATGTTATTTCAAAATTCAAAACTTCTATAAAGACTTTTTTATTCAAAGAACACTTTGATTTAAGTTATGTTAGAAATATTGCGATGAGAATTTTAATTTTTACTTTTACTTTTAATCTCAATTTCAAGATACGAATTTTTAACATGTTCTTCTATATATTTGTTTTATTATTGATGTAGTTTTTTCATCTACAAAATTTTCGGTCTTGAATATTCAGTTGTAAAGCGCCATGAGCATACGGATAAGGTGCTAATATTCACTTTAATATGTTTTAAATCCTTATTATTATTATTATTATTATTATTATTATTATTATAATTGTTATTATTATTATTATCATTATTATAATTATTATTATTATTATTATTATTATTATTATTATCATCATCATTAGTTCAGCGGTCATAGTGTGACTTGATAGATTATTCATGTAATCTTTACACAAAGATGCAATGCTGGGGACTGGATATTAATAACAAGAATTGATACTACTCTGGTTAACAGATTTAATGAATGTAACCGAAGAAGTTACAACTCATAGACCCAACGTCTTTCTAGTGCCTTCATCAGGGTTGATCTAAACGCTGCAACAAGAAACTTTCCACGGCAAACAGGAAAGACAAGATGTGCTTACTAAGCGCCCAAGAAATCAACATTTTACGTACGAGACCCTCTGAACAACAATGGCTAAAAGCAGCTATTAGGGATTATCAGGTTAATAACTTGCCAAGAAGCGTGACAGTCATAGCAAGTAATTAACTTGTTAAATCGTGTTGTTTATTAACAAGGTCAGAGTACTTCTATTTCATTTCGCGTAAGCTTCCATCCTCGTGTACATTTTCGCGGTGCCATTACTTTAGCGCGACCAAATTGTGATCCCAAATTGCCTCACGAGAAAACGTACCGAAACATCTATCGTAGTTCCATGGATAATTACTTCATGTTTGAATCCAGCGGCCACAAAATCTCGATATAAACAAGGGAGTTCGTGTTGGGGGCATCAGCGAATCGAGATGGGAGTGAAAGGATTGTGGGAATTAATAAAACCGGCAGGAAAGCCTGTTACGATAGAGACCCTTCAGAACAAGACTATCGGAGTTGGTATCCTTGCTGTCTTTAGATCACATTTAAGGCAAAATATATAAGCTTATGCACCTCTAGTTCTGTTACATTTTACCCTTTAATGTAATCTCACGTAGACTGATGTGAAAGTATTCACCAATCTTGAGTCTGCTTGGGTGTGAGCTACGATTAAGCCTATCACGACGCTAAATGGAATTAAACTATGGGGCGAAAATCATTTATTTTATCAGTTTGTGATAAAATCAAGTATCAGAGCTGCAGAACTGTTTGAAAGCAATTGTGCATTCCGTTGAGTTTGGTTTCACATCTGAATCTTCAATCCAAGATAATTGTGGATGTTGATATTTTACAAGTGCGGTTCAGTTTTCCAGACAACGATGTTTCAAGAAATTGAAAATATTTTCAGCCAATCATTGCATATAAAAAACACCAAGAGATGACCTTTTTTAGTTTGTCTCACAATGGAGTCACTTTGGATGCTGATCGCAACATTTCGACAGCAATACTGCTAGTATTCATCTGGCAATGAGGTTGATTGTTTACATGTCGCTATTTGCAGTGAGGTACATAAAAGACACTATTTACATAACGACTACCTTAGTCTATGATATACCGCGAATTATTATGTGATATATCTTGATCATCAAATACTTGACTAGATTTTTCAGTTGTCTTGATGTCAAAGTCTATTATAACCTTGATCCTAATGAACAGATGTTAGTTTGCTGCTGAATCAGTCTGTTAAGGGAATGCGGGGCAGGCATGGTAATCCTTTGGCCACAGCACACCTGGCAGGATTGTTTTCCTCAACCTGCAAGCTGCTGTCTCATAGAATAAAACCAATATTTGTATTTGATGGTGCAGCCCCAGAACTCAAGGATAAGACTCTGGTAATGAATCAGTAAACAGTAAACAATAGAACATGTAAATCAGTCAAATGTGAACCACATTTGATGGTGATAAATGTGCCTAACACCTTGGAATCATAAATCTTATGGACACCAACTATTCCTTACAGTAACTTTTTGCTAAAATCAGTGAAATAGCCAGTGTGCCCTTGAATAACATGATATTTAAAGGTTTTAGCCCCTAAGATCCGATTTATAATTTTCCATCATTCATAAGTGTATACATAGCTTTAATGAACTTTTTTTTTTGAAGATTTTTGGTTTAAATTTGTTTTTCCTATGAAGTTGCATGTAATATTTATATTGCAGATAACCCTATTAATTCTCATGACTAGTTTGCCAGTGAGGTATTGATGTCGTAGAAAGATTTAAAAACTTGTGGGAGTGTGGGCATAAAGAGTGTGGTTTTATATTGCCAGCGAAGGCAATGGAATAACAAGTTATAAATTTTGTCAATCTTTGAAACAATAATGATGATAAATTTGATATATTTTGTCATTTTCTTTAACAGGCTGCAAGAAGAGATCAAAGGTTTAAGGCTGTGCATAAGTCTAAGAGTGCTGCAGAGAAAATGTTGAAAAATAAATTGCGTTGTGAAGATATCAAAAAAGTCATTAAACAAGAAAGGTATCTCTACCTGTATAAATTGTACAAAAAGTTTAGTATTAATTTTGGAATCTTGTAAGTTTAAAAAGAAAACTCCCTTTCCTTGACTGAAGTGAGGTTTCTTTGGTAGTAAACTTAATGCAATGCCTCACAATTTTACCAGCTGTTGGATTAGTTTGGGCAAAAATTTGTTCCAAAAGCCAGCCTGAAAACAGTTGATGTATAATTATGTAAAACTTGTAATTTTGAAATTTCATTATTTGTTTATCAAGAAAATGAATTTTATCTTTTCCCAGGTCAGATTTCCCTTTGTGAAAGTTTGTTTTTCACATCTTGTTCTCTTTCGCTGGCAGTCCAAGTCAGGCAAACAATTCAATCTATAGTTGGTCTGAAGTTAACCCTTTAACTCCCAAGATCTGAATGTTAATTCTCCCCTCTAGATGCTACACATTTCCTTGTAAATTAGTTACAAGAATTTGGTGTTAGATCACAATAATAAGTTTGAGCATTCTTGTAACCTGTTTGCAAGATTAAGTACGGCTATTACTGGTATAGGGAGAAGTTACATGTTGATTGACTATGAGGTCAAAGAGTTAATAAGTTATCTAAAAATTTTAGGATTTTGTCGGTGAAAGTGCATTATAGTGAATATTTTTTTAGCACAAGTACAGTTCTGGCCAGTGTAAACCTGATAAAACAGGATGCATTTGAACCAAAACATACTCCACTGCCTTCAGATACCCTGGTATCGTGTATTAAGAGGTGAGAGTTTATGAGTATGAAAATTGACTTTATTGAGCAAAAGCTGTTGGTAAACTTTTCAGCAGATTAAGTTTATGACTCACATTTGTAAATGAATAATAATATTCATGAAAAAAATTACACGTGTCTGATTGGCTTTAAATGAGTGCCTTTTTTCATGTAACACAAGTGCAAAGTTGTCACACAAGTGCAAATTACAAATAGCATGTGCCCACTACCAAAATTTTGTCTGTCTTGACTTTCGGTGATGTGTTTTTTATGTAAATTATTATCAAGCAACAAAATGATTTTGAGTGCTATTTGGTGTTAATAAGCACTCTTAAATTTTTCAGAGACTTCAAATTGCACTTGCCCTATGCACTCGGGCAATTTTGTTGTCTTTGAAAAATTTACTCATGCTTAGTAACATAAAATTGCACTCGAAAACATTTTGTTACCTTATATACAAACATAAGACTCTACTTGTAAATCTTTGCACTCAAATTAAGTGGAGCAGGTATACTCTGGTATTTCATTTTCTCAATGTGCACACTGATGACCTAGGTGTGGCCATTGAAGTCTAATAGAGGGGAATTATCCCAACACATGTTGATGCTAGCTGTGCGTTCACTAAAATATAAAACTCTTGGGAACTTTGGAAAACATTCAGGAAGCTGGAATTGCTAAAGGAAAATTTATCTTGCTCTCTAACTTCAAGCATGCTTCATATCTCAGTGAAGGCACTCTAAATGCAAAAAGGAAATAATTGTCAGTCAAGTTCATCCACTAACCAGTCTTGTGGCTTTTGTCTTGTTCAGGTCATTGCGAGGCAAGGTAAAGGCAAATACGAGTACTTCCTCTCAGTTGTTTTCAAATAGTCACACTGTCGTGCCAGCTTTGGAGAAACATGATTCTTTGGAAGTATTGAAAATTGGAATCGATTGTCCTGTGGAACCTAAGGTGAGGTGGTCTATTCTTAAGGTGACATGGCATGTTTCTAAGGAAATATAGGAGGTATCACACTATCACCACCATGACCGTTTATCCAATGTCATATATGAAATAAGTTGACTACTGCCCTCATAAAGTAAGATAACTTGTACAATACTCAACAGTTTCTATGAGACTTTCCCTTGCCCTGTGGCCAAAGTTTAGAATATATTGGTTATGGACTGATCGAAGAACATTGAAAACTAAGCTTTTTGACCATCTTCAGGGTAGAAGGTGATAAATTGCATACTTAACACTTTCAGCAAGAGATGGATGGTATACGGGCAGAACAGAAGTCTCTTGCAGCAGAACTTGCCAGGCAGAATCGCCGGGCAGCTACAGTGACCCCTGGGATGTACATCGATTGTCAGGTACATCAAAGCATTATTAACATCTCCGTGTACCATTAGTTTCAAAACAATGTCGTTGTACTCATTATCCCTTCTTTTATTCTGTTCTCTCTTCCTTTTCTTTCTCTCCTTCTTCTTCTCGTGCATTTCTTCTCGCAGGTTACACCTGAACACAACCTTTATGTCCTCCCCTCCCCTCCCCTCCTCGTGCCTTTTTAATCCAGTTCCCACCCCTTTCCATTCCTCTTCTCTTAGTTCTTTCCTACCCTTCCTTTAATTCTCAGTTCCATGCTGTCCCTCCCCTCTTCGTGCCTCTTTTATCTTGTTTCCGCCCCTTTCCATCCCTCTTCTTCTGTTTCTTTCTTACCCTTCCTTTCATTCTCAGTTTTATACTGTTCCTACTCCTCTTTTCGTTTCCCCATTTTGTACTCCTTCCATTTTCCCTTCAGTTGATAGATTGTGGAAAGACTTGCTTGTGCAGTGGCTCTGTTCTTCATTAGAATAAAGATGCAGAGTCTAGCGTTTACGAATAAATAGTGGAAATTTTTCTTGCGGCCTATCCAATGTTAACACATGGCTCACTGCAAACAAATTGACTCTAAATTCATCTAAAACTGAATTCATGTTAATTGGATCGCGGCAAAGGATAGGTACCCACGATACTTCCCCTAAACTAATCATAGGTGGTGACATAATTAAACAAGTTAGCTCAGTCAAATCTCTGGGTGTACATATTGACGAAAACCTTTCATGGAATATGCACATTGAAAAAATAGCCAAGAAAATCGCATCGGGCATTGGAGCAATTAAACGTTGTAGGCCTTTTGTTAATCGAACCACGCTTGAGTCCGTTTTCAATGTCTTAGTTCAACCGTACTTTAATTACTGCAGCGAGGTCTGGGGGCATTGTAACAAGGGTCTTTCGAATAAGCTCCAAAAGTTGCAAAACCGGGCTGCCCGTATTCTGACCTTCTCCAGTTATGACACAAGCGCTGATCCTCTTTTTGTGCAACTTAACTGGAGACGGTTAGATACTCAGCGACAAATACAAGTGGCCACCATGGTCTATAAATCTATACATGGTCTTGCGCCCGACTATCTTGGTTCTCTTTTCACTAAATATGATCCTCCATATAATCTAAGGAACTCTGAAAACAAACTAGCTGTTCCATTGCCTCGCACCAATTTCCTAAAAAATAGCTTTAGCTATAACGGTGCGGTTATATGGAATAGCTTGTCCCCTGAATTGCGGCAAGCAAAATCACTTCAATCCTTCCGAAATGGTTGTCGCAATTTCTTCCTCTGAATCGACAAAACACACACGGCATCTATGTAAAGCAGAATTTCCTTATTTTTTTTTTCTATTTTACTTTTAAATTTTAGATCATGTTTATATAGATTAAAATAGATTGTAACTGTAATAATAGATTGTAATAATATTATTATCTTATCTGATAGATTTACCGTGTCTAAATAAAAATAAAGTTCAAGTTCAAGTTCAAGTACAGTGATATATTCCTCTTTGGCAGCAAACGAGTGTATAGAAATATCTTCGACACTAAAATGGAAGCAGAGGAATACACAAGTGATGCAGTTAAGAGAAAGCTACGTTAGTCTGAAGTTTGTCGATTACCGTCTGTATTTTTTAATTGAAATCTCTTTTTTGAAACGTTTATAGGAAATATAAAGTGGGAAAGTTATATTGGTGATAGCGCGCTTTTCGCGCTTTTCGATTGGCCATTACAACGGCCAATCAGAAGAAAGGAAAATACATTTAAAAGCCAATGAGAATTCAAAGTGAAAACAACCAAACCGCCTAAAGGGCGGGAAAACGCAGGCGACCAAGTCGTGATTTGGTTTTTTCGTTTTGCATCTGATTGGTTGAGAGAGTGGCGCCAGTTTTCTGGACCAATCACATAACAAGTAAAGCAGAACTAATGCAATCATGATTTACTTTTGACACTCAGTTAAAAATTACTCTGACTTAAAAAAAACGTGGAACACTTAACAGGAAAAAGCGTAGAAAAAACGACTGTATCCGGTGCTGAATGTTACGTGAAAAACGCGAGGCTGATTTAAACCTTGGGAGAATAACTTTCTAACGAGTGTGTGGATTATGAAAACTCATGAACTCGTTAAAGATCCGCTCTATCGTGACAGCGTGCATCCTAAAGTGCGGTTGTACAATCATAAAGAACCGGAGAAGTCGCCAAGGTCATTCTGAATACAGATAAATGTTACTTGGAGCCAGTGAGAGGTCAAATTAAAGACGACTGAGGACGACTTGTAGGATTGGTTATAGTTTTCCATTTGATTTCTTGAATAAGTGACACGAGTCGTCCTGGCCAATACTTTTGAACATGTTAGGTTAACACTGTTGGCTTAATTTTAAGTCAGTTCCCAGTTTCAAGAAAAGAAAAGGTTCCACAATTTTAGTCGTTGAATGTAAAGCCAACCAGTGCGGCTAAAACCTCTGTATTTAACACATTTTCTTCCGTTCGTCGTCTTTCTCTTTTCACTTATTAATGTATAAGTTTTTATTAGTTCTAGACCGTTCGAGTCTTATCTGCCTCGCCTTCATCACCGGCAGCGACTACACTGATGGCTTAAAAGGTTAGAAGCCCATCGTATGACAAGGATGTTATAATGGACAACCTCGATGATTTGCGTCGTACGAAGTTCATGATCGAACCGTAAAACATGTGTAGTTTATAAGTCGTAGAAAATAATGCAAATTGATAAAAATTGGGCAGTTTCGAGTCTTTGCCCATGATCATCGGTGTGGTGTTCTTGGTCAAGACACTTATTACATTTATTCCCACAAATTACCATTTCCATCCAGGAGTACAAATGGGTGACGTTGGATCGTCAGGGTGGGGAGGGAGGGTAAGACAGAAGCTCTTGTGAGAGCAAGCTCAGATTTTCCTTTTTAAGTGTCTTGGATGTTTATCATGACGGATAATGATTCTCGTCTTAAAAAATAAGAAGTCAGCTCGACTCAAATCGTCGGAGAAGTTATAAGCAGAATTTCCTACTCACGGAAGACTTCATTAAATGTGGGAGAGGAGCTTGTTCGAGGTCAGAGTATGTGCCCCAAAGAAATTTAAGATTTTCTTTTCTCGGTTGGAACAACACGTGACTTCAACTAACTAACTCAACTAACAAGTTGTTTTATGGATTTTTCTTTTGCAGGGTTTGGAGGAGTTAATGCCATGGAGATTCTTCACGAGTTTTCTATTAAAGATTTCGAGGGTCTTGAGCAGTTTAGGTAGGTTATTGTGGGATTGATGCTTGATTTAATAACTAGTTCGTTCAGTTTAAGACCAAGTCAACACTACAAGGGATAGATGTAAAAATTAATTTTTATTACTACTGTAATGTCCACTGTCCTCATTGATCGGGGTAAATTTGAATTTCAACCCACAGCGAAGCTTTTCGAGGTTCACATAGATAATCATATCTGATCATCATGAAATTTTTGGTCGTGATTTCGTCCTGATCATCGTAATCGTGTTATTTTGTGTTTGTGGGTAGCTAATGGCATTTTATCTGCGTCAATTCTTTAGATCCTGGCATGAAGAAGCCCAAAAAGGCCCGAGGAATCCCCACGAAGGCAGAATTAGGAAACGTCTTGTAAGAAGCTCAATTTAACTAGCCCATATGGTGGACATTATTAGGGTAATTAACCAGTGAAACCTGCTCAAGTATCGTGCCAGTGAATATTTCGATGCTAACTTAGAACTAAAATAGATAATTCAAGTCCTATTGTGGGTTATCAATTGTTTCTCTCTGCCTTTTTTTTTTGTAGAGAGGTGTGGTGCTGCCAAGTGACTTTCCATCTAGAGCAGTTTATGACGCTTATAGCAATCCGGCGGTAGAGAAACAAACAGGGGATTTTGAATGGAAACATCCAGACCTGGAGTTCCTTAAATCATATCCTTTCCAAGTTAACCTTATCAGTATGTTTGTATCTTTAAAGGCCTTTCTTGAATCAGGAACATTCCATGCAACATGTCCTTTAAGGACAACATGCAACTGTTGCAAAATAAATTGTCATGCAAAATTGTATTTTTTTCAAAATTTGAATTTCCTTTACCAGGATGCATGGAGATTTGTCCTGTAATTAATTATTCTCTGTGTCGTGATATTGCCTAGATTTCGGCTAGCGGTTATCACGGTACTAGTACCTAGGGCCACCATATGCAAAAATGGGCATCTAATAATTATTCATTGGTAGTGTGACTTTGTTTTTTTTTTAGTTAGTTCTGTTCTTTGTACTTTGTTTTATACATATGTGCGTTTTCGTACGCTTCCTGTTCTTGAACGAGAACCACAACACTCGGTACTCTCGTTGTCCGCTTGCTTCGTAATATGTTGATAACACAAGGAGATAAGCATCACTAATAACTCCTTAACATTCTCACATTTGCTTTCAAAATCCTTGGCTGGACTGAAGCCAAGACAAACGAGGTTCTAAATCCTTTGATCAAGCGACTCAGTGAAAAAAAGGTAAGTTAGAGGCAGGCATGTTAGTCTTAAACGAGAGTAATGGTAATTCTTGGTGCACACTGATTTCAAGACTTTACCCGACGAATTATGTGCTTTTGCTTAGGGTTAGGGTTTAGCAACTTCTCGCTATTGCACGCGGGAACGAAGTCACGTCCCTGTTTCCGATTTCCTGAAAAGTGGTTGGCACCTAACTGAGTATGAAAGATTTAACTTGGTGTTTATTTTTCGTGAAGAAAGTGTTGATCGAAGTGCAAGACAAACCTGAAAAAAACCAAAAACTCCTAACCCTAACCCTTACCCCAACCCATTAAATTAACAATTTCTACAGAGCTTAAATGAACTCTAATTTTAGGCCAGTTTTATCATGTTCTGAATAGCGCGGTCCTGCGGCGCCGCTGTTAAGTGGGCTTAAAGCTTTTCCAGGGAAAGGGTTCGTACTAATACCGCGTGATCGCGTTGATAACTAGATCCAGTTGAGCAAAAAGTTTTATCCAAACGTTTTTTGTCCTGAGCAATGTCAAGAAAGTTTCTCACGAACATTACGAAAAATGTCTATTTACTTTAATAATTTTATCAAAAACAGTAACCTCGAGGTCCAATTTTTGTTTCAAATTTCGGTCTAACTTAAACTTTGCTGAGATAGTCAGAACTCTAACTGACAAATGTTACTTCTTTTATATCCTCCTCATTCCTGAAAGCCTTTTCTCGTTCTCCTATCAGGTAGGGAGATACTCAATAAATATCGCAGCCGGAGGCTGAATGATGTGTATACAATATACGTTATAATCTACCATATTAGTTGATTCTTTTTCTATGTTTTACCTCTTTTGTGTATTTCAACTATTCTAGGCTATTATTTTAAAGATCCCGTGGCGTACAACATGTTTGCATATACCTAATAAGTTCATGTTGTTTTACTTCCAGACACAAATGAAGATCGATCAGTTTTTCAACCACGTAACGGTTTACTGTGACAACGTAAAAGTCAAGAGCAAACGTATTCAGCGAGTATTAAAACCACCTGGTAATCAGTTATCGAGTGGAAAAGGTGGCAAAAAAGACAAGAACAAAAACATAAAAAATCGAAATCCAAAAGCTGATAAAAGACCTCGTAAAATAACCAATGAAAAGCAGTTCAAAAACAAAAAGAGGCCATATTCAACAGAACTGCATAGAAATAAATTAAAAAGTGAAGCTGCTGTTATTCAATCGAAGGTACCAAAGAAGGAATGATGATGACGTGTGCGTTATATAAACCTACAGAATTCATTAACCAGCGAGAAAATTCCTCTCTTAGAGATGTAAAGCAAATACTAGATCAAAAGCTCTGTTTTTTTATGTATTTGTTAATTTAATTTTTTTTCTCCATACCCGTATTTTAACATATATGTACAATAATTGGAATACAGGTTATAGGTTTTTTTATGAGAAAAAGTTAAGTCTTAATTCCAAGAAATTAGAGAGGAGGAAGGCAAATCCAGAGAATTAATGTTGTGCCCCTTAAAAGTTATCATGATAAAAAAATGTTTGCAAAATAAACTTGACCTATGCGCCTAATTACCTATTTATTGAATGCATTCTATCACCTATGAAGTATTTGTCTTTTTGATGCAGGCCTGACGACATTTGAACCAAAAATCTTAAAGGGAGAAGACATAAGTCCTGCGAAAAGAAAGAAAAAAGACAGTTTCATCTAGATTTTCTAGAAGGTCTTTTAAAGGCATGTTATTGCAATTGTCAGTGCCGTTTTACAGTAAGATTTAACTTAAGTTCTGACTTCAAGAAGATAGCTTCTCATCCGCGAGAGACTGGAAGAGCTTGTATCTGATTTATTTGTCAGTTGCTATTAACCAATAAATAAGTGCTATCTTAGAATTGATGTGTTGTTAATAAGACTTAACATTATTAGAACTCTTTTAATCCTGAGACTGAAAGTGTTGTGAAAGAATTTGTGGAGAAGTATCGTCTGTTGAGGCAAAGGACAATTTGGAAGGAACTACCAAGGACAAGGCAGGGCCTTACCATCGCCGTCTACACGTAGTAAAAAGATTCCGCCAAAGTGGACTTGTTGGCGGGATTACGGAACGAACAAAAGCTTTCCAACATTTTGACCGGCTAAGTGGTTGAAAAGGATTGTTTCAATGTTGAGCACAGGCAAACAGAAGTTTGTCTGCAGAATAGTTGTAAATTATTTAAACAACCTTCAAACAAAGGCTGAAAGTCACTTGAAAGATCTTGGAATTATTTCATTCCAGGATTGAGAAAAAGGAGTCCTTGTTGTGTCAATTTTCGACTTAATTTTCGAGTTTACGCTATATATGCCTTTTCAGCCCAAAATAGGGTCGGAAAGTAATAATTAACTCGCCAAGTTAATTATCAACAGTCATTTAACTGACAACTGACAAATGGCCTAAAATCTAACTGAGAACTGATAAATGGCCGAAATTTTAACTGACAACTGACATTTGTACCCCCCATGCAGACCCTCTAACAAACGCCGTTCGGCATTTTGCAGATCAAACTCATGGGGTAACCATATGTATATTAAAAAGGAAATTTAATTAAATATAGTTGATTCTTTTTTCATTTCACTCTGTTTTTGTTAGAATAATCAGTTTTAAATGCAGTTTCTAGAGATTTAGATTTTTCTTTTTGGCGGTTTCTCGACTTTTAGATTTTGAGTTCTTTACTCATGGCAAAAAGGTTGTTAATTAATATGTCTTGTAGATGAAGTGATCATGCCTCAGGCTGTGATCTTACTGGTGATAAATACGTCTGTTTCTATCTTTGGTAAATTTGAGGACATTGGACGGTTCTAATTCATTTTTCGGTAGAACCGTAAGAAAAAAATAAGTCCATCAACCCTAGCGTTTGAAATCTTTCTGACTGCTTTCTGTACCAGTTGGGAATTCTCTTGTTCCAAAAAATTGAACAGAGCTTCTTAGTAATATGACTTGACTAATGACGAACGGCAGCAGGAACCAGCTTTTCTTTGACAGAAAATCTCAAATGAGTGGCGTTGCCATAAAAAATTTAATTTGCTTAAAACACATACCTCTCGAGATTTAACTAGTACCTTATAAAGCTGAAACATTCATTTTGGCACGCTTTATTTTTTTTGCCGTATGATTGAATACAGGATGAACTGAAAAATCTCTGTGTGTTATCTGAAAATTAAAGATTGATCTTGGGAATACTAAGTCGGAGGTATATAAATTTTGGTGGAAAATTTGGGCTTTTTTTCAATTTGTAGACATGAAAGATCTTATCTCAAAATTTCCTATTGGTTCCGCCGGAGATAGAGAGCTTGCGACTATTTGAACGTGATAACGTTTAACGCCGTATGTTCATTGCCTTTCCTGAGTGATTGTCATGGTCATTGTCTTTTTCAGTAATTATCATTATTTTATGGCGTTTTTTCCATACGGAGCCTATCCGGCCCATGATATCTATTTAGTTTTAGTCATTGTCATTGTCATTGTCATTCTCTTTATCAATTTTCGATCGCGTTTTTCCAATTCGGGTCTTTGGCGAGCTATTCTCAGCCAGATCCAAAGTTGTTGGCTGAATTACGTATTTGGTGAGGCTTCGGCAGTTGAGTATTAATTTGTTTGTAATGTGATGGTTTTTGAACAAAGAAAACTTTAAAGGCATTTGTCAAAAGTTAATCAGATGTCAAAAATACGTAGTCGAATTACGATTTAGCAGATACTGCTCACGTCCTCTTCAAATAGACCGCGAACATTTGCATTAGGGTATCACAAATGGCATTTAAGGGAACAGCATTTTTATTTTTGCTGGTTCAAACATCGGCAACCATCTCGGACACGGAAAGAGATTATAATCTCTTGGCCACGGACAATAACTCAGAATTTTCGCGTTTCAATCACTTCAAACCGTGGGATAACAGACAGCTTTTGAGATACGTCGTCAAACAGTTCAATTCTCCCAGTTTGTTATCGTGCGCTCAGCAGTGCCTTTTGACCGCCTGGTGTACTTCCACAAACTTCAAGTTGTTTTCCAAGAAGGACAGCAAAGGAACTTGTGAGCTGAACAAGCACGACATCTCTGTTGTTAACGAAAACGTCAATTTTGCTGAGCAGAAGGGAGTCATTTTCTCATTGCTTCTAAAGGTGATTTAATGAGGTTTTGGTTTAACCATCTTTAATTCTTCTATCAGGATTTAAATAAATTTTTTAACAAGCTAGTAACGTGGATTCACACAATTCCGTTTCTTTAACAATTCTGAGTAGATTTCTCGTTCTATCTTCTCTTCTTCGTGCAGAGAAACTGGACGGCGTAAGTTCTTCAATTGAGGGGTGACATTGTCGTTTCCTCAAGATACATAACATCAAAAACAAAGAAAAACAAGCGACAAACTAAAAGCAATAAAGCGAAACCAGAAATTTTCAGCAATGTTTTGTCCAGGCTCTTAAGCACTATGACCGTGTGATTGATTTTTCTTTCGTAATCGACCTTAGCAGATTGTTCAATACAGGGTATTTGTTCAGTTGTCTCTTATTAAATATACCCAAGTTTAAAGCTGAGTGTTGTGTGAGCATCGACCATACTGCATTACCCAAACTCACTTGCTATAAACTCACATTACTGTGGTGAGAAACATGTTAAAAATCTATTGTACCAGGTTGTAACAAATATTTTAACCTAAGTGTTCAAACGGCTGAAAGCAGGTAGTAAAAAATGTAGTTTTTTTTCTGTTTGCAGCCAGTTTTCAATATTTGATCTGCATAACGTCATTTATGGCCTGTATGCGATTTTTGATTTCGAAAATTACCCATTGATGGGATCATTTGACCCATCGGTGGAAACACTTCCCCTCCACTTTTTTTAATCATAATTATGGCAAAATTATTTGTTATTAAAACTGGTATATCACTCGAATATAGTTTGTTTAGATCACGTACAACCCCTTCATGTTCATTGTTACGATAATATTTTGGAAATGACATGATCTGATTTTTTTTCAACTTCTACTGACCAATAGGATTGCCCGCAAGGTTGGCTTCGTCATGAGAATTCATGCTACCTTATTCATAACACTCCCACTCCAAGATGGAACGATGCACTCACGTTTTGTCAAAATCACCGGGCACATCCGCCGATAATCAAATCTGCCGAGGAGAACGAATTCATATTTCGCCTTATAATGAGCCAACCAGACGGGAGAGATCGTAGTGCATGGATTGGACTGAACAGAAAAATGGACCATAAGTTTTACTGGTTGGACGGTACCCCATCAACGGGCCGGTTCTCAGCATGGGCGCAGGGAGAACCAAACCGCCGTCACGAAAAATGTGTTTTTATACTCGTCAAAAAAGATCGACAAAAAAATTGGATCGACTCTCCCTGTACTTATAACGGTACACCTTATTTTCCAGTCCCAGTGGTTCTGTGCCAGAAAGGTCTTTTCTGACTGTTGGATTCCTTGATTGTTCACCTCAGTTTATCTAATGTTCACGTTATGTTCCCGAGGTTAAAGTTTGTACGCTGCCATGAGTTGTACTGTCATCGTTTCATAATGGCCTCTCGTATGAATAAAGATTTCTAAGTTTTTATCAGTTCCATCGTTCGTCAATCTTGTTCGTCGTTTCTTGGCATTCGAAAGAGACATCACATTTTAACATATTCTGTGTTTAATTGAAGCCTGCCTACATTAAGTTCGATTTAAAAGTTCATTTGTCTGAACGGCATATCACAAAATTGAGAACTCATCTATTGCAGGTAAAGAATAGTGAAATATATAGCAAAGTTTATATTTAGATTAATCATGCTAAACAAATAAAAAAAACTCTCATTACTGAAAGAGTATAATTATTATTTTTTGTTACCGCTGATGAAGCAGCTCAGGAAAATGACCTGCATTGACACAGGGATTGCGTGGTTTTCATGCAATCATTGAGCCTGCACCCGTACATTAGGTGAAAAGTTTTTAATTGCATTGTCCTTCGCTTTCGAGTTCCTCTTTTATTGGGTGCATTTTATAAACCGTGAAATATCCGGGTTTTCTTTTTTTTTTTTTATAAAGATGTAGCTCTAGATACTTAAAGAAAAAAAAAACTCGGGTGTGGCTTGTAAAAGGAACAGTTTATTAGTCATGTGCCGAGAAAGAGGGAAAGAACATACTCACTTATCTGACAACGGTGCAGTTCGCTTGTGTTTTTGTTTCTCCAGACAATACATTGATGCCCACCATCCGGATCACTTATCATGCCACTGTGGAAGAAGAACTTATGGAAAACTTAAGTTTATGGCACCTGCATATTCATAAGGCTCGCCAACCAGCTGCATTAGCGCTCACCGTTCGTGTCTTAATTATTTATCTCTTTCTGCTCGTTTCCTTGTTTTAAAACAAAAAAATAACGTGAGTTGAACTTAACGTCACAAAGAACAAGTTTACTACGCAAAGACCAAACGTTGTGTTTTGAGCGTTCTTTGTCTGTGAGCAATATAGTAATTTGATGGCAGCTGTTCAACGCCTGCACCCTCGTGTTTGTCATATTTGGTTGTGTTTCATTGAAAGTCAATTATCATTTTTTCAAATGCTAATATTTCAACAAATAAACTGAAAATTTAAGATCAGACACCTCTAATAAAGCATTCAATCTGTCACGTATCGTGAAGAAGAAAGAATAACTTTCTCTCCCCTGTAACCTAAAGTCTCCATGAACACAGATAACGTTCTTTGGTTGCAGATGGCTCGGTGGAAAACCATACTTTTATTATTGTTAATTCAAACTCCATCAATTTCCGCTACCAACGATAATTTCGACTCAACGTCATCTCGTTCCTCACAATTCAGACAATGGGAGAAGAAGCAGCTTCTGGGATACGCTTTCAAACGGTTTGACTCTACAAGTTTAATATCGTGCGGTCAACAGTGTCTGAGAAACCAACGTTGCTCTTCAACAAACTTCAAGTGGTCCTCCTCTAAGAAGGAAGGCGAAGGAACTTGTGAGCTGAACGACCACGATTTTTCCTTTGCTGAGGAAAATGTTAACTTTGTCCATCAGGAAGATGTAACGTTTTCCATGAAGGTAATTCAACTTTTAGTTTTCGTAAAGGTTAAGGCGAACGTTGATTAGTATTTTCTAACATTTTAATTAAAAAAATTCCCCTTGTTATATTCTTCAGATCATCGAGAACTTGGACAACTAAAATTTTGCAGGTTTAAACTTTTCCAATTTTCCTGTGAGACACTTTGCAATTGGCGTTTGTTTATATAATCCGATGTATGTTCTATATTCTATATTGTACATTATTGTTCATGTTAGGCCAAAGTCTCATTTTTACCAGATAATTAAGGGGGTTTGCTAATTGAGGACTTCCATAGCGAGCAGCTGATTGATGTTTACACTCAGAAAGTTCGGATCTCTTTAAGTAACCAGATCACGTTTTCCTGTGTTTATGCTAATTTACATGAAATTTGAGACAAAAGTCCTTTTTAGGCTTTACTTAAGTTCTGAAAACGATTCTGATGTTCACATATAATAATTCATGCGAGCCGATTTGTTTCTGAAAGACAGTGCATGGATGCCCACGATCTGAATCACTTATTATTCCACTGTGGAAGAAAAACTAATGGAAAACTGAAGTTTATGGCACCTGAAAAAAATTCTGATGTTTACAAGTCAGTTTCGGCCTTCGGATAATTCATGTGAGCCAGTTTGCTGCTGAAACTTACTAATATTGTTTATAGATAAAATATTATCATAACAATGAACATGAAAGGGTTGTACGTGACAGCTAATGATCTGAACAAACTATCTTCGAGTGATATGCTAGTTTAAATGACAAATAATTTTTTAGGTACAGCTACACTTTTTACTGCCTGCTTTCAGCCGTTTGAAAACTCAGGTTAAAATATTTGTTACAACCTGGTACAAAAGATTTTTAACATGTTTCTCACCATAATAATGTGAGTTTATTGCAGGTTGAATTTGAGTAATGCAGTATAGTCGATATTCACACAACACTCAGCTTTAAACTTGGGTATATTTAATCTTAGACAACTGAAAAAATATCCTGTAGATATGAAGAACGGGTAGGTGTACCCCATGCGTTTGACAGTTACTCTGTACATCGCTCCAATTCGGGGTAGGGGTGTAGAAAAGTAGATAACACGAGCGTCCAAAAACAGTCCAATCAAGAGTGCAATCCTTTCGGACCGGTAAAAGATGGAAATCAATCACAATTAAAACAAAAACACCGAAATCACACGTAGATATTTGTGACTATAGAAAAAAGATTTATTATAAGTGCGACTACAAAAAAATCGACCAATCGGATCACAGGAAACGAGCTACAAGCTTTACAAAAATTCCTGATTGTCTGTGCTTGTTTTGGTCTCTAAACAATGACTGGCACATTTGAATTTACGTAAGATAGTTGTTCGTTTCCAATGATGTGATTGGTTAATTCTGTATAAATTCGAAGTTACCTGCTAACGGCTGCGATGTAGTGAGCCATTAGGAACCAGCTAAATGACTTAAAAATATCCTTTAGCCTCTGGTTGTTCAAATGGTGGATAAAGCTATCCGCTCAATAAATCTCTATCCGTTGTATAGCGCAGTACGTTTCGTTGGCACTTATCCACTGAATAGCGATATACCCGGTGGATAGCGCTATCCGTCCCTTGAACAACTGGGGTCCAGGGCGTTACGTGTTACAAATCTACTTTTGATAAATCAGTTTCAGGAAAACAGTTTTGTAGTAATATTTACATGATAATATTTTGGAAATGACATGATCTGATTTTTTGTCAACTTCTACTGACCAATAGGATTGCCCGCAAGGTTGGTTTCGTCATGAGAATTCATGCTACCTTATTGATAACACTCCTACTCCAAGATGGAACGATGCACTCACGTTTTGTCAAAATCACCGAGCACATCCGCCGATAATCAAATCTGCCGATGAGAACGACTTCATATTTCGCCTTATAATGAGCCAACCAAACGGGAGAGATCTTAGTGCATGGATTGGACTGATCAGAAAAATGGACGATAAGTTTTATTGGATGGACGGTACTCCATCAGCGGGCCGGTTCTCAGCATGGGCACAGGGAGAACCAAACTACCTTCACGAAAAATGTGTTTTTATACTCGTCAAAAAAGATCGACAAAAAAATTGGTTCGACTCTCCCTGTACTTATAACGGTACACCTTATTTTCCAGTCCCAGTGGTTCTGTGCCAGAAAGGTCTTTTCTGACTGTTGGATTCCTTGATTGTTCACCTCAGTTTATCTAATGTTCCCGAGGTTAAAGTTTGTACGCTGCCATGAGTTATACTGTCATCGTTTCATAGTGGCCTCTCGTATGAATAAAGATTTCTAAGTTTTTATCAGTTCAATCGTTTATCAATCTTGTTCGTCGTTTGTTGGCATTCGAAAGAGACATCACATTTTAACATATTCTTTGTTTAATGGAAACCTGCTTACATTAAGTTCGATTTAAAAGTTCACTTGCATGAACGGCATATCACAAAATTGAGAACTCATCTATTTTAGGTAAAAATGTTGAAATATATAGCAAAGTTTATATTTAGATTAATCATGCTAAACAAATAAAAAAACTCTCATTACTGAAAGAATACAATTATTATTTTTTGTTACCGCTGATGAAGCAGCTCAGAAAAATGACCTGCATTGACACAGGGATTGCGAAAGGGATTGCGTGGTTTTCATGCAATCATTGAGCCTGCACCCGTACATTACTGTCAAGTACATTGTCCTTCGCTTTCGAGTTCCTCTTTTATTGGGTGCATTTTATAAACCGTGAAACATCTGGGTTTTCTTTTTTTTTTTATAAAGATCTAGCTCTAGATACGTAAAGAAAAAAAAAACTCGGGTGTGGCTTGTCAAAGGAACAGTTTATTAGTCATGTGCCGAGAAAGAGGGAAAGAACACACTCACTTATCTGACGACGGTGCAGTTCGCTTGTGTTTTTGTTTCTCCAGACAATACATTGATGCCCACCATCTGGATCACTTATCATGCCACTGTGGAAGAAGAACTTATGGAAAACTTAAGTTTATGGCACCTGCATATTCATAAGAGTCGCCAGCCAGCTGCATAATAAGCGCATACTTTTATTATTGTTAATTCAAACTTCATCAGTTTCCGCTACCAACGATAATTTCGACTCAACGTCATCTCGTTCCTCACAATTCAGACAATGGGAGAGCAAGCAGCTTCTGCGATACGTTTTCAAAAGGTTTGACTCTACAAGTTTAATATCGTGCGGTCAACAGTGTCTGAGAAACCAACGTTGCTCTTCAACAAACTTCAAGTGGTCCTCCTCTAAGAAGGACGGCGAAGGAACATGTGAGCTGAACGACCACGATTTTTCCTTTGTTGAAGAAAATGTTAACTTTGTCCATAAGGAAGATGTAACGTTTTCCATGAAGGTAAGTCAAATTTTAGTTTTCGTAAAGGTTAAAGCGAACGTTGATTAGTATTTTCTAACATTTTAATTAAAAAAATTCCCCTTGTTATGATTATATTCTTCAGATCATCGAGAACTTGGACAACTAAAATTTTGCAGGTGAAAACTTCTCCAATTTTCCTGTGAGACACCTTGCAATTGGCATTTGTGTATATAATCCGACTTATATACTATATTCTATATTGTACATTACTTTTCACGACAGGCCAAACCATCATTTTTACCAGATAATTAAGGGGGTTTTCCAATTTAGGACTTCCATAGCAAGCAGCTGATTGATGTTTACACTTAGAAAGGTCGGATCTCTTTAAGAGGCTGTCTCTCTTATTTCCACCCGGTCAATTTTGCGTCAAAAATAATTTTGCCTGAAACTCTGTCAACAGAAAGACTTTACCTAGACTTAACCTAGGAATTAGATTTGGTTTGATTCGAAATAATTTTCTGACTGCATTAGGGGCCATAATTATTTCACAATCCGTAGGGACCGTCGCAACGTCTCGAAAATTGAAAAGCAGGCATTTTGTAACATTGTAAAATATTTGATTCGCATAGTTAAGCCCCAGAATTTATATCAGATTGCTTAAAAACCTTTCAAGTTTTCCAAGAAAGTTAGAATTCGCCCTCTCAATATTTATAAAAAGGCGAATTCTAGCATATTCTGATCACTAGAAATCTCCATCGGCCGATGGCCGTAAATAACCTTGATTTAGACATTAAGTTTTGGGATTTGGGACCTGGTAGACGACTCTATTCTACACAACCGTTGAGTTTAGACCTTTATAGTCAAAAATATACAAAACCCCTGTACGTTTTTGTTTTTTCAAAAGTGATGACCGTTTGAATCAGCACATGTACGAGCATTCGCGATTTTTTCACCTACACCAAAATCGAACCACTGGAGCAGATTTCGTCATAAATACAGCTTATCTTCGTCGCATCTTGGGTTTATGTAAAATTATAAGATATTCCTCGCTCCCCAAACTGATGAACTTTATGATAACTCCAGCAAATAACGGTCGGCATCTATCGATACTCTTCTTTGACTCGTTGTTGCGAACTAAACTCGAAAACTAAAGCCATGTTTCGCGCTTAATGTCTCGTTGGAACTTTGGATTGCAGCTGCATTTTCTTCAAGAATTAGTCATACCACTCCACTTGTAAGTCTATGTGTCGAAGTTTGGGGGCTAAAATTGGAATTTAAAGCTGAACGATCGCGCTATCGCGCACAACAGAGGTCCGTATTAACCATTGCGGGTGAACCCGCTGTCCCTCATATAAAAAGTCAACTGTAACTGGTTTTTGGCAGTTTCGGAGAAAAGTTTTTGTAAAGCCATTAAATTGTAACACGTAACACCCTTGGCCCCAGTTGTTCAAGGGGCAGATAACGCTATCCAACGGATATATCGCTATTCAGCGGATAAGTGCCAACAAAACGTACTGCGCTATATTGTACATTATTGTTCACGACAGGCAAAAGTCTCATTTTTACCAGATAATTAAGGGGGTTGGCCAATTTAGGACTTCCATAGCGAGCAGCTGATTGATGTTTACACTCAGAAAGTTCGGATCTCTTTAAGTAACCAGATCACGATTCCTGTGTTTATGCTAATTTACATGAAATTTGTAACAAAAGTCCTTTTGAGGCTTTACTTAAGTTCTGAAAACGATTCTGATGTTCACAAGTCAGTTTCGGCCTACGGATAATTCATGCGAGCCGATTTATTTCTGAAAGACAGTGCATGGATGCCCACGATTTCAATCACTTATTATGCCACTGTGGAAGAAAAACTAATGAAAACTCAAGTTTGTGGCACCTGAGAGTGATTCTGATGTTTACAAGTCAGTTTCGGCCTTCGGATAATTCATGTGAGCCAGTTTGCTTCTGAAACTTACCAATATTGGCTGTTATAGCTACTCCTTCCCCCCCCTCCAATGAGAGCAGGTTCGTCTCTTTATTCACGAGAGACCTATAACGATCGTTAAGTCTATATAAAATTACAAATGGGTTTCGGGTTTGAACTTGTCATTTCTATTAACAACTACAAAACTGTTTTCCTGAAATTGATTTGTAACACGTAACGCCCTCGGCCCCAGTTGTTCAAGGGGCGGATAACGCTATCCACCAGATATATCGCTATTCAGCGGATAAGTGCCAACAAAACGTACTGCGCTATACAACGGATAGAGATTTATTGAGCAGATAGCTTTATCCAGCATTTGAACAATCAGAGGCTAAAGGGTATTTTTAAGTCATTTAGCTAGTTCCCAGTCGCTCACAACACCGCAGCCGTTGACGGGTAACTTCCAATTTATACAAAATTAACCAATCACATCATTGGAATCGAAAAATTATTCTACGGAAATTCAAATGTGCCAGTCATTGTTTAGAGACCAAAACAAGCACAGACGATCAGGAATTTTTGTAGAACTCGTAGCTCGTCTCCTGTAATCTGATTGGTCGGTTTTTTTGTAATGGCACTTATAATAGATCTTTTTTCTTTATCGACACAATTATCTACGTGTGATTTCGTTGTTTTTGTTTTAATTGTGATTGATTTCCATCTTTTACCGGTCCGGAAGGATTGCTCACTTGATTGGATTGTTTTTGGACGCTCGTGTTATCTCCTTTTCTTCAACACTACCCCGAATTGGAGCGATGCACAGAGTATCTGTCAAACTCATGGGGCACACCTACCCATTCTTCATATCTACAGGAGATTTGTTCAGTTGTCTAAGATTAAATATACCCAAGTTTAAAGCTGAGTGTTGTGTGAATATGGACCATACTGCATTACTCAAATTCAACTTGCTAAAAACTCACATTACTATGGTGAGAAACATGTTAAAAATCTATTGTACCAGGTTGTAACAAATATTTTAACCTGAGTGTTCAAACGGCTGAAAGCAGGTAGTAAAAAGTGTAGTTTTTTCTGTTTGCAGCCAGTTTTCGATATTTGACCTGCGTAACGTCTTTAATGGCCTGTGTGCGACTTTTGATTTCGAAATTACCCATTGATGGGATCATTCGACCCATCGGTGGAAATAACATTTCCCCTCCACTTCTTTTAATTATTGTTATGGCAAAATTATTTTTTATTTAAACTAGCATATCACTCGAAGATAGTTTGTTTAGATCATTAGCTGTCACGTACAACCCCTTCATGTTCATTGTTATGATAATATTTTGGAAATGAACTGATTTTTTGTCAACTTCTACTGACCAATAGGATTGCCCGCAAGGTTGGTTTCGTCATGAGAATTCATGCTACCTTATTCATAACACTCCTACTCCAAGATGGAACGATGCACTCACGTTTTGTCAAAATCACCGGGCACATCCGCCGATAATCAAATCTGTCGAGGAGAACGACTTCATATTTCGCCTTATGAAGAGCCAACCAGACGGGAGAGATCGTAGTGCATGGATTGGACTGAACAGAAAAATGGACGATAAGTTTTAATGGATGGACGGTACTCCATCAACGGGCCGGTGGAACGATGCACTCACGTTTTGTCAAAATCACCGGGCACATCCGCCGATAATCAAATCTGTCGAGGAGAACGACTTCATATTTCGCCTTATGAAGAGCCAACCAGACGGGAGAGATCGTAGTGCATGGATTGGACTGAACAGAAAAATGGACGATAAGTTTTAATGGATGGACGGTACTCCATCAACGGGCCGGTTCTCAGCATGGGCACAGGGAGAACCAAACCTCCGTGACGAAAAATGTGTTTTTATATTCACCAAAGAAGATCGACAAAAAAATTTGTTCGACTTTTCCTGTACTTATGACGGTAGACCTCGGTTTCTAGTCCCAGTGGTTCTATGCCAAAAAAGTATTTTATGACTGTTGGATTCCTCATTAGTTCACCTCAGTTCATCTAATGTTCACGTTATGTTCCTGAGGTTATAGTTTGTACGCTGCTATGAGTTATGTTGTCATCGTTTCATAATGGCCTCTCATATGATTAATGATTTCTAAGCTTTTATCACTTCCATCGTTCGTCAATCTTTTTTGTCGTTTGTCGGCATTCCAAAGAGACATCACAGTTTAAGGTATTCTATGTTTTATGGAAACCTGGTCACGTTTAGCTCGATTTAAAAGTTCACTTGCATAAACAGCATATCACAAAATTGAGAACTCATCTATTTTAGGTAAAGAATATTGAAATATATGGCAAAGTTTATATTTAGATTAATCATGCTAAACAAATAAAAAAACTCTCATTACTGGAAGAGTATAATTATTATTTTTTGTTACCGCTGATGAAGCAGCTCAGGAAAATGACCTGCATTGACACAGGGATTGCGAAAGGGATTACGTGGTTTTCATGCAATGATTGAGCCTGCACCCGTACATTAGGTGAAAAGTTTTTAATTGCATTGTCCTTCGCTTTCGAGTTCCTCGTTTATTGGGTGCATTTTATAAACCGTGAAATATCTGGGTTTTTTTTCTAGCTCTAGATACCTAAAAAAAAAAAAACTCAGATGTGGCTCGTCAAAGGAACAGTTTACTAGTCATGTGCCGAGAAGGAGGGAAAGAACACACTCACTTATCTGACGACGGCGCAGTTCGCTTGTGTTTTTGTTTCTCCAGAGAATACATTGATGCCCACCGTCTGGATCACTTATCATGCCACTGTGGAAGAAGAACTAATGGAAAACTTAAGTTTATGGCACCTGCATATTCATAAGACTCGCCAGCCAGCTGCATAGTAAGCGCTCACCGTTCGTGTTTTAATTATCTATCTCTTTCTGCTCATTTCCTCGTTTTAAAACAAAAAAATAACGTAAGTTGAACTTTACGTCACAAAGAACAAGTTTACTACGCAAAGACCAAACGTTTGTGTTTTTAGCGTTCTTTGTCCGTGTGCAGTGAAGTAATTTGATGACAGCTTTTCAACATCTGCACCCTCGTGTTTGTCATATTTGGTTGTGTTTCACTGAAAGTAAATTTTAAGTTTTGTCAAATGCTAATATTTCAGCAAATAAACTGAAAATTTAGGCTCAGACACCTCTAATAAAGCATTCAATCTGTCACGTATCGTGAAGAAGAAAGAATAACTTTCTCTCCCCTGTAACCTAAAGTCTCCATCAACACAGATAACGTTCTTTGGTTGCAGATGGCTCGGTGGAAGACCATACTTTTATTATTGCTAATTCAAACTCCATCAGTTTCCGTTACCAACGATAATTTCGACTCAACGCCATCTCGTTCCTCACAATTCAGACAATGGGAGAATAAGCAGCTTCTGGGATACGCTTTCAAACGGTTTGACTCTCCAAGTTTAATATCGTGCGGTCAACAGTGTCTGAGAAACCAACGTTGCTCTTCAACAAACTTCAAGTGGTCCTCCTCTAAGAAGGACGGCGAAGGAACATGTGAGCTGAACGACCACGAGCTTTCCTTTGTTGAGGAAAATGTTAACTTCGTCCATCAGGAAGATGCAACGTTTTCCATGAAGGTAATTCAACTTTTAGTTTGCGCAAAGGTTAAGGCGAACGTTGATCAGTATCGTCTAACATTTTAATTAAAAAAATTCCCCTTGTTATATTCTACAGATCCTCGAGAACTTGAACGACTAAAATGTTGCAGGTTTAAACTTCTCCAATTTTCCTGTGAGACACCTTGCAATTGACGTTTGTTTATATAATCCGATGTATGTTCTATATTCTATACTGTACATTATTTTTCACGACAGGCTAAAGCACCATTTTTACCAGATAATTAAGGGGGTTTGCCAATTTAGGACTTCAATAGCGAGCAGCTGATTGATGTCTACACTCAGAAAGTTCGGATTTTCCTGTGTTTATGCTAATTTACATGAAATCTGACACAAAAGTCCTTTTTAGGCTTTACTTAAGTTCCCAAAACGACCTTCGGATAATTCATGCGAGCCCATTTGTTTCTGAAAGACAGTGCATGGATGCCCACGATCTGAATCACTTATTATGCCGCTGTGGAAGAAAAACTAAAGGAAAACTCAAGTTTATCCCGCCTGAAAACGATTCTGATGTTTACAAGTCAGTTTCGGCCTTCGGATAATTCATGTGAGCCAGTTTGCTTCTGAAACTTACCAATATTGGCTGTTATAGCTACTCCTACTACAAAATTTTTTTCCTGAAATTGATTTATCAAAAGTAGATTTGTAACACGTAACGCCCTCGGCCCCAGTTGTTCAAGGGGCGGATAACGCTATCCACCGGGTATATCGCTATTCAGCGGATAAGTGCCAACAAAACGTACTGCGCTATACAACGGATAGAGATTTACTGAGCGGATAGCTTTATCACCATTTGAACAATCAGAGGCTAAAGGATATTTTTAAGTCATTTAGCTAGTTTTCAGTCGCTAACAACACCGCAGCCGTTGGCGGGTAACTTCCAATTTATACAGAATTAACCAATCACATCATTGGAAACGAACAACTATCCCACATAAATCCAGTGCCAGTCATTGTTTAGAGGCCAAAACGAGCACAGATGATAAGGAATTTTTGTAGAACTCATACCTCGTTTCCTGTAATCTGATTGGTCGGTTTTTTTGTAATCGCACTTACAATGATTCTTTTGTCTTTATCATCACAGATATCTACTTGTGATTGTATTTTTTTTGTTTCAATTGTACTTGGTTTCCATCTTCTATAGGTCTGCCCACTTGATTGGATTGTTTTTGGACGCTCGTGTTATCTCCTTTTCGACACCCCTACCCCGAATTGGAGCGATGCCCAGAGTATCTGTCAGACTCATGGGGCACACCTACCCATTATCAGATCTTCCGATGAAAACAACTTTATGTTTCGTCTAGCTCTGAGCCAGCCAAACGGTAAAGTCAGCGGTACATGGCTTGGACTTACACGGAGAAAACCCAAAGGTGCCTTCTACTGGGTTGATGATACACCTTTAGCGGGGCAATTCTCTGCGTGGGCGGCTGGGGAACCGAATAATTATAGAAACGAAGAGGACTGTGTAAACATATTTTTCCAAGGAAGTCAACAGGGAAAGTGGAATGACTGTCGATGTACGTGTGCGTTCCCTGCTCCACACGGGCCTGTGGTTCTTTGTCAGAAGGAAGTCAAGTGAGGGGTCAATTCCCTGGGTGTTTCGAATTGATGCAAGAATTTTTTTTCAGCAGCAACTACGATGTGTTCGATAGAGTGAAGATAATCAAAAGAAAAGGAAATATTAAGATTTTTGATCATCCTTGATCCCTGCATTTGACTCCTTTGTGAGCCTTAGAGCGTAGGATTAGGCCCTAAAAAACAAGATCAATTAATTTTGATGATTCTGTGATGATTCTTGTTCTCTTTCGAATTTTTTTATCTGTAGGTTTAATTATTATGCTTTTTACACTTTCTTTAACAGTAAAAATACTCTTCCGGTGCTCTCAAGCTCCCCTTGAAAACAAACGATTCGGAATTTGTAGCTCATGGGTGAAATTCTACTATTTTAGCATTAGACTGCTGCTATTTTGCAATTATTTCCTCGGATACACTTTCGGAGTATGATAAACTGATTACTCATAGGAACTCAAAGTATCTTGCTAACCAGATAACCGAAGAATTTTTTCGATTCAGCCAAGTTTAGCCCCTTTGTATGGCTGATATTGCAAGAAGAAGATGAATCACTTATATCCAGAAATGCACGCAGTAAATAAACGGCAGATTTAACGAAATTTCGTTAAAAGTAAATGAATCTTCATTGATTTGACGATTTTGGCGAATTTTGGTCAAGTTCTTCAAAGCAAAATCAGCTTGGCGGAATTTACGATTTTGACGAGTTTTTCGCCATTTTCGTTACTGCACGCAATTTTGGACATATCTCATGAATCTTCATTCATATTCCACTTTTTATGCAGGTGCCTCTGTTTCAATACTTCTACTGGGAATTTCAGTGCTGCATAATGATATTTGAACTTAGCTCTGCATGTTGTTCGCTGTTTTAAATTATTAAAAGATGTTGTAGTGTTGTACTTTTTTGATAACGTTTGTTTAGAACTAGCTTGGACAAGAAAATTTCAAATACTCTCCAGCCCCGAGAAATTGAACGGTTTGAATTGTGCCGCGAGAGAGAATGTTCGCGGTCATTTTGCCTTTATTTCACTTATTAAACATTACCTGAAAATGATTATTTTTTCGCAAGGAGTGAAGTTAACTTTTCAAACAGGAAGTCAAAGGATTTTGCTCATTTAGCCTAGTTTACACCTTTGTTTGGCTGATTTTGTAAGTGGCGAGTGATTCTTCACTAATATTCCACGAGTGCAGGTGGTTTTATAGAGAGGAAGCTTCGTTTCTTTTTAAATTGACATTTCTTGCTTTTAAGTTTAGTGATGCAAATTTCGACACGACATGTTTTTATCTTCAATTACTTTGGTGGTAAAAGTGATTCAGGGGTTTCATAACATGTAATTATTGAGTTTAAAAACTAAAAATTGGTCGATTTTGCACGTGAGACCTTCAAGGATCTTCGAAAAAATTATTCATTATATTAAGGTTTTCAGATTAAAATTTTGATCTAGTTCCCCTTCCCAATCCCCTCCGTTTTTTTTCCACAGCGTAGCAAACAACGGCAAAAAAAATAGTAACAAAACCCAGATTAAAATATCCATTTATTAGCTAGACCGAACGCACTTCACAAATCCCCTTTTGCTAGTTATTATTATCATTAATTTAATCTATAGACCGCTTTGCTTGGAAACAAATCAAGAAAACTGGGTCGAGTTAAATTCGTTCCCAGTTTTTATTGCGACTGCACTTTGCGTGTAAAAAGCAAGAGAAGAATGGGGTTAAGTGCATAAAGTCCAAGCTTAAGGGTGATCCTTTTTCGAAAGCTCATCAAACAAAAAGCTTGGATTCATTTACTTAACAGTCCTGGCCCCGGTTGTTTAAAAGACGGTTACTGTTGACCCTGGTATCATTTACCACACCAGTTAAAGAAAAAAAAAACTATTAAGTACATTTGACTCGCTAGCTGCGTGAGCGGAAGCAATATGTCCTTACATGTAAATCTCTTTGTCTGTAACAAGTGCGAAAATATAGATCGCTTTTACCGATGGTTAATGATCATTAATTTTTTTTTCGACAATTTGGCGACGGTAAGTCTCTTTAGTTACGGTTACGCAATATATTTTTTAAATTCTTCTTGTGCTTGACATGGCATGAGCAAAGAAAATGGAAGTGAAAGCTTATTTAAGTACTTCTCTAAAGAAAAAAATCAGCCATATAGCAAAAAAGAAACAGATTCCCAAGGAACCTGATATCTCCTCTACAGTTTCACTTAGAAAATTCGCTCCAGTTGCGAATGGCTCGGACAGAAACAATACTTCTAATAATGTTACTTCAAACTCCAGAAAGCTCCTCTGTCTCGAATGATAATGATATCTCCATTTCACCTCGTTCCTCTCTAACTAAAGCGTGGGATCAACTGCAGCTTGTGGGATTCTATCGGTTTAATTCTGCAAGTTTGGTATCATGCAGTCAGCAATGCCTAAGAAATCAATAGTGTACCTCTACAAACCACAAGTTGCCATCTAAGAAGGACGGAAAAGGAAACTGTGAGCTGAACAAGCACGAAATTTCCATTGCTAAGGAAAATATCAACTTTGTTCACCAGGAAAATGTTTTGTTTAGTATGTACAAAAAAAGATGCGATAGAAGATTAGTTTTATTAATCATTTATTCCGCAACGATTACCACATTTTCGGGTGCAAATCCCGCGCGACAGGCTCGAAGGTGAATAGCAAATGATATTCGGAGTTTGAGTAGCCAATCAGAGCGCGCCTTCAACGCTATTTACTGTGGCAGTATATTGTAACATGAATTATCAAAACCAAGGTGTGAGTTATCTGCCTTAGCCTTCGGCTTCGACAGGTTCTACAGACGTGAAGTTTGATAATCCATGATATCATGCGAAAATCTAACTCAGTAACTGTTTAGTTATACATTTTTAGAACAATCTGCAAAAGAGGGCACTTTTCTCCAAGTATGATAAAGTTTAAGAACAATACACGGACGATAGACTTGGCAACTACAGGACTTTGAATGCAAAATCCGCCGCTGATATCGCACTTGTCATGTCAATTTCGAACGCTATTGTGTATCGATTGAATGCTCTCGACCAATCATAATGTATAATAATTAAGCTCAGCAGGAACCAGGCATTACTCTATTCTATCTAGGTAAATAAAAGGATCGCAGATTAACAGTGTACCACGGCACTATAGAGATTTCAGAACAAAAAAGCTGCCACTTTTAATTTCTTTTGATCATAATAGATTCAATGTCTTTGCGCTGTATTCTCCATTCAATTTTTGACAACAACGTTTATAATAAAAACATTTTATCTGAAACCGACTTAAAGCCTGATTGATGATGCGATTTTTGTCGCATGGAATAATCTTGACCATCTCTGATACAGAAAAAAATAAACCAGGCGGGGAAAACTTCTATGAAGACA